CAGCTTCAGTCTGCTCTCTTTCTACTGGTCTCTTTATCTCTCTCTCTCTCTCTCTCTCTTTCTCTCTCTCTCTCTCTCACACACACACACACACACACACACACTCACACACACATTCACTAACTCACACACACCTCTCTCTCTGTCTTTCCTTCTCTGTCTACAAGCTCTGACGTGTTATAAGTGGAAAGAAGGGAGGATATGAAGAGAGAAGAGTCCAGAAAGGAATAGAGGGAAAGAGGAATAGAAATGTCTTAGGAAATAGGGGGGGGGAGGAAGGAAAAGTAGAGGAGAAAAGATGGTCAGGAAGGAAAGAGGAAATCAGCAGAGGAAAGGTGAAAGAAAAAATGGATGAGAGAGGTAAGGATCAGAAACTGAAAAAAGGTGACAAAAAGGAAAGGACAGAAAGACAGCAGAAAGGAAATAGGGTGGAAGTGAGGAGATGAGGGAGGGAACAATAGAGAGGAAGGAAGAAGAGAGGGAATGAAGGAGGGAAAAGCGGGAGGAGAAGTAAAGGAGATGTCAGGAAGAAAAAGGCAAGGAGGAGAGAAAATGTGACAGAAAATGATGAATGAGAGAGGAAAGGATAAGGTGATAAAAACAGTAAGAGAGAAGGAGGAGAGAAAAAGTAAGGTGATGAAGAAATTGAGAAAAGGAAACAGGAGTGTGCAAAGGAGAGCGGGAAAAGAAGAACAGACAGGAAAGACGAAAAGGAGGAGAAGAAAAGTGAAGAGGATGAAAAGATTTAAAGAAAGACAAAGAGGTAAGAGAGGAAGGAGAAAGGAGAGAGGGAAATAAAGGAGCAGGGAAAGGAACGATGAAAAGAATGACAATGAGAGAGAAAAGGAAACAAGAAGAAAGTGAAAGAGGAGGGAAAGAGGAACAGAGGATGAAAAAGGAGAGTAAGTGAAGGAGACAAAAAGAAAAAGAAAGGATGAGAGTGAGAAGGACGATATAGTAGAAGATATAAAAATGGAACCCAAGGAAGAGGATAATGAAAGCAAACCTAAAGGACCAAGTAGGGAGGAGATGTAGGACTGTAGCAAAGGCAGGAGGAAGACAGAGGTTTGCTTGTATAGGTCCTCCTCCATTGAGCCCTCTAGTGATGACATTTGTGATGTACAAGCAAAGAAATCTGGCAAGGAAATGAAAGCAAGAGACCAACTGATGCTGAAACACAAAAACCATAGGCAAGAACATAGGCTACTTAAAAAGTTTCATTTTGAAAACAATACATTGCAATATGTACCAATAAAGTGGTGGAAATTAAATAAGTAAACTTATCTAAGTACTGTACTTAAGTACAATCTTGAGGTAGTTACTTAATTGAATATTTTCTTCTTGTGTAGCTTTGTACTTTTACTCCACCTCACTTCAGGGGCTAATATTGTACTTTTACTCATTTATCAGTTACATTTAATTACTTTGCAGATTTAATGATGCATTATTATGGATAGTTATATATTTTATGGATTATGGATAAGACTTTATTGATCCCTTGGTGAAATTGCTATTTGCCAGTATATGTATTTCAAAAAAATCAGCACCACACTTTATAGTGATGCACAAATTGATGTACACATTAATGCACTAATAATCGTAATTCAATAACATAATCTGAAGTGGGCCATTCTCAATAACTAGTAGGCCTACTGTACTTTTTGCACTTAAAGTATATTTTGATGCTAGTTCTTTTGAACTTTTACTTGCAACATACACATTAATGCACCAATAATATTAATTAAAATACATAAAAGTGAGTAAATAATTATATTGTAGCTCTATTTTTGCTTAAGGATTAGGTTTTGAATTTCTACACTGTAGATCTTCTTACACCACTGTACGTGTGTGTCAACAAAAGATCAAAAAGACCACAAGAAAATATGTAGTCCAAGTTGTTTTAGATTAAGTGGTGGAGGGAGCTCTGATTCAAGGCTTTCGTTTTTGTTTTCGTCTTTTTTACATCGGCAATTGTTTGAGTGGCTCTTGGGAAATAGCAGAAATGCCACTAGATATGAGAAGGATACAGCCATTAGTCAATTACTGGGTTAATTTACATGGCGACAGTCAAGATTCCCCTAAATAAAACACTTTAAATCTTGTTGGAGAAGAAAGGAGAGGAGGGAGACAAAAAGCTTTGGATTGACTGTGATACACAAAGCAACAGAACGTAGAGTAGCTAAATTAAACTTTAGTCAGTGCTCAGTACCACCTTGAATACTTCCGGATGGCGCAGCAGATTTTACATTATTAGAAAAGAAGGTAGTTCATTTTGATATCACATACAGGCATTTATTGATAATTACATTTAGGTCCAGATCCACCCCGATGTGTAAAAGAGTTTAGTTAATAAAAATAGGATTTATTGTTCCTTTTGAAAATACAGAAAAGGATCAGTGATGAATTAAATGTTCACATGGGAGAAATGCTTGCAATATTGTTAGCAGCGCAGTGGATAGAGGATACAAGACCATTGATAGCATTCACTTGTTCAGACTCAAGTTCATCTGAAGCCAGTTTGCAGAAGTACAACAAACATCATACAGAATTCAAATGATGGGTACAGTACAGTAATATTTTTACAGTGAGGAAAATAAGTATTTGAACACCCTGCTATTTTGCAAGTTCTCCCACTTTGAAATCATGGAGGGGTCTGAAATTGTCATCGTAGGTGCATGTCCACTGTGAGAGACATAATCTAAAAAAAAGAAATCCAGAAATCACAATGTATGATTTTTTAACTATTTATTTGTATAATACAGCTGCAAATAAGTATTTGAACACCTGAGAAAATCAATGTTAATATTTGGTACAGAAGCCTTTGTTTGCAATTAGAGGTCAAACATTTCCTATAGTTTTTCACCAGGTTTGCACACACTGCAGGAGGGATTTTGGCCCACTCCTCCACACAGATCTTCTCTAGATCAGTCAGGTTTCTGGGCTGTCGCTGAGAAACACGGAGTTTGAGCTCCCTCCAAAGATTCTCTATTGGGTTTAGGTCTGGAGACTGGCTAGGCCACGCCAGAACCTTGATATGCTTCTTACAGAGCCACTCCTTGGTTATCCTGGCTGTGTGCTTCGGGTCATTGTCATGTTGGAAGACCCGGCCTCGACCCATCTTCAATGCTCTAACTGAGGGAAGGAGGTTGTTCCCCAAAATCTCCCAATACATGGCCCCGGTCATCCTCTCCTTAATACAGTGCAGTCGCCCTGTCCCATGTGCAGAAAAACACCCCCAAAGCATGATGCTACCACCCCCATGCTTCACAGTAGGGATGGTGTTCTTGGGATGGTACTCATCATTCTTCTTCCTCCAAACACTGTTAGTGGAATTATGACCAAAAAGTTCTATTTTGGTCTCATCTGACCACATGACTTTCTCCCATGACTCCTCTGGATCATCCAAATGGTCATTGGCAAACTGAAGACGGGCCTTGACATGTGCTGGTTGAAGCAGGGGAACCTTCCGTGCCATGCGTGATTTCAAACCATGACGTCTTAGTGTATTACCAACAGTAACCTTGGAAACGGTGGTCCCAGCTCTCTTCAGGTCATTGACCAGCTCCTCCCGTGTAGTTCTGGGCTGATTTCTCACCTTTCTTAGGATCATTGAGACCCCACGAGGTGAGATCTTGCATGGAGCCCCAGTCCGAGGGAGACTGACAGTCATGTTTAGCTTCTTCCATTTTCTAATGATTTCTCCAACAGTGGACCTTTTTTCACCAAGCTGCTTGGCAATTTCCCCGTAGCCCTTTCCAGCCTTGCGGAGGTGTACAATTTTGTCTCTAGTGTCTTTGGACAGCTCTTTGGTCTTGGCCATGTTAGTAGTTGGATTCTTACTGATTGTATGGGGTGGACAGGTGTCTTTATGCAGCTAATGACCTCAAACAGGTGCATCTAATTTAGGATAATAAATGGAGAGGAGGTGGACATTTTGAAGGCAGACTAACAGGTCTTTGAGAGTCAGAATTCTAGCTGATAGACAGGTGTTCAAATACTTATTTGCAGCTGTATCATACAAATAAATAGTTAAAAAATCATACATTTTGATTTTTGGTTTTGTTTTTTTAGATTATGTCTCTCACAGTGGACATGCACCTACAATGACAATTTTAGACCCCTCCATGATTTCTAAGTGGGAGAACTTGCAAAATAGCAGGGTGTTCAAATACTTATTTTCCTCACTGTATATGTAGGCCTACCAGCACATGATAGCCTATCAAAAGAAATGAAATAGATAAAAAGATAACGTTGCAAAGAAGACCAAATAAAAATTAGCCCCAGGGGGGCTCCAAACTGTTTCAGGGGAGGCTCAGTGAACTGAAGTGAAAAAAAAATTACATTAGTCAAAGGAGATAGCCTAAATGTGTGTGGTTTTGTTAAAGAGAAGCTGTAGTTTTGCAGGATTTTTTGACTTGTTTCCCACCTTCCCTCTGCCAGTTCCACATTCCACAGGAAGGTTTCAGACTATGTAGTAACAACTTTGTTTTTCCATCACAAAAAAATTCTAATGTCGTTGCCATTGGTGCGTTCCAACATACCAGGGTTTATTTTCTTTTTTGTTGAAAAGAGAAGAATTACATAGACTAAATTAAATGAGGTATTAAATGCAAATATATTAAGATATAGTAGTGTAGTGTAGTCTAAAGTTAGGCTATCAAACAGGAATATTTCAAAAATCATGGCTGGTTGAGTGTCTATGAGATTAAATAACACATGCCAACTCCTTATCCTATAGACATCCAGGAATTAAGCAAAACAAAGCAAGTAACCATTTTCTCAAGCTTTTTCTGATGAGAGGCCTACAGTTACAGACTTTAAAAAGTCTTAGACTAGCTCATATAACTGAGTGGAGAGTGGTTTTTTGTTGTTGTTGTTTTGAATACTGTAAGTCCACACTTCACACCAGATGGTGGCGGTAATGCACCGATTCGTTGTATGCAAATCGCCAATAAAACTCAAAAAGAAGAAGAAGCTGCTTTTGCGCTTGCAGCAGTCGATGCGCCCTCTTGCAGCAATAGACGATCTTCGGCCATGAGGGGTCACTCGGACCTTTCAGCTAGTTGCTGCAATCTAAAGTCTAACGACCAACGTTAGCACCTCGCCAGACGAACGGAACAACATGTTTGGCGACATAACACGGGACGACGTAGGTATGTATGTGTCTGCATAAGCTAATAGCAAGGCTGTGTTTTACTGTTGACACCGGGAAATCTTCCAAAAACCCTGTGTGACAGATGTTGTCTTGGTTGTTGTTGCTAAGCTAACGTTAACGCTGCATGTCTGGACGATGCAATGGTAAACACAGACGGATATAAGAAGTTCAATTAACGTAAGTAAATTAGTAACTATTTAGCCGTCAGCCTGGTTTGAGTTAACGTTTTTATTCTTGACAAGTAACGTTAGCTACAACCGATGTGTTGTTGAGGAACGTTAGCTAAGTTAACCTTAAGCTGCGTGTCCTGGAAGCAAACACGTGAAACGAACCTTTCACATTGACAAAAGTTTGGCAAAAGTTTCAGCACATGGTGGTACAATGCCTGCTGAAAAGAGAGTTTAAAAGACGCAATTAAAGACAAATAACAAACTACTGGGAACATCTGTAAATTTAATGTATGGAGGTTAGCTTTCTTTGGTGATACAGGCTAGCTAACTCGGCATACTCACTTAGCTAACGTTAGCTAGCTCAAACACAGGGACGTTATAACTTAGCTGTCCTAAGAAATGTCATGAAATTGGCATCAACAAAGGTCCTAAACTTAAGCATCACAACACCAGCCTTTTTAGTGTAGTATTACTTATAGTTATTGTGGAAAAGAGGCTTAAATAAAGATATAAAGATACACTGGTGTGTTTGCTGTTGTATTTACTTTATCTACGTATCAATCATACAATAACATCGGGAGAGTTTTGTTAAAGGGTTAGTTACTTTCCACCACTTTATTGGTATAACATATTGCAGTGTAAGGTATTGCATTCAACATTAGAAGGGAAAGCTGTTAAAGCGTTACCAGATAACTTAAGATGGTTACAAAAATCGGTTACTGTACATTCACTAAAAATATTTTGAGTGACTTTCTTTCCATACAAGAGGGAACACTTCATGCGGAGTTATGATTCGCTTAGACTTACTCTGCCTCTTTTCTTGTGTTCTTTCAGTGGGGAAAGCTGTGAAACAATTGAGGGGAAATAAGAACTCTTCTAGGACACCGCTTTCTCCTCCAAGACTTGATACCTTCTTAAGCAGCCTAAAAGCTTACATTTCATCCCCAGAGAAACGGCTTCTGGCTGTGGTCTGCATCAACTAATGTCCTCAATGTCATTGACACAGCCTCTGTCTTGTTTTAAACTCTTGAGTGTGGTTGTTAGTTAGAGAGGGAACCACTTTACCTCAGGAAAAAAAAAAACTATGTGCCTGCCTGTCTGAGCCTCTTGTGAAGGCTTATAACCATACCAAGAGCTGAGAGGGTCCTGCTAACTTGCAGCACAGGTGCTAGGCTCAACTGCTGTCACTGCTTCTGTGGCAGCAGATATGTTTACTGATTTATCAAGAACTTGTAGTCGATCTATAGTGACCAAGAGAAAATTAACAACTCCATTCGGCTGGAGCTGACATCTCAGAAGTCATTCCTACAGAAGAACCTCTCACTGAGAAGGGAGCTACTAGGAGAACCAAGAGGTCTTTTAGGGAACAGATCCTTCCTCCAACTCAGGCTTTGGTATTGTCTCGACTGTTAATTCCTATCCTGCCTATCAATCTCCACCTAAGATATCTGCCCCTCATCTCAGCCCTTCAGAAATAGCCACAGCTTCGTTGGACGGTGAGATGCCCACCAACCAGTCCTCCCCCTGGGGTGGGGAGACGCTTCGGGCTTGCGCCAATGCAGGTAGCCCCACCACTACAGCCTCTGTCAGTACACATGCCAAGACTGTTGCGGCCACTAAAGTGCCTTTTAGTCAGACTTCCCTAGAGCTATCCAGGAGAAAGGATCAAGCCAAACCTCTCTCCTCAAATGTTGCCTCTTCTGCTTCCCGCTTGAGGCAGACATCAGTGGCTCCATGTGTGGTTTCTGACTGGGAGAATGGGGACGGGAATAAATCCAACACCCAGAGCCAATTCACCACTGTGCCAGATGTGTTTCCAAATCTACTTAATGGGATTCAAAACCCAAACCAGGGACTGGCAACAGGATTGATGAAGGCTAGTGGCAGCCTCACAGAGACCAGTGCCCCTTCCTCCTTCACCAAGAAGGAATGCCAGATTGAGTTTCATTTCCAGGTGACGGGTGCCATGCAGCAATATATGTCGCTCCAAACCTCTCAGCCTGATGATGGTTTAGCAATGAGCGGGCGACAGGCTGCCACAGGGGATGCATCGTTGGGATTAGACCCTCTTATGTCAGATTGTCAGAAAGACCAGTTCATCAAAGGACGGCCCACTCTGCAGCAAACTAACACGTTGAAGGTGAGTATTGATGATTCTCAACGTGGAAGCCACATCTGCTCAGTTAAAGTGGAACAAAAAAATAAAGTAAAAAATAAGTCTTCTATTCGGAGTTGGGTTTTAAACTCTTAAAATGAATTGCTTGTCGTAGTACAGAGTGAAAAGTGAACATAAAGATATTAAGACAGACTGACTTGCATGAGTTCCTGCTGTCCATTTAGAACTACATCTGCATCTTGGCTACCAAGTAATCAATCGCTGTATAGTGAAGAATAGCTTTTTTTCTTCTTGATTAATACAGTGGAAAATTATGGTTTCATAAAGGGCAAACCTGATAAATCACCTAGGCTGATGTATTGGTGTATAAGGCGGCATGTTAGCATTGGTAATGTGTGCTTAAACATAACTGATTATCATTTGGCTCCTGAAGCTCACATTTTAGTTAGTTAATTTTAATTAGGATTATTATTTGTTACACACATCCTTACTGGTGAACTTAGCTTTCCTCATAAAATAAATACCTTGTTTTTTTTTCTTAGGCCGTGCAATTACTGATTTTATGATGATGTTCCAGCATATGTAAGCCCACTTACTGGCTCTTTCTCCATATTTGACCTTTTGTTGTTTTGTCTTGTTAGCTTGAAGCTGCAGACTCTTCCTCCTTGCTGTCAGTGCCTCCTCTATGCCTTACTCTTTGTGAACATCAGGGGGCAGCATTAGGAAAGAATGCCTCCAGCCATGACAGCACAAAAGTAGAAATAAGAAGCACAACAAGAGAAACAACAACACCTGCAAGGAGAAGCCATTCAGCTAAACCAGCAACAAAAGGCAGTGAAACACAAAATAGTTGCTCTATAAAAACAGTTTTAAACAATCAGTTACTAGTAAGAGGTGGTCCTCAAGCAGTAGTGGCAACAACTAACAACAGCAAGCCCCAAACGATAGCATCACTAGACCTAAACAAGCAGGCCCCACAAAGTCGGTGTCCACCTGGAAGCACTTTGTCCACATGCAGAAGAATCAGTCCTCCAGCAGCCAGTCCCTTTCCAAATGGCCCCATGCCAACTATCCTCAGTGCCAGTGTCAGTGCCACTCAGGACAAGAAGCCCACACCGCTGGATGCCATCACAGGTAATCAGAATTATTGTTTCACTGTGACATTGAATGTAGCTGTCAAAGAAAACCCAGACCAACAGAATGGTTGTTGAATCTGCAGATTGGGAATCAAGAACCTCTTAACATGTTGAAGACAAGTTGAACAGAATTATTCATGAGCATACGGAGTTCTGGTAATACTGAGTTTGAACCTCCTCCAGAAACTTTGTTAATGCTGATCTTTAGAGACAGAAAGCTATTAGTCTCCTACCTGCACATCTCACTATAGTTTTGTGAGGATGTTATTATGTTAATTGGAAATATTTTAGCATTAGCTAACACACTAGTGACCAACTTGCATGTTTTTTTTGTCTTTCAGTTACAGAAGAAAATATCTAATAGACAATATTGTAGCAAATCTACTCTGTTAATAAAGTTATGAATAATAATATTCGGAAATATTATATCAGAAGCACTCGTTTTAGGGCACCACCTGAATTTCCGTTCGCCAAAGGCCTTCAGGACTCCTTAGGTATGGCTTAATAATTACACAATTCTTTACTAGTGATCAGTTAGTAATTACTTAATTAAGTTTAAACAATTGGTCTCAAATCAAAAGGTGAATCCCCTGTCCAGTGACCTGGAGCTAAACACACACACACACACACAGTTCCTGTGATTAAGTGAAAATGTATTAAAACTACAGTGAATACACAGTGAGGTTAAATATGTCAGAGAAATAAAAACAATAATGATGCAATCAATGAGAGTAATAGAGGTCAATGTGAATTTACTTGGGCTACTGTGGGAAAGAATTTCATTCTAAGGGAGTAAAAGAACTAATGAATGCAATTTATTTGATCATAACTAAGTTCGATTTGGCTAGGAGTTTCAGGACTAAAGGACATCAAGTTGGCCACAGAATGCAGAGTTTGGTTATTGTCTTACTGCTGTCGTTTTGTCCCAACGTCTGGATGGTAAAGGCTCACTGTCGGCTTGGCTCGTTCATTATGTTCAGGGGCCTCCGTGGCTTGGCATGCCACATGGCCTCTCGAGTGGATTTTTGGGCCCATGAGGTTATCATATAGTACTTTGGCTGGCTGGTGGTTGCGGAAAAACTCATGCAGTGAACGCGTGGGAGTAAGTAAGTTGCTGTGAGATGAAAGAAAACTTCGGTTCTCGGAGATTCTGGACCGGACCTCTTGGGTGTTGGACGCTGCTAGGAGCGAGACGCCAGGATAGTAGGGGGAGCTCACACCGTTGTGTTTTTGTCTCCTGGGGCGTGTCTCCAGGAGGAGGACTTTAGAGTCTCCTGAGATTTCTGTGTCTTAACTTTAATAAGGTTAAAAGTCTATTTGTGTGTGTTTTAATCAAATACCTTTCCACAATCAACTCTTAAATGTCACAGTTATAAAGTTCTTAGTTTTAAGCATTTATATAAATGAAAATAAAACAAAACAAAAGCTAGCGTGTGAATTGTTCTTAATCAGAAAACTGTTGGCTTTACATGACACCATTTATAATATAGTAGGCGTAAGAACAGCTTGACTACATACTACTTTACCTAAGGAGATAAGTATTTGAAAGCATTTAAACATGGTATCCGTTAAACAATGACACAGTTCGTAATAGATAGACTTTCTCCTTATACATGAATAAGTATAGTCTAACAATGGCATGTTATACTTTTGTCTTCTGGGGGACACTGGTTTCAGGAGAGGACCTGGAAATCACTCTGACTACTTCAGAAATGGTTATTTAACTTTTTAAATTCAATTCTTGGCTCAGGAGCTGGGAAAATTGATTATTTAACACATGATAATATTTCTGTACCATATAATATCTAAAAGTATGTAAAAAGGGCTGAAACAAAGCATTAGATAAACATAGAACACAGGCAGGAATGTAAATGAGCCTCAGGAGAATGAAAAGCACTTTAAATTAACTTTCTTTGTGGTTCCTTCTTCTAACAAGAACAACATGGTAATAAAACTACTCAAAATTGAAGTGGAGAACTACTAAATAACTGTTAAAGATTATTTAGCTAAACAGCAACAGAAGAAGTTATAAGGAGACAGCATCCTTCGTTCACACCTAGTAATTTGAATCTGTTCTTTCTCTGGCTTTTGGCACATCGGCGTGAAAAGGAGGGGGCATGTTAAGAGTTTCATGAGCTCTGTCCAATGAGGTCCTGACAGCCTGGTTAAGGGTGAGGTTAGTCTGGACAAGGTTAATATGTAACAGTCATGTATAGAGTCTGTTATCTTAACTTCACCAGAGGAAAGACACGTGATTCGTGTATTCAGTTCATAGGTATCTAGCATGAAAACAGAAATCGACCATTACATACATGCTGTACGCTGTATGACTGTTCTTTCCCTCATAGATGTGGCCTCCTGTCCTGCAGGAGCCTTGATGGGCTCCATGACCACTCAGATCTCCGCAATCCACCTCACCAGGCAGGGACAGCCTGCCTCCAAGTCATCTTCATCTCCATTCCCTTCCTCCCCCTCACTTATGGAGGAGTGTCAGGTTGGAGAGACTCAGCTTTCAGGGTGAGCAAAAGCAAATTGCTTCTCAATCAATAGATGTAGTTCTGTTTTGTTTTTTTTACTCCTCCTCCTAATTTCACCTTGTATTAATTGTTTCCAGCCAGGAGTGTGTTATGCAGGTGGATGGAGTTGAGGAGGAGCTGCCTGATGAGCTGGAAAATGCCTGCAGTGACGATGGTAAGATATTAAACTACACACGTCATCACACTCGAGCTGCTTTCAGTCATTTAGCACTATTGGTGATTGTTAACTGCTAATTTGAGTTGCCTTCTGTTGTCTTCAGATGATTCAGATTGTTCGTCCATCAATGGCACCTCATCCACAGCATCCTTTGGTCTTCTTTCTGGGTAAGACACACGCGAACCACACACCCATACACTTTATTTATTTATGTTGACATTTAAGAACATAAACACTGACTGATGCAAACTCTGTGCTTTTGGAGCTTTTTTTCTGGACGCTCGCCCCCCTCATGTATGCCTAGAGAAGTATAATCACTGTCAACACCTGTTTAAAGCGGTCTTTAAAGCCCCACTGGGTTTCATTATGGCCACATAAATAACCGGTGAATCAATAATTTAAAAAGATGATTTTCGTTAGGTAGGTAGTTTTTAACCATTTAACAGACAATTGCTTGTGGTGTTAAACCCATTTTATGAGTTTGAAAAGATGATTTTTACCCGAAGAGAACCACAAGTTTTTATTTTTCATCAACGTCTTATGGAACAAAATGTCAGTGTCCTTTCCTTGGACCGCCATACATCTAAGCCTTGTTTCTAATTGGTCTCCGAAAATGCCATAAAACGTATATCATCATATCACCATCCGAGCCTGTGGACTCTTTCTCTCTCTTTCATTCTCTCCCACTGCATTGTTTAAAGAGGCTGAAAGCAGCAGAGCGTGGTGGAAAGGTCTGCTGCATTGTGTATATTATTGTTCTCCACTGTGATGGCCTCAACAGTGGAACTCCCTACCAAAGACTCGGAGCTGATTCTCTGCTAAAACAGCCTGGATAGGGACCACTATTGTCGTCTTTTTCTTTTTTCCCCCCAACCAGCTGATTTGTTTGTGCTGATTTACGTACATCCCAACATCCTCCCACCTTTTCCTGATGGCTATAGCTTTCCTGTATGTATGGTGTAGTGTTAAGTTAGCCTAGTCTAGCTGTAATGCCATCGTGTTCCTGTCGGTGGTGGAAGGAATTTTGTTTTTTTTTAAGAGAAACTATTTAGAAGAGGATATCATCCCCTGTTACTTCATCCATCTGTTTTTGCCATCCTTGCTTCTTTGCCTATATGACTGTCATGTGAGTGTTTTTTTTCCTTTAGTGTGTAAATTCTCATTATTTTGTGTTGATCTGATTTGGTGTTATGTTGAGGGGGAAAAAAGAGCTCAGGAATCTGCTATTGTTGGACTTAACTTGCAACTGGCTGTTTTAGGAAAAACTAGAGCAGCACTAGTGTTATTTTGTTAAATGTGTATATATAAATGTAATATATGATTCCAGACACGAAATACAGCAATTTATGTGTTCCTGTTAATGTTGAGCCATCATTGGATCTCCACTGGCAAAAGTCTCTGTGAATAGTGGTATTAAAATCTAAAATGTGGGAATATAAATTTTAGTAGATCAAAAAGTCACTTTCTAGAAGGTCTCCTTTGTGTTTCAGCTCAAAATGTACTTGTACTCTCTGTGTGATGTCTCTGACCCCAAATTCACACATGCATCATGTTACCAGTGCATAGTGCAAACGATCATCCATCCTGTCCACACTCGTATTGTGTTACAAACTAGAGTGGTGACCGGATGCCAGCTTCTGTTAGTTAGTGGTCGGTGAACGTAACTCGAGCTGCATTACTTTTAAATTTTGTTGTGAGACTGCAATTTGCTCGTTTAATATTAACAAGCAAATCAGAGGTGCGGCGCTGACAGGACCGTCTTCAGCAGCAAAACTCGGCAAAACAATCAATATAGATGGGAGGTTACGTGTTTACAACTTACAGAAAGTAAATGTGTTATTTGAATGTCTCTCTATAGACTTTGGGCTTAAACTAAACAGTTGTAAGATGTCGTTTCTTGATGCAAGTTTCTCAGTCAAATGCTTCATAAAATGTTGTATAAATGGATTGTCTTTAGTGGGATATAAACCAAATTTGTCATTATATGAATATTTGCTGAGTTCTCTTGATCAATCACATGCAACTTCTCCCTTTTTGATATAAACAATATAGTACTGTTATGGTGTTGGTGTAGATGTGATTAATCTGTTTGCCTTTACTCTTTCTTTCTTTCTCTCAGTGTTGAGGAGGCGATGTCGTTGGGTGCCGAAGATGATCGAGAGGAGAGGCCAGCTTTGGTTCCCAGTTTGTTCCCCTTCATTCCTCCAACACTCTACTTCAGCACCGCCAGTGAGAAAGGTCAGGACGAGCATATCTGCTGTATGAAACTGACAGTAGCTGTAACAGTAGGCAAAGTGAACTGAGGCTTGGAGAGTTAATCACTGACAGGATGTCATGTTTGAAGATTGCAAGCCCAAGCAGACAAAAACAGGGAAAGTCTTAACTATCCAAGGTGGGTTAAAATCAAGGGCAGCTGGACTTGTTTGACGATCCTCTAAGATGTTTTGCCTCTTGGATTCAAACAATTCCAGCTGCCCTTGATTTTTAACCCCAAAACTGTTTCCAAGAGTGTGACAGGAGAGTATGTGTTTTAAAAAAATTTTATAAGTTATTCAGCTAAAACCACCAAAATAAAACAGTGACTAGCTGAGTTCAAACCATCTTTGGCTATAAAATAATAAAGTCAGATTTTGGTTACTACGCTAATCCTCTGGTTAATGCTGGTTCATCTGAGAAAAGGTAGAAGGTTAAGGGTGTTGTGTTTATCATATATTATTTAATCCAGTTTTATTTACATATTGATTGTGGGTGCTGTGAACTGTTTCGATATATGCATCATGCCTGTAGTCTGTGTAGACATAATGTGTAGCAGTTTTAGAAACATCTGGTCATAAATTACAAACAGCTTCTGTGTCGTGTGCTCTGCAGTGGAACTGCTGCCTGCAGAACAAAGACGACTGTTAAAATGGAAGATGAGCAACGTCACTCCAAATATTGTCAAACACACTGTCGGCAGGTCCCACTTCAAAGTCACCAAGAGTAAGTCATCACATTTGCACCACATAATTCAGAAATACTTAAATCATAGACAGGATGTCATCCCGTCTGCTAGATCTGCTAAACTAATCAGTGTGGATTAAATCTTTAAGGATCAACACCTATGCCAGGGGTTCTCAAACTTTGATCTGTGATACTCCACTTCAGAAGCTGAAAAAAGTTAATTACCCCACCTTAGCAAAAGCCTATTTCATTTTTATGTCATTAACATTTACGATTTGAAATAAACAAAAACATTAATTCAGGTTAGCAAAATAGCCTTGCTAGCATCGGAGCACTTATGTTACCACATGAATCATATTCATGCAACTGCTGCTCAACAATAATAAATAACTGTTAATTGTCCTGGATGAGCCAAATCCGTTGTTCCAAATGTTCTTTTGTTCATATAGAAAGCCATGACTGGTTGGGCTGCTGGGGACACCACATGAAGTCTCTTGGTTTCAAGGCCCTTGGAGAGCATCAGAAGGTGAGAAACTGTAGATTCACGATTCATTTCCACCTTGTGCTCCCAGAAAGCTTTAATTTAAACCAACTTTTACGAAGGTGAAATCATCAAATTACCTTTTTTAGGTCTTCTGTCCAGAATTCCACTTATCTTGGATGTGTTTGTGTTTCTCTGGTCCTAGTTGAACCACTTCCCGGGAACATTTCAGATTGGCCGAAAGGACCGGCTGTGGAGGAACCTGTCCAAGATGCAGGTTCGCTTTGGCAAACAAGAGTTCAGCTTTTTCCCCCGCACCTTCATCCTTCCTCAGGACATCAAGCTGCTCCGCAAGGCCTGGGAGGACGCTGGTTCCAGACAGAAATGGATCGTCAAACCTGTATGTTCTCCCAGTATATAATCATTTTTTCAGTTTACTTTTAACTGTATCAAAGCTGTGAAGGCAAGTCAGTCTCAAAACACAGGGGAAAAAAACACTCAAATACTAATTGTTGCCTGTTTTTTGTAACTAATTGGAAAGTGTAATGCTCCCAAACTGTAGATCTAAATGGCTAATTTGTGTTTGCCATTCGGAGGCAGCAACACCACAAGACTGACCTGGCTAAACAGACGAAACACACTATTGTGCTACAGCTAACAGACAGCTGATGCACTTTCCTTGTGCTCTAGGATTTCTGTTGCGTTTGTACTATTTTGATAGTAATTGTTTGGGTCACATGGCGTACCTGACTGAGGAAGTCGCATACCAAACGTCCTGTACCTGTAACAGTTGAGGATGATGCACACAGTTACACCGCTAAAGAAAATGTGTTTCTTTCTATTATTAGGTAACTGTTTTATTTAGTTTTTTTCTTAATTCTCTTTCTATTCCCATCTCTAATAGCCTGCGTCAGCCAGAGGAATAGGTATCCAGGTCATTCACAAATGGAGCCAGATGCCCCGCAAGAGACCGCTACTGGTCCAGAAGTAAGTAGACTAGAATGATAATGGTTTGAAAGTTAGTAGCCCACAGCACCTTTTCCTGTTCCTGACACTACATTATTCATGAGGATAAAACATTCTGGTCGTGTTTTGCAGGTACCTTCACAAGCCCTACCTCATCAGCGGTAATAAGTTTGACCTGCGGATTTACGTTTATGTGACATCCTACGACCCGCTGAAAATTTACATCTTCTCTGATGGACTGGTTCGATTCGCCAGCTGCAAGTCAGTTTATATCACATCTACCACAGTGACTAGGCAACTAAGGCCACATTTACACTACTCTGTTTTAGTTTACAAACGGGGAATTAAAACAAATACGATCTCCTTCCACACTGTCTACATTAAAATGACTGAAAACGCAATAGCCAGTGCCCGTTCAGGTACACTGGGTATGCGCGTGCCGGTGTAAACATGAAGCAGATGCAGTCTGTTACGTAGTTACAGAAGATTTGACCAAAGAATAAATAAATACAGATTAAGCATCAGACCAGGGTATTTTTTTTCATGTTCCAATAACGAGCTGGGACTGTTACTGAATGTAATACGGGAGTGTGGCGGCAGAAAACAGACTGGGAGTCGTCACAAAGGAAACGGCGCCATGCACAGTACAAGTGTAGGCAGCGAAGTGTAATTTGCACGGTACATAATATTTTAATAAAAATACCATGTCAAAAACTTGGTCAGTAGCATCGTGTTTCTGCTTTGCAAGACCAAATCAGAGAGCCGAGCGTGAGCAGCTGCATCATCGTTTCTAAAGTCCTCCGTTTTTGCCCGTCTTCACTAAAATGCCCTCCAGAGTTTTGAAATGCAAAACGGGGTCGGCAGCGTTTCCAAACTTCGTCGTCTTAGTCTGGATGGGAGGTGCAAACGTAGCAAATAGTCTCCATTTTAATTCGAAAACGCAGTAGTGTGGATGGGGCCTAATACTGTAGATTAATTAATGTAAAATGGAACATAAATGATCTCCATTGTGAAAGTCTGTCATTTAAATAGGAAAAAAACCCAGTAAAGTGTGTGTGTTTATAAATACAAATATAATATATGATTTGTGACACTTTAAATAAGATGTCAGGCTTGCAAAAAGCTGATGACGGAGGTCATATTTGATTTAATTCCACATCTATGTTTCTCCTCTTTAGGTATTCGTCTTCCATGAAGACTCTGGGTAACAAGTTCATGCACCTGACCAACTACAGTGTCAACAAGAAGAACTCCGAATACCAAACAAACAGCGATGACAAGGCCTGCCAGGGACACAAATGGTAACAGAAAGACAAAATAAAGAAAGAGGTTTATGTTTGAATCAATGAAACAAAGACAGGGAAGGTGATCATTTTAAGAGCTGAAAGCAGGGAATGAGGGAGGAAGAGGAAGTATAAAAGAAGTAGGGGTAAAGGAGTGGAAGGAAGGGGGGTGGGGGTGTGGGGGTGAGACAGGTGGAAGGGAGGACAAAGGGCACAGCCTGACTAAATATGGCCTGGCCAACACTTGGCACAAGAAGAGATTGGAATTTGGAGGACAGAAAGGATGAATTAGAATTATTGGATTCTGTCTTTTTGAGTCCTTACTCCAGAGTTTAAGTAAACCATCGACTAAAATTCTACATTCAAAGAAGGTTCCTCTCCTAGACATGTTTCTAAAGTGGAACTCGGATCTGTGACACCTCTTTGCTACTATTATTGTTATGGTGTCTGAGCGTATGTGTTCCCCTTCGCCAACAAAGTGTGAGTTTGAATGTGTGTGTTTTCAGGGCTTTGAAGGCCTTGTGGCAGTATCTTGGTTCTAAGGGAGTCAACACCACTCTGATCTGGGAGAAGATTAAAGACATTGTGATCAAAACCATCATTGCGTAAGTTCACCCATTCATTCAGTCACTGGCTGAAGATCTGCAGGGCAAATATATTTTTATTTATTTTATATAAAACTTTAAGTGAAGTGTTTATTGATGTTGCTTTTGCATCATGTCCTAAAGCACTAGATTCACTTTTTTTTACAGAATGTCAATTGTTACTAATACAACCTGGTTCTTTTCACTTTTGTACTTTCAAATTTTGTACTTTTAAATATTGCATGGCATAGATGACTGGCAACCTGTTTTCAAAGTGTAGATAGATAGATAGATAGATATAAAGTACCTTACAAATGCATTACATGCTGCAAAAATAATACGTTAAAATAGTTTTTAGACAGTGCCATTAATTATCTTGTATCACTGCAGATACACAGTGACAGATTAGACAAGAACAATATAAGCAACATTTTCATTGTTTTGCATTTCAGACTTTCATTCGGAAATAAAATATAAAATATTATCTCATCTCATTCTTGTGAACCCAATATCGTGTATTATCTTATCTCAAGAGCCAAGTGTACCGTTACACTCCCACTCTTTGGTGATCGAGTGAACCCTTCTCATTGACCAATTAGTTTATTATCTCCAGACTAGAGCCCGACCGATATGGGTTTTTGGGGGCCGATGCCGATATTAAGTGAAAAAGAGCCGATTTATGAGCCGATATTTTGATTTTAAGAATGATTTGGATAGTAGACCCCTTTACTGTATAAACTACACTTAGAACAGGCCGATATTGAAAGCTGGTATGTGTGGGGGCTATAAAACCTTTTCCTAAATGATTTCATTGATAAAATCAATTACACTCTCAAAAAGTGAAAATTGTAAACAATTGCGCGTCAATAAATATTTGCTGCTGGAAGGTGCAAATTTTCTAGGATACAGTGAGCTGCTGTTGAATGCATCTAAAGTGCAATTTATACTTGTGCATCAAATCGACGGCGTAGTCTCTGCGTAGCCCCCTACCCTACGCCGTGCACCTCCTCAAAAATGTAACGACACGTGGAGGCGACGCGGACCGTAAGCACTGGGATTGGTCGGCTGGATGGCTTCCCAATAAAATGCTGCAGTCCTTGCGGTCACTTGAGGGAAAAAATTGAGTCATTTACATTTTGCATGCTGTAATGAATCTCAGGTTCCTTTTGAGTCAATGTGTTTTTGACAATTCCTTAACGAACAAATCTGAGTAATATTATTTTATTCTGGGTGTAGAAGAAAAGGTAGTGTCAGGAAAGTCTGTGAAATGCTGGAGTGATGAAAGAGAAAAGTCAGTTTGAAATAATGATATAATAATGGTTATGAAATAAGCTATCTCCTTCCTGTTATCAGGTCAGAACCGTACGTCAACAGTCTGCTGAAGATGCACCTTCGGACACCTTACAGCTGCCATGAGCTGTTTGGATTTGACATTATGCTGGATGAGAAACTCAAACCCTGGATCCTGGAGGTCAACATATCACCAAGGTAACATTCACACGGAGAGACACTTACTTAAAACACACATACAAGTTTTCAAACTAGATTTTGTAACTGTTGTGTTTCTGGCCCAGCCTCCATTCCAACACAGCGCTGGATGTTTCCATTAAAGGTCAGATGATCAGAGACCTCCTGAACCTGGCTGGCTTTCGTATACCTCAGAGAGAAGATGTGGTCGCCCCCTGCAGTAGCTCCTCCAGCTCTACCAGCAGGTAGGGAGGTGATACTACACCGTACAGGCTATTGTTAGAATCACACCATCTACACGAGGGGGTCCTGTAACTGAGAGGAACTCAGAGAAGACTTTAAAGTTGAATCAACACCTCTGACTGTGTGTGTGTGTAGCCTGTGTGGCGGGAACAGGGAGAGAACCAAACCAGATCTGTCTGCTGATGAGAGGGTGAAACGGGCCTTTTACCTCACACAGCGATATGCAGACCAGGTCAGTGAATACAAACACAAATAAAACATTTGGACCAAGTAAGTAGTAGTTTATTCAACTAAGTGTAAATCCAATCCAATCCAAGGTGGGTTAAATCAACAGCCAACAATTACAACTTTGTCTCCTTCCTTCTGCCTCTCAGGACCTCCTCTCTTCAGTGTTGGATGTCTTAACTCCAGAGGACGTTCACGTGCTAGCAGAGAGTGAAGACGAGCTGAATCGTCTCGGAGAGTTTGAGCGAGTTTTCCCATCCCCGTCATCATCTCGCTACCTCCGCTTTTTCGAGTGTCCAAGATACCTCAACATCCTGCTGGACCAGTGGGAGCAGAGGTACTGGAACAACAGGGCAAAAGGTATGTGAGCAATTTCACAATAAAACTCTCAGTGGTGTTGATTTATTAAGGATTTGCTCTGCTTTTTTAGACCTTAATGAGACGGATTGTTTATCTATATTTACTTTGGTGCTGCGCTGAAGTTAAAATAGCAGAATTGATGCACATTGAGAATTGTTTGTGTGGGTTAATGTAATATTTAATTAGAGGTCCTCCGATCAGGATTTTTTGGGCCACATTTTAGCTGCCATTGAAAATTTTCTGGCGAGTATTGCATCATCTGATCAGCTTTTCTCATCGGCCTTTTTAGGGACCACCGTTCAAACTAGTTAAAGCCATTATCGGCCGATTATGATCGGTGACCGATCGATCGGAGCACCCTTATATTTAATGTAAGGCTTTTGTAGATGCAATATATGGGGAAAATATGTGCAAATTCATACAAATTACCACTAAAAGTGATTTGTCATTGCTGGTCGATCACTGTATCCAAGGCAGCACACAGGGCAGATTAAACACTGAAACTGCTGAGAGAGTAAATCCAGATTTGATGGATTATGTTTTATGTGCAGGTATCAGTCTGCTGAGGACTCTCTGTCAGAAAGGAGTTCATCTGGGGACTGATGACCCTGCTCACATGGTGAGGAACTGTTGAAAGACTAAATTAATTTGTCTGAATAAATGATGAAGGTGATATTTTTTTGTAATCAGAAAATCCGTGGGTTTTTTCTCTGTTGTTGTTGTGTCTTTGTTGTGTGACTTCTTAGTGGTCCAAGTGTAGCTACATCTCAAGGTTTGAACCCCACAGACAAGACCTTGTCAGCCCATCCAGATCCAGGTACATGCATGCTCTTACACACACAGCATAAAAATAAATGTCAGGAATACACCAATACTACTTTCTTAACCCTAACAGATGCAAAGAGCAAAATATTAAACAGATATTACTGGTGATGATCCATTTAATAATATTATATGAATATGGATGTGCTTCATGAAATCTTCTTGGATCATCCTAGTGTGTGTAAAATCAGATTAATAAAATAAAGAAACTATTGTGTTCATTTACTTTCAGCTGTCTTAAGTAAACAAAACCTCACTTTGGTGTGTATTTAATTAGCCTATAAAAAGCATTAAAAAACCATCTTCATGTTTATTGAAATAACTGACGGTTATACCGTTATTTTACAATTTGCCACATGCTGAAATAAATTGAAGTATTTTAGAGTGGGTTAGGATTTATTACACACTACATGTTAAATTAACCAGATGATCTTCATGCTGCCCTCTCCTGTCTTGTTCTCCAGGGTAGTGGTCAGCCTTCAGCACCATTCCCATCACGATAACCATGACGACGCTTCAGACAGGGATGATGCTTCGGTCTTCAGCCTGCCCGTGTCGCCAAGTCCTGGATCAAGTGTCGCCAGCAGTGCCTGTGCAAGCCCTCAGCCCAGCCCGGCCCAGAGCCTGCCGCTTCAACAGTTTGCTCCACTCTGAGACTTGGTTTGCTAACACTGTGTTCAGACACAAAGCTCATGGTCTAGGACTTAGCCCTTACCTCCTTTAACATCCTTCTATTGACCTCTCATGTCTAGTAGTTCTGAAATCCTGGATGAGAAATGTATTTAGAACCACTGTATAAGTTTGAAGCTCTTAACACTGTACAGGGGAGAGGATTTTGGTCTTTAACAGAATTGTAGTTGGTAGTCAGTTCATGGCGACTCATCCTTTCTAGTCTTGAGGTAACCTCCAGTGTTTTTATGTTTTCGCCAATTTACTACAAATCAATAATATGCCTATTGTCCAACTTGAGGTCAAATTGTATTCTGAGCTTCTGAGCAGCCAGTGATTTCCACTGATTTCTTTTGAAAATTGTCCTGCAGAGACATGCTGAGGATGCATAATCCATCACAGTGAGCTTTATGTCTATTCAGTTTTTAAAAAATGTGTGTTGTTATATGGCACTGCATGACATTCAGCTCAATAAGATTATAAGTACATTGACTGAATGGAGAACTGTACACAGAAGCTCTAGCAAAACAAAATGCAGTGGTCCAGCCAAAAAGCTGTTCTTTGCTTAATGCAGAGTCATCTGCCAAGGCGATGCATTAGCCAATCAAGCACAGGCTAGCTACACGCCTGGTAGATACTGTGTTATTCTGCGTTTTACCCCGTGATTGTTCTGACTGAGGATTAAATAATGTTCTGCGAGTTTTCTCGTAGTATTATACTTGACAGTGCAGTGTTTGGCTTTGGATAAGTATTTAAACTAATGCGTGTATTACTAAACAAGACGGTACTTCATCTTCTCACTGGCACCTGAAGTCAACACAGCCCCTGTGGTGGTGAATGCCCGCTAAGAACAAGATGTTCAGGTCCCATCTTGCTACACATGTTGGTCCTCACTGGCCTTTTGTACCAAACTTAAACTGTGAATGAGACATACTGGACTTCCTCACAACCATTAAAGTATTGTTTTCATAGGGTGTTGTGAATTTTACGCACTCAGAATAGCGAAGAAAAGTCAATACTACCTTACAGAGCACAGTGGCCCAGAGTTGTGATGATAAATAACGACACAATACCGTGATTTCTCTGTCTTTATTCTAAGACTGTTGTTGGTATGGTGTTAAGAGGATTGTTGAACAACTGATCCCACAAGTGTAAGATTCCTAGTCTTATAGCCCCTTTGTGTGAGTGTTCATGTGGAAAAGAGGTGAGGAAAAAAGGGCTCTTGGTAGACAAAGGAAGGGAGGGAATGGGGAGTAGCGGCAGAAAAAGACTATTATGATCTGACCACACTTTGTGTGGTGTGTTGAGATCGCTGCAACTTATTTAAAATGTCTATAAAGTGTTAGTACTTGATTTTGATTTTCACTGGTTGATGGTGTTGCTGGTGTGTTTCACAAAACCTCATTTTGATTAATGATTTGCAGGATGTTAGCGATTCTTGAAGATTACTCAGTCTGACAGGCGGGTTGGTAGACAAAAAAAGGTTTATTACTACAAACTACTACCTTTTTATAATTTCCACTGTCATATTGATGTCACTTCATAACAGCAGGCTAATTTGACTTTTAAAAAGGGCTTTCATTTCTGTGTGACGATTTCTTGCACACAAATTATAATATATATTTATTGAAAGCTGCCAAATCCAAGTCCAGCACCAGAATGTAACCTTGCAGAACCAAGTGTGTGTTAACTGAAACGTTTTAAACACGTTTCCTTTTAAAGTTTTAAAAGTACCTCAAACTCATTAACACTGAGTTGAGCGGTTAGAAACGGAGTGCTGGTTTGGTATTTTCTTTTGAGGGCAACCAGTTTAAGATTTCTTATGTTTCCTCAGGGGAAAGTATCTTAGGAAGTATCTTAATTCAAAAATATATATCTACTGTGAGGACACTTTCAGAAAAGTAACATAAAACTACTTGAAGAGCTGGTTATAGATGAGAAAAGTGTACCTGTCTTACCTACACTGATATTTGAAATCCTCCAAAGTCATTATGACGTCCTGTTTTATATTCTGGAGGACATTATTTGAAAAGTTATTCCTGCTCCCAGAAGTTACAAGAAAAAGTGTGGAAGCTAACTTTGTTTTACAGATGAATTTAATTATGCAATTTACTAACGGATGCCAAACTGCTGTGCAGTGTCAGTATGTAGCGGACATTTATATCTCAATGCAAGCTTTTATTATCACTTAATTATTAGACGTGAAATAGAACAACAAGTAAGAATATAAATGTAGTAAAATGCTAATTTTGACAAAGGTCATTGCATTTAAACAAAATGGGAAGTGATATGGAGCACAGTGTGGCATTTGAAGGCTTTTCCCTGGTTTACAGAGCTCTGTCTGATCTAGACTGATCAGATTAACTAAATGCTCTTCATGGAGCTTCTCAAAGCACACACTAAGGGCTCATACACACACACACACACACACACACACACACACACACACACACACACACACACACACACACAGAAGTACTTTTTCTGTATTCAATTCTGTATTCAATATTTTTAAGATTTGATTAATTATTTAGTCTATAACATTCTAGTATATAATGTGGAAATAAAGGCCATCAGTCTTCCAGAGCTGAAGGAGTTGTCTTCAAACAGTCAAGTTCAATTATAGAAATCCATAATGAAATGAAAACTGATTCAGAACATCTTCAGATATGAGAAGCTGGTACCAGTGAATGTTTAGTATAAATCACTTCAGCAGTTAGCTGTCTGTAAAACCTTTTTGTTGATTTTAATAAACAGGAAATTAATCATATTAATTAATCAAATAATAGTTAAGCTCTTGAACGTGAATCACCTGTCATGCCATGACTGGCAAGAGATTTGGAAAAACTTCTGCATTCACGCTTACTTTTTAATTTGCGTCAGTTGTTTCTCCTCCCATCTCCGCCTCGTCACAAACCTACAGTATCCTCTTCAGTTCAGCTTTCATTTGTGTCTGAACTGGGTCTCACACATTAGTAGCCTAGCATCTCCCATGCACCATAAAGTCGGGATCAACAGACCATTACGGGTAGTATTGTATATTTTGCTTATTCACAATACGACAAATTAAATATTTTACCTAAAATGTACATGTAAACATACAAAGCCACCAGTGAAGCTTCTCTTCAATGAGTAGGAGGGGCTCTATGGGCCCTTGAGGCATAAAATCAATTTTTATATATATATAGACAGATGTATAAAACTAAATAACACTGCATTTGAAGTTTTTAACATAAGAGAAATGTTATAACTAAGTGGAGATGATATTGTTTACTAACATGTTAAAGGGTTGTATGAATTGCTCAGGATGACAATTTTAAAATAAAAGTTATTTGTGGTACAAGTGTCATGATTGGGTATTTGTCTGGTGGACTAAACAAATTATTTTCAGTTTTTTTTGTCTTGTTTTTTTTGGGGGGGGGGGGGGGGTATTTGATGGCGATCACAAGAACAGAGGAACACATTTATAAAATGCCCTGCAGTGACATTAAATGTAAATTTTTGAATTTAATAAATCAAATTGTCATTGCCTTATTGTCAATGGGCTCAAAACTCACTTAGACGTGAAGCACACGCCTGTTTTCTCCGTTGCTTGCATCAGCCACTATTCTGCTTTTAATGTGAGGTCTCCGGGTCAGATTCAGCTCTGTGCGCGCTCCCGAGCCTCTCTCGTGTAACAGCGACAACACGGTAGCTAATGACATGCAGTCCACTAACACCATAAAACAACTGGCTCACAGCAAAACACAGGCTCCACGTAAGGATATAAAACAACAAAGGTTTATGTGCTGAAGCCCATCAGACCAAACAGGTTCAGATGATGTCGAGTAAGAACAAAGTGAGCATTAGTAAAGCTGGAGAAACAGAGAAAGTCACGTTAGCTCGCAGGCCGAGCAGTTGCTAATGTCCTGTGCAAAGTTATATCGCTTTCACATTACTTCACCAACTAATGCAACCCGTGTTACTTTCAAAGCCTGCAAGAAATGATGTAATGGTAAAAAGCTAATGTGGAGCGATTTGTTTACTATCCTATTGTAATGCAGCCAGCTAATGCTACATTAGCCCCGACCTGCCGCTGTTTGCTTCATAACGTTCAATTTAGATTTATTGCCTTTTACCGATACACAGCTTCTCCACCTCTCAGTCGCTGTAACTACCATGACCCACATAATACACAACCCAGAGGAAGAGCCATCCACTAACACTACAGTAAATTTACTTACAGCGCTAAGTAACTATTATAAAGTGTGACACAATCTCGTTATAATATTCAGTCCAGCTCACTAACAGTTTCATTATCATCAAAACATGTAGCTGTGCTGACATTGCTGAGCCTGAACATGTCTGAGTGAAAAGCCACAGCCTGCATGCTGGTGTTCCTGCGTTTATTGCAGGATTTCTGTATGAAAGTGGTTGTGTTTCAGATTATACAAGCGCCCGCCTGGTAGCAATCTTAAAACCCTACCGCTAGTTGCCGCTGGAAACTACATAATGTCCCTTTAAGTAAATCGGTTTATGTTGAGTTAAAATTTCTGACTTTATTAAGCTGTTGGCCAATGGTGACCCCGTTCATAGCTGCAACAACCTGTGTGCGCGCGCACACACACACACACACACACACACCGCTGTGGAGAGAATTGCAGACCGAAAGCAGGCTGTGGTATTCTGAATGTGTGTCAAGACTGTGCACGCTGTTGTAAACTATTAATATCTGAGCTCCTCTCTTAACAAGCAGGGATTTCTGCTTAAAATAGTTTTCTTTCTTAACTTTTTTTTTTTTATTTCTGCACAACATTGACTTGACAGAAGATGTTCTGTTTGAGTTAAAGGGATAAATTAATGGATAATTACATGTTTCATCCGTATTTTAGTGAAATTTAATGCTGCATGTAAAGTCACAACTCTATTTAGAGTCTTTCAGTGCATCTATAAATAGTGTGACATGTAATGATCCAGTGAAACATGAACGTCTCCCACAGTGACACTGACAAAGCCTTAAAGCTGCACTGGTCTGCTTTTTTTTTGTTTACATAGTCATTTGATCCATTGTTAAGTGAAAGTTGTCACTTATTGTGACAAACCAACAGAGCATTACCACCTGACATTTGAGGCAGTTCCCCTCAGCTCGACATATCATTACATCTTTCAGCTCATTGTTTTGGTTTTACTGCTGTTTTGGTGAGAGTGTTTTGGTTCACTCTTACAGCTCTCATAAACCTTGATTTCTGCAAAGAAAACTCACAAAACAAACAATGAGCACTACCTGCCCCCCCACACTAAATAACAGACAAAGATAGTAACTAGCTGGTGAACATAGCAGAGCATAAAGAAGAGTAACTGTTGTGCTTATATTTGTCAGGTGTCCAGAAACATGACCTGTGGCAGCTTGAAGTGTAAATTGGCAGCTATTTGCAAACACGTTATAACAACTCTGTTAGATGATTTGCCAGTGTTGTGTGTCAGATCAGTAAATGTAGCTTTAAAGTGAAGGGCCAATTGTTAGCTGTACATCACCACCTACATAATTTATCATAATTAGATAAATTGTTTAATTAGTTCCCATATAAGAAAACCCACACAAATATCGAGATGCAATAAGAACATGATTGCAAATCACACATATGTTGCATTATTTTACCATTTAATATAACTAAATTAAGGAAGTAAGTTAACAAGTTAATTTCTCTACTCCTGTCAGCCAGGGCTCAGTTCATACATCTCATCTGATTAGGCTTTATTGCCGATCTGGCTCTGCCATTTCCACCTTTAGAAGACTAAGTGACATGGATGACGTTGATTGCTTTCTGGGGGGTTTTTCTTTCCAAATGTTAATGATTCTGCTGCCCGAAGTTCTCACCAATGGATTATAAAGAAGTACTACTGTCTGTTTGTGTGTCTCTAGTCCCCCCCCAACTCTCCCATGTTTTCCCACCCACTTTCTCTCTCTCTCTCTGAATGCCACAGGCCTCCCACCCCTCAGACCAGATTTAGACCTCCAGTCTTTCCCAGGCATTCAGACCCAGCTGGCTGGTAGTGCACAGATTCCCTTGTCTCCGTCGTTCTTTGTGTCTAATACCTCGTCCTTTACTTCCTCTCCTTCCCATGCCTGGACTCTTTTATTACTTTTTTTGTCTGACATGGTAGCAGAGCCTGCCAGATGTCAGAGTTGGACGACAGGTCGAGGGTTGTAGTCCAGGGTTTCGCCTGTCGGTCTGGTTCCACAGAGGCAGACCTTGTGCTCCTCTTCCCCCAGCCATGGAGCCTCTTGCAGAGGTAAGACTCTGCTGCTCACCCTCACTCCCTTCTGAGCTGTCCGCTTCTGCTGGAAGTCTGTTTGAAGTGGTAACTGAAACGTGTGTTGCTGTTTGGACATGACTTTGTAACTGAGAGGCTGTAAGAAAAAACACTAGGGCTACTTTTACATTGCAGGTCTCAACGCCAAGTTCTTTTCACCAATGGATTTTGCATCATCTGTTTATATTTACCTTTCAAAATGAAACACATTAACAACCCTTATGCATGTTCAGATGAATAGACTCATTAATATGTTATATGTATTTCTGGTCTGGTATTTCTTGGATGTTTGGGTGGAGGGTCTAAACAAAGTTTCTGTAAGTGTGCACTGATGCTATGTTTGTAGTTGTTAAGCTGTGAGATGTCAACAGAGACCCGGAAACCTTGATTTGGGTTTCATTACTGTTTTAACCATTCTGTTCAATCTATATTTATTAATTTTCTCATTTCCCATTTTGCCTACATTTACTAATTGCCTTGAGCTGTTTATAATTTACTGCCAAATACCAAGTTTACTATTTGAAACCATGCCAGATACATTTTAACACTAGCACAGTCTAATTACCAGGGAAATATCATGAAATTAATTTGAGGGTTTAGAAACACGATCCCGATGACGGTACTAGTTGTGGAAATGTCAGTCCCAGAAAGCCTATTTGGGTAGAGGCTATACAAGCAGATGGTGACATGTCTTTTAAGGTCAACACATGGATAAATAAGTATGGTGTATATATGCTGCAAAATGACAATACAGGTATGAGGTAAGACATTAAACTTTACAAGTCACAAAGACGGACACCTTTTCCCCAATCATTCACTTCTCACGTTCATATGTGAGTGTGTGAGTAGCAAGTTTAATGGCAATCCATCCAATAGTTGTCGAGATATCGCATTCTGGACCAGTTTTTGGTAAGGCGCAATCAGTAATGGTACAAAATAACTAAAATATTTCCAGATCTGTAGCTGCTCCTGCCAGTTTTATTTATTGGGTTGAACACTGCTCTGTCATGAAACACAGAAAGGACGAGTCAACCACAGCAGTCCAACAATATGAAATGCGGCATCTTATACTTGAAAGAGCCATCCGTTGTGTCATACCACTGAAGAGCTTTCTAACTGGCTCTCCACATTTAAGGTCATTTACATTCCATGTTCTTCAGCTTTTCCATAGTTGTACATACTTAGCTTTTTGGCACCCTGTCTTAATAGACAGTTCCTCTCCACTGAATCAGTTGTGGCAAACAGACACTTAATGCTTCCTGCCCCTAAATGCTAATGTCTATCAGCATGTTTTTGGTTTGCTGCCATGCCCCAGCCAACCTGCAGATACTCCTTACAGCTGCTTCCACAGCAAATTCCTTCAACACAGTCTGTTCCAACTACACGTCTCCAGCTTCTGCCAGAATGTAGACGAGACTTGTTTAGCTACAAGTAAGAAATCACTTAAGACAGGGGCCAGGAGTTCCTAGCAAACCCTTAGGGTATATCTGGACCCCAACAGTTTTCCTCTGCAACAAACTATCACCTCGAGGGGATCTTGTCATTAACAAAGAAAAACTCCAAAGGCTCCATTACTGAAACCTTTATTTAAAATTAAGGAATGACTTACAGGGATCCACAACATTTTGCACAAGTATTGCCACTTTTCCTGAAAGTTAAATAATGTGAAAAATATCAATTCACATATCTGTTTGTGTTCCACACAAAGGTAGCTTTGTTGGGGTTTAGCTTAGCCGAGAACAAAGACTGGAAGCAAGGGGAAGTCGCTTGCCTAGCTCCATCAAAGGTGCACTTCAACCACTCCATCGCTGTCTGTTTTCTTGTTGTATCAGTATTGAACACGCGTAGAAATAGAAAACAAGACACTGTGGTTTAAGAAGCAGTTAGATTACGAATTAAAGGTATCTTTTGACCAACAACTGCTGAACCCGATGACTGCAGCAGCCTCACAGAAGTTGGTAGTCTTGGATCTGATTAGCTTGCATTTCATTATCAAACCACAACATCATCGTAGTCAGATACTGTACCAGTTACCACTTAGAAACAGACGAAATGAACTGTGTCGCCTCAAATCTCAGGTAGCTGTTTAAGGCCTTTATAGAGGAGAAGACGTTCATGGCCGCCAAACATCATAAAGCTTTATGTAGAGCAACTCAGTCTTTAAAGCATAAACTCTGGACTGTTAGTAAACTGTAGATATACTTCCTCTCTTAGGTCCCATTATTTGAGATGGATGGGGAAGAGGATGTTCTGTCAATGAAGAGCAGAGGTAAAGTGATACTAATACCTCTATAGCCACTACTACTACTACTATTCTGCAGAGTGTGTTGTATGTGTACAGTGAAAGAACTGATCATAAATAGTGTTAAAAATATGTGACATTATGTATCATGAATGACATGATTATGAAAACCATATTCTGATGGCATACCTAGGGGTGGGAATCACCAGAGGCCCCACGATACGAAATTATCTGATATTTATGTCGCGATTCGATTTTAAATATATTGAGATATATTGCAATTTATTACTTTTTTCCAACTTCCAATTAGGTCCCTAAAGTCAAACTTAGTCAACACCTGTTTATCTAAAAAGATACATTTCTCTGTTTGTTCATATCACTTTTTCAGTCCTCTATATGGTCCTGTTAAGTTTTCTAATGGACTGAAAAAGCAATAGATTTTATTATTCTAGTACCAAAAACTCCCATCTGCAATTTATATAATAAAATATCGATACTTGGCATCCGTGTATCGATACTGTATTGCTATGGCAAATATCACGATACTATGCTGTATCGATTTTTTTTTTTTTTTTTTTTTTTTTTTTTTTTTTCACCCCTACAAATACCCAACGTCATGATTATTGCGAAAAAGGTTGTCAGAATTTGGTTTGAACATAAAGTTGTGGCACCAGAACCATATCATATTTTCAATTGTTTATTTGTAAACGGCTGTACATATGCAACACATGCTCTTGCACCCCCTGCAGGCACAGACCCTGACACGTTTATATATACAAACTTCATGAAGAGTCACTGTTGCTATGATGCCATCCCTACCAGCTCCAAACTGGTTATTTTTGACACAACACTACAGGTTTGGGACACTTTCTTTGTTTTTACAAATTCCTTCTTTTTGACAGTAAAAACTGCATTTCAGTTGTGGGCTGTAATTATTGAAAAAGTTTGTGTGTGTTTATGTCAGGTGAAGAAGGCTTTCTTTGCTCTGGTGGCAAACGGTGTGAGGGCAGCACCACTGTGGGACAGCAAGCTTAAGTGTTTTGTGGGTGAGCCATAATACAACTGTCTGTCTTGCATACATACATTAGATGTGTTCAGTGCACACATGACCTGAATTTAATCATCAGTTTCACCGGTATTTGAGCTCTCCTCTCTTCCTGACTCAGCTCAACTTTGAGCAGGATATTACTGTTCAACGTTCACAGGAAAACCTGGAAAGCTGCAATATAATCATGATCTGACTACTTTATCTGAGTATCTGAGACGTTTTGAGCATCTTGAGCAAGCTGGGTCTTTTAACAATATTTTTGCCATCGTTCCCATTAGTTATGATAGTTTACAGACATTTTGGTAAGAGGGAATCTGTCAGGGTCCAGCCAAAAAATACAAGCCAGTCCATTTGCTAGCTTAAAACAAAGCCGATTTAACAAAATTATAATGACATAATTTTAACTTATATATATATATATATATATATATAGTTACTTCCTGTTTCAACTCCAGGATTATAAGAAAGGGATGGGCCAGTGTCATCCTGCAAATATCCTACTTACCTATCTAACTTTGTCTTTTAAAACTATTAGCCAGTCCAACCCACACGTTTGCCAGTATCTAATACAGTAGAAAATTTACTCCCGTTATTATTTAAATCAGGCAGTCAGATCAAAGAATATGTAAACAAGAATATCAAGGTGGCCAAGCATTTAGTGCCATCATTTGCTACTTTCATACACATTGCTGTAAATGCAATTTCATCGGCTACTAAAATAAGTGTGGCGGTTCCAAACATGCTGTCATTTAATGTGTGTGACCTACATTGGGGTTGCTACTCACAGGTTTGAAGCGCATATGTGAGGGTTCAGGTTCCCTTACTGTGGATAAGTGGTTTCAAATGATCCCGATCGAGTTTGCGTGCTAACATTTAGAGGAAAGCAGGTCAACTACAAGACATTTGTGTTGCATTACAAACACTGTCACCCCACTGAACACAGAGCAGATGATCATGACACTTAAACCCGGGCCATGGGTGTTAATTTTCTTCTTGTAATTGAAACGGCAACAGCTTTAAACATCCGTGTCAAGTGCATGTTCATCAGCCTGGGTGAACTGATTAACATTGTATCCCAAAGATTAAAACCAGATTCTGTGCCTCATACTAACAGCCCGGTGAGGTTGTATGCACTATATAGATATAGAGATATAGATTTTAGATATAGATAGATATAGATAGATAGATAGATAGATAGATAAAATTTGCTGTTTTTAGACCCTTATCATTAGTGGGCAACAGTACAAAGTTTGTTGTGGGGGTGATGCCAGAAGAGAGATTATGTGAAGGACTTGATATGGTGGCTATTTTAAGAGATTTCAGATTCAGTTTGTCAGGCTCAGCTCAACATCGTCTGAGTTAGCTCAGTTTGAAGATGTACTCAACCTAAGCTGTATTTGGCTCAGCTTTGAGTTTCATGACTGCATTAGGATGCCAATTGTGTCACATGTAAAGGTCCTTGTCAGGTAAACCTAAACGGAGGTTATCATTTAAACTAATTATGAGTGCTTTTGCTTTTCTAGAACAGACTATGTTGTTTAGCATTTAGTTTTGCCTACTCTGTCTGGGCGTCCTTTCTCAACAACTGAGTTATGACACAAGGCTTAAAGTTCTCAGTCAGTGTTGATATTGTGGTGGGCGCCGCAAATAAATGAACATATGGGAAACACTGGATCAACTGTTTGGGTCTAAGTGTTTGTTCTGAACATTAAAATAGTTTAAAACCACAATTAACCATCTGGTTTCTTCAACTTTCACTCGGGAGCAAAAATCTGTCTTATGAAGATTTGGCATTTATCATAAGAATAATCGATATTGAATGATGTGAAATGTTTTATCGTGATAACATTTTCAGCCATATTGCCCAGCACCTATATTTTCCACTTCAAGCACTGATTATAGTTGGTGGCAGAAAATGTTACCAGAATGCAGGAAATTAACTGATTATTGTTCAAAATCTTCTGGCAGGGGGAACCCCAGACCCCCCTTCATGTATTTTCACATTGAAAGTTTTATCAAACCAGTGTACAATTATCTTCTCATCTTCTTCTTGTGAACCCAGAATTGTGTTTATTCATGTTTTGTGAGCTAAGTGTATGTCACACCCCTAATCTGAGCCCTTATGTCCCCGTCAAGTTACGCTCTTGCCCCCTACCCTCCATCATCAAACCCCGAACACATTTCAGGCACAGAAAAATGTCTTGCTTTAAGCCCTCAAGTTATATACAACAACAATTTTGAAAATACAAGCACATCTACAGGTGTGTCGCACAAAAATCTGGGCCCTGGACATGAGCATTCTTCATGGTAGCCTCCCCGAATCCACAGCTATTTATTCTAGTATCTTTGTGTGGGCACTCCTCACAGGTGGGCCCTGTATACTCAGTATACCCCAGTTCAACACTCCTGCACATCTATCTTGGGCAGGTGCTGAGTCCAAAAATGTAACTGTAAAGTGTATCTCTCAAAGGATTTGTAGAATTATCACCTGCTCTTACTTATGATATGAAGAGAAGTACAACCACATGAGACCAGTTTTCCTCTTCATTAGGTATAGACATTTCAAGCTTTAAAATGTTTTTGTGTATTAAAGAAGAAGGTTTGGGGGATATAATTTGCTCTTGTTGCTAGTGACTAGTGGTAAATCCATGTTTGATGTTTTCCAATGTGCCTGTGTGTGTACAGGTATGCTGACCATCACAGACTTTATCAACATTCTCCATCGTTATTACAAGTCTCCTCTGGTGAGCTGTGCTTCTGAATGGTATCTTTGGATTAAACATTCCAGTCACAGCTAGCAGTCCTATTAGCTTTAAAGCTTAAAGTTTTATTAAACCTCCTCCTCTAGGCGTATACGCCTGTAGCCATTTGGTGTTTTGTTAAAATGCCATGCACCACAGTCACATGTCAAATTAGTTATGAAAAAGCAAAATATTTATAAAAATCACACATTGATACGATCATTGTCATCAAGATTAGATGGCTAAGGACCATCACTGTCTGATCTGACATGTTTGTTTTGTCTGCAGGTTCAGATCTATGAGCTGGAAGAACACAAGATAGAGACATGGAGAGGTCTGTACAACACAACCATATCCCTATATAGTGCAGAAAGTGTGTGTGAAAGGATTTTAATTCTTTTGGTTTTGGTAGTTTGTGTTAATAACTTGTGTTTCTGTCTCTTGGCAGAGATCTATCTGCAGTACTCTGTCAACAGACTGATCAGCATCACTCCTGACTGCAGGTGAAACCAGCCTTGGAAATAATTGGTTTTCGTCAGGGACGTGGTAACGCTTCAGGATCTCAAATGTAGTATACTATTTTACTGCAGTTGTAATTTCAGTTTAGAACATACAGTAATATCTGATATCTAAGAGCTATGTAATATTTTATTCTCTACCATTTTATTAGATCTGTTCTTGTCAATTTAAATATTAGGTTCATATTCATGACTAACATTTGCTGTATGATATTTGTGTGTGTGTGTGTATGTATATATATATATAATATAGTCTTAAAATAAGTGTTCAGAGTTAACTGTAGTCTGAGCTGCTTAAGCTCGTAACACAGCCATCGACGGAGAGACCAAATCCATAATGTGTCTTGTTATTCCTTGTTACTATCCTCACCTGTAATTATTCTAATCTTGAGTTTTATTGTCTCCTTAGTCTGTTTGATGCCATCTACTCCTTGTTGAAGAATAAGATACACCGTCTGCCGATCATCGACCCGGCATCAGGAAATGTCCTCCACATCCTCACTCACAAACGCATCCTCAAGTTCCTCCACATCTTTGTAAGACCTCTTCCTCATCTTGCGACATTTATCCGCGTTCACTAGTGATTGAAATCCTTCCTGTGTATTGTACAACAAAATACTTCAGAATCAGATTCATTCATTTCAGTTAAAACACAGGAATCTGAAAATTTCCTACAAATAAGAGTAAAAAATGGGAATCGGGCTCCATCTGTGTCCTTGAAAAGGATTTCAATTTCATAGGTCTGAATAACTCAAAGTGCAATTGCTGTTCTGTATGATTTGTGCTAAATTATTTTATAATTGAATTAGATTTTTAGACATTGTACCAGTTCTTTTCCTATTATTCTCCTATCCCTTCCCCTCCAGGGATCTACAATTCCTAAACCCAGGTTTCTTCAAAAGCGGGTCAATGAAGTGGCGATCGGTACCTTCAAACAGATTGCGACAGTCCAGGAATCAGCTTCTGTCTACGACGCTCTGACCATTTTTGTAGAGAGAAGGGTGTCCGCGCTGCCTGTAGTCAATGAGAAAGGTAGTATCACGCACTGACATTTGGTGATTTGATCCACCTGGAAGGCCAACAGTCAGTAATCAAATCAATCAAGTGGATGCCATTTTTTATTGTGTTTCTGGGGTTAAAATGTGCCTGACCATCGATTATCAACAGCCAGTCAGACTCACCTGTGATTTCTTTCTAATGTGGATTTTTCTTTTATGCATAATAGCTTACAGAACATAAGCTCACCTATATCTGTATATATTTTTTCCATCTACACCATCTGTGGTCTGTAAATCTCTCTGTGTCCCCTGTAGGTAAAGTCGTGGCACTGTACTCTAGGTTTGATGTCATTGTAAGTAAATTTCACACATTCTGCGACATTGCAACTTTGTTAGCTGGGACAATAATATAAATATAAATCTTGTGTTTCCCTCAATCTCTAGTCATGCTCAATCGAATAGTTGTTTTGGTCTGGTTAATACTTTTAACATCAAGCTAATTTTACATCTAGAGTTACAGTCACAAAATAGCTGGGATGCCTGTCTGCATTACATCTCAGCCATTGATGGATGTGACATTGTCTTTTCAACTCTAGCCACTATTGAACTAGTTGTGACTAGCAACAGCATGTTCAAATGAAACCAACCGCTGGTGGCAGAACAATATTGTTTTCTCTTTACTTGCATCATTCAGAACCTCGCAGCCCAGAAAAACTACAACAACCTGAACATGACGATGCAGGAGGCCATTGCCTCCAGAGCATGCTGTGTGGAGGGAGTCCTCAAGTGTTACCCTTACGAAACACTGGAGACCATCATCGACCGCATCGCAAAGGCTGAGGTAACGCTTCAGTCTGACTGATAACGCTATACTAAATGTAGGATGAGTAATGTCCACATACTGATTAATCAAGTTTGTCACTCAAGATTACTCACATTTTTTTCAGTGTAGATCACACTGAATGCTCACTCACAGCAGCTTCCAGGTTGTTGTAATGCCACAGAGGTTAAATATAGTTAATACGGTAACCGTTCCAGCGTTTTGTTTCTCTGCCTTTTTACTTTTCTTTCTCCCCTCCATTACCTTACAGAATGTGGCACATGTTGTCAGTAATGATGAATTTATCTTGATTGGCTGTAGAAGCAGAATAATCAAATCCTTTGGGGTTTTTCTCGCAGGTGCATCGTTTGGTGTTGGTTGACAAAGACGATGTGGTGAGAGGGATAGTCTCTCTGTCTGACCTTCTACAAGCCCTGGTTCTCACTCCTGCAGGTATTGATGCACTGTCCTAACTCCAACCCCTTCCATTCATCCCTTGCTCTTTCTCTCTGCCTTCAAATCCATGAACGCTTCTTCATCTACATTTTCATCTTCCTGAAGACGATGAGGGTCCTTCTCTTCTGGTGAAATGTTCTGGTATCAAAGTTTCCTCCCTCTTGGAAATCTTATCCTTTCAGCTACCAAAAGTAATTGTTAACAAACTACACTGTTCAGGGATTCATCAGATGCCCCCTTGCTCCTCATAGATCAACCTCTGAAATCTCTTTTTCATAAACCTTGCTGTGATCAACTCACCACCTCCTTTTAAATCTTCTGCTTCTTCAAAATCAACCAATCACCTGATCAGGAAACTGGTGGTCCTACCAACATCCTTACATTTCCTCTAAAACTCTTATTCGAAGCATCAAACTGATGTTCTGATGATACATCCTGCCCCTGCGAAACAAACAAAGCCCTCCCCAAACCCTCTGCCCAGCCAAAGTCAACAAGCAACCTTTTGCTTTCACTATTGAATACTTACTCTTCCAATCTAACTTCAAAACCAGTTCAGTCACCTCCACCGAAATTCTGTGATCCTACTTACCAAACAAGAAGGCTTCCTTATCCTCTACAAAGTTGGTCTACAAGACACCAAGCCACCACACCTTCTCCCAAACATCCCTCTTTCATCAGTCAGCCACAGTCTTCATGCTGCAGTTCCTCCTCCGAAACCACCGTGCCACCAGCACTTCTTAGCCAACACATCCCAGGTAGGAAGCCCAACTCAAGCTGCCGGTGGCAGTCTGTCTGAGCTTGCATCTTTGCACTTTTTCCTTTAGATTACAAGATGTTACTGCTGCCTGTTGTGGTTCTACGGTAGATTCTCAAAGGGTAATATGACGGGGAACTGGTGCTCATGTTGTTATGGCATTCATCTTGATCTATTTTAGCAAGTAAATGAAAGGAAACACACTTAGCATCACACCTGTGTGCCTTGTTCACAACTTCACGGTTTTATTTTAAATTCAACTTATATTAATGTAATATATTACTTACTATATATATACCCCAATAAGGAAGTGAATCGCAAATAATATTCCATCAAGGTGCTCACATACTGTGATTTTCATATCAGTGTTGTACCATTCCCATCTTTGGTTTAAGAAACTGTTGACATCTGGTGACACGTTATCTGTTACCAAAGCATCACATTAATGATACGGGTGGACACAAAGTTTCTATACTCATATAATTGATGTGATGGTAAAATTAAAAATGTTGGAGTGAGCATGTTAGAGAATGTTAAATCTGTTTCCTTCCCTGCTTAGTGATCTGATGACTCATGTTGAAACTGAATCTCAAGAGTTGGCATTTAAGTGGTTTGTGTTTTTGGGAATTTAAAATGATGTCACAGAGGGTGGATTGATTTAATTTAGTCCATGTGTATCTGCCTGTTTAGCTGTATTAAGTATTTTTTCAAGGTTCAGTGTGTAAGCTTTTAGATGCATCTCGTGGTGAGGGTTACGAATTGCAACCAGCGGTTCACGGTGCATTCAGGTGCTCCTCGGATGGTCATGTCTGTGTAAGAGGGACCCGCCTTGTATGTAGATAGAAGTGACTCATTTTAAGGTAATAAAAACATTACGTTTCATTATGTAAGGTCTTTATGCACCACTGAAAACATAGTTATGTGTATTATATTGCATTTCTGTCAATAGACACTCCTAAAAAAATACACACTGAACCTTTGGAAAACAGCAGTTGAGAAAAGAAACTCACCACATTTAGTAGTTGTCAGTAAGAACAGTGTACAGTTACATCATATGATCTCCATCAGTAGACAGACCGGGACTGCCACTAAGTTTGACATTCAAATTTCAGCTCTGCGACAGTGTTCCACCGGTTGTCAGAAAATTGTACAAGTTCAGATAAATTTTTTTTGGTGGGGGGGATTGGGTGACTTTAAGGACTTCTCATTCATGTTGGCTTTAAGATGATTACTGGAAGAAATCTATCTGCCGATAAGGATCATGTGAGATGACTTTGTGGTGAGATATTTTCTTACATACAAAACTTAATTAACATGTTAGGCTGAAGACCTCACAATCCACACCTGCGTTATCATTCTGGACCTCTGTCAGCATGTCATTACAGAATGCTGCTTTTGCATCATACCAGATTGACCCTAAATACAGGCATCCGTCTTGGAGAAATTGTTTGTGGTATTTGTAGGATGTGCAGTTTTGACATTTCCAACTTGGTTTTCCTCCAGTGTTGGTTACATCTGCTCCCTGAATTCCGTCAATTCATTTTATAAAAGAATACGTTATGACCAAAAAGACGGGCCAACGAGAATTGATATCATGGCTGTCTAACCATGTAACATCTAAATCCACCCAGGCTGTGTAAAGACAATATCATCCAGTTTTTCTGGTTCTTCTGATATGATGTGAACATGACTTTTAGTTTCAGCCTTGATGATATAATCTATAGCATCAGACTGTGTGCTTAAGTGCTTGTCTTCTGTCGTTAAGCACTGTAAATAATGAAGAGGTTTTGTGTTGTGACTGTATAAAACTGATTGTGTCACAAAAAGCCAAAGCACTTTGGTAAGAATGGCAACTTGGCTGAACACTGGTGAAAGTGAGGTTTTAGTCACATTGTAGTTGCAAAAGTTAAACTTGGTATCAGAATAAAAACAATGAATGATCACTTTTTCCTCTGTTCTTGTTAATTTTCCCCTTTCATTTTTTCCAGATGATGCTGTCAGTCCTGAAGAAAACCAGATGGAGATTGGGTAATCATGTTAAACAATACTATGAGGTGGTGATGTAAATTAGAGGTTAGCAGGACAGGGTTGTGTCACTAGTTTCTGTCCCAGTCCAGAAGAAAAAATATGGAAATTAAAAATGGAAACACCGAGGAAGACTGTGGTTGTACTGGGAAGCTGCCAGTGTTGAACTGTTAAATGGCTGGAAAACAGTGTCAACCTGATAATGCCCAAACAGTGTAAACCGGCTTTGACTCAAGTATCCAATTTGAGGATATCGCGCACGTTGTGTGGAAATTGTGTTGTTGATACACCATGACTATTGTGTGATGTTATGTTTAATGGTTTGTTCCAACTTTCTGGTCTTAGAATGGTTATCTGTCAATTTGTTGTGAGAACATTTTTATAAATGCAGCTCCGCTCCAGTCACTGTGACATAAAATAAACAAAGGTCTTGGCTTCAGAGACACTATAGTTCTGTTTTGCAATTTAGTTTTGATGTGGTGCGGAACTTCCAAAAGAGGACATCGTGCACTAGTAATCAAGGACAGATGCTGGATAAATACAAGGGTAGCAGTTTACATAACGGCTCAATAATAAAGTAATGAGGGGATTAATAGTGAATGGTGTAATACTGGGGTAATACCATGGTAATTACACATATAATAGCATGGTGATATTGTGGTAATGATTTATGGTAATATTGTGGCTTCATTTTTGGGTAATAATGGAGCAAAAACACGAGGTTTAATGTAAACATGACAACATATGATGAAATTTTACTATAGTGAAAAAGAGGGTAAAAATAGGGCAATACGCTAACAATGTCAAAGTAATATTTCATGTTTTGTAGTAATTACGGGGAAATATCGGTATAAAACCCTAACAAATATCTGAAAATTACAGTTAAATTTGTACTTTTTGAAGTCTTCAAATTTGAAATGAAATGCTACTTAAAAGCATGCATCATTCTCCGACTTAATGTTGACAAGTCAATATGTGATCAAAACATAGCATTTAGTTTGGTCATTAAAGAAGTTCAGATATTTGTAATGTGAATGTGGTCAAGCTGATATATAGAAAGAGATCAGCTGATGTGATGAAGAGGGGGGAGAGTGTGTCTGCTGATCCTCTGACAGACATGGTGTGACTGCTCTGTTTACCATGGGTGGATTTGTTAACTTTCCCAGTTTCATACATCCTGTTCACATGATTACCAGTTCACAGGCACACATACAGGTAAAAAGCTCTGCTTGTATCTTGATGTCCCTCCATAATGTGTGGTCTAAGACTGATGACAACTGATGACTATTATTGTTCTCGTTAATGTGAACTTCTGGAGGTAGCTGTGTGTTTCCTAACACTGTCACTGAATCACTGGATAATTTGCCAATGATAAGAAATAATAACAATACTATTAACGGTAATATAGTCAATACCACTGCTACTACCAACAGTATTCAGATTACTACTTTACTGCCAATACTGCAGCTACTGTCAGTACCATACCACTACTGCTGAAGCTGCTGCCAGTGATACCTCTGTAATTGTACAATATAAGAATAAGAAGAAACCAAACCAGTCAAAACAATAAAAATTATGTAACTGAAAAAACATTTAAGTGAGCTTTTTTTAGAGGCTCTTGAACTTTCCAGGTGGTAATTGAGGAAAAATCAATAAGGAGCTGGTCATGCATCAGCCACATGCTCCCTCTGCTTTACAACTTCATCCTCTGAACAAACAGTTCAACAACCAATCACTTGTTCAGCGTGTTATTCAACACTTTTACGTCTAACTCTGACTCTGAGTCAACACATGCAGCGGTGCGTGTCCAGCTGCCTGAATTGATGGGTGACACTGACTTCTGCCTGCAGTGATGAATCCTAAACCAAGGTAGGAGACCGGTTCTGCTGTTTGATTGCAGCAGTGATGTTTGGTGTTGAGTCAACAGGCTAATTTAGTCTTATACTGTGCCTGAACTGAATGTTTACATGTGGTATAGTTTCCTTTATCCAGTCTCTAAAAGGTTCAAAGATTGAAGGGTTTAGGTTCACACTGCTGTAAACAAAGTCTCATGGAGTGACAGTTTTAGTTACTTATGTGTGTATTATGTGTTAGCTTCACGCAGACCTGTGAGGCAAGACAATAGCGAAGTGTGCTTCATCTTTTGAATGAGACCACTGCTTTGGCACAGCAGAGGCTCTGGCGGAAAATGCAGGACTATCAGGCAAATCAGTTGAACCTGGTTCAACTTTTGCTGCAACAAAATGCAGCATCCTCCAACAATACACTACAGTGGCCAATCAAATACATGCAAGCACACATCCCTGGTAATTGTGGTAACATTCCAGAGTTGAAAATCATCGGTTAACAGCAGCGCAGTGTTTTAGCATCTGTTGGCCCTCAAAACTTATAGATCTATCATTCAAACTGGACTTCCTGGATTGTACTGTTGTTTCACCGGGACCTGTAGCAACATTCCTTCACTGACCCAACACCTAGCACAGTGCGGTTTGGAACTGGAAAAACTACAGCATTGATGAAAAATGGGTTTTGTTTTTTGTTACTTCTCTTGGAAGTCCTGTCTTCAGTGTTGTATGTTATGTATGTGCAGTTTGACACCTGATTTCACATTCATCTACTGAAGGGGAAAGTTTCTCGTCGCTCACCTTGAGTTTAAAACGTGTACGTATGAGCAGGATTTGTGACATCACAAACCTAGTTTGTTCACAAACACTGAGAATGAACCTTTTCAGGAAATTACGAAACATCTAGGCTCTGTTGGAAACAGAAGGCAGTTGTCTCGCTGCCTCGCTACCGTAGTAGACCGGTTCTTCAAGAGGCATAACTTTTGAGTGAAGGCATCTCTATAAACATCGAACAGCCTTTTAAGGGCAGCATTTACAGCAACGTGTGATGTCAGCACGCCGTCTTGCGTCTCTCCTGGCTGTCAATCACTAGCTTTAGCGTCAGCTAGCTATTGAAAAGGCAAATGGATAGCATGAGCACCGCGTACTGAACAAACGTGGATGGTTACAGTCACGGGCTAATATGATAGTTCAGTGTTTAGTTCTTGCTAACTAAGTTGAAGCGAAAAATCTACTAAAAATCAAGATTTGTGGGCCAATTTCAGCTTGTTTGTCTGCAATCTTACCTTTTTTTGTGGGCTACCGTAACGTTTGGCACATAGATTTATGAGTAAGTGAACTGCCTTCAAAACTGACCATTACGGCGGCAGTTTGAAGGCATCTTACGAGACAGGAAAAGGTTGTTTGATCCGTTTCGAACAGCACTTGATGCCTCGCTGTCCTGTTAAAAACCTTCTGAGACAGCATTTTTACCCGTTGGAACACAGCCCTAGTGTCCAGCAGTCAAACTTCTGAAATTAACTATATTTGAAAGGGGAGTATTTTTATACATCTCAACATATCTGGAGGTAATCTTTAATATGACTTAATGTTTAAATTTTTCTGGCAAGCAACATCTTGTGGTTGCGTAAGACTTTCCTTCTGTATGATACACGCAACTACAGTGATTGTGTTGGACAGCAGTCAAACAGCTGGTGACCTATACAGCAGTACTGTGCCTGCACTCCATCGTTTTAGACACTGCTAAAATGCCAAAATGTGTCACTTTTTGTCATTCAGGTTGGAGCAGTTGTAGTTCAGTTTCTGTCTTCCCAAACATCTTAAAAAGTTAAAGAAGAAACCTTTGAATATGAGCTATGTTCAGACTACAACATAAATGATGTCCTTCACCACAAAATGATGGGAAAATGGATGTTTACTTTTCCTTCTAAAAGTATTTGTTAATCGTGGCAGCAGAATTGTCCATGATGTATATTGACATTATTAGGGATCCAAGCAGCGAAGCTGTTTTGTTTTGATTATTCATCTTTATTCTTTTTCTCCGCTAAAAGTGTTTGGGCAGCAAAAACTGCTGGACAATAACTCACCAAAATTGGCACATAAGTTGCAAATTCCACCCACTACTCAGGGGGGAAAAAATGGCCCTCCATAGACCTCATAGTGGCGCTATAACAATCAACTTTTTGTTTTTTGCAGTTATCTCAAACTGCTTTGTTTGGAGTCAAACTTCTTTCAGTTTTTTAATCCCTGGATTCATCTGCAACTTTGCTCTGATGGTCTTCTGCTCTAAAAATGTCAAATTATACAACTTTTTATCACTTTTCTCTAAAAGCTATTTTTGTGAAGTCGTCCCAGACGGTTTCGCCAATCGACCTGAAACTTTGGCAGGATCATCTACGGACATCGCTGATGAAAAGTTATCATAAGAATTTTGATACGTTAATTTGTTTTTAATACATTTTTACTTTTGTGTTTTTACATACAATTTTACATAAATGCCTGTAAATTAAAATTGGCTTAAGCTATTGTAACCAAACTTGACACGTCTGCTCAGATACTTGGCCCGAGCATCTGTCTGTCTGCAGTGATATTCAGTATCTTGCTGTAACTTGTACAGTATGCACAACATTTTCTTTTTAACTCAGTTTTGGATCAAATGCCACCAAAATAAATCACAACACACCCAAAATCAGCAGAATGATTTGTGAGTTTTTTCAGAATTTTCTCACTTACATCTTGACTGTTGTATGCGTCTTAAGTTTTAACTGACAAAACTGTCTGACTCTGGCACATGTGACATCACTGCCTCAATTTGTGAGATGGTGTATAGACTTACCCTCTCACCAGTAGCTCAGTCAATAAGTCACCTTCTCTGGAAATCGGTAGGTCCAGGGTTCAAATCTCAAGGTGACCAATTCAGACTTGCTGACAATCAGGTTGTTCAGATCTTGGTGAATCTAAAGTCTCTCTTTCATTTGGATCCCGTGACACTTTTCTTATTTTTCTCTGCTAAAAGTAGTTTATGCAGCTTAAACTTTAAATCTTGGAAACACGAAACTGGCCATTTTATTAGGTAAACCTTGCTAGTACTGGGTTGGACCCTATTTGCCTTCAGAACTATGGCACAACAAGGTGTTGGAAACATTCCTCTGATGCTTTGGTCCATATTGACATGATAGCATAGCGCAGTTGCTGCAGATTTGTCGGCTGCACATCCATGATGTGAATCTCCTGTTCCATCACATCCCAAACATGCTCGATTGGATTGAGATCTGGTGACTGTGGAGGCCATTTTAGTACAGTGAACTCATTGTCATGTTCAAGAAACCAGTTTGAGATGATTTGAGCTTTGTGACGTAGTGCCATATCCTGCTGGAAGTAGCCATCAGAAGATGGTTACACTGTGGTCATGAAGGGATGGACATGGTCAGCAATAACATTTAAGTAGGCTGTTGCGTTTAAACGATGCTCAGTTGGTGCTAAGGGGCCCAAAGTGTGCCAAGAAAATATCTCCCACACCATTACACCACCTCCACCAGCCTGAACGTTGATACAAGGCAGGATGGATCCATGCTTTCATGTTGTTTATGCCAAATTCTGACCCTTCCATCTGAATGTAACAGCTAAAATTGAGACTCATCAGACCAGGCAAAGTTTTTTCAATCTTCTATTGTCCAGTTTTGGTGAGCCTGTGTGAATTGTTTGAAGTGTTGTGAGTTCAGAGATGGTATTCTGCATACCTTGGTTGTACGAAGTGGTTATTTTAGTTTCTGTCTTTCTGTCATCTCTAACCAGTCTGCCCATTCTCCTCTGAATTCTAACATCAACAAGGCATTTTCGTTCACACAACTGCCGCTCACTGGATATTTTCTCTTTTTCAGACCATTCTCTGTAAATACTAGACATGGTTGTGCGTGAAAATCCCAGTAGATCAGCAGTTTCTGAAATAGTATGACCAGCCTCTTCTGGCTCCGACCACCACGCCACGTTCAAAGTCCCTTAAATCCCCTTTCATCCTCGTTCTGATGCTCGGTTTGAACTTCAGCAAGTTGCCTTGACCACGTCTACATGCCTAAATGTATTGAGTTGCTGCCAGGTGATTGGCTGATTAGTTATTTTGTTTAACAAGCAATTAAACAGGTGTACCTAATGAAGTGGCCGTTGAGTGTGTATATAGCAATTGTAAGTCACTTTGGATAAAAAGTGTCAGCTAAATGAGTAGTTATTATTAATTATCCATTATTTATGACTTAAAATGACTTGACTTTTTCTTCAAGTTCTTACAAAAAATATTAAACACATAAATGAGCCACACTGCTGCACTTGGTTACATGTTCCTTCATTACTGTGAACATGGTAGTTTATTTTGGTCAATCCCACTGTTGGAAACACTCACTGGTGCATCAAACCCATATTAGTCCATGGCTGAAAATAGTCCCCAACGAATACTCTTATTCCTGCTGTGTGAGTAATGTTTGCTAAAAACTGCAGTGCCCAGTCAAATTCCTGAGCCCTGTTTATACATTTTTAAACTGTTTTAAAGATTGATGTGTTCATTAGGATCCAATAGGCTTGGGTCTGAATACCGCAGACAGGAAGTGGAAGCCAGAAAGTTTCATGAGACTAAAACGTTAGTGGTTACAGACTTGTGGTTAGATTTTTTGACAATAAGTCAAGAGTGTTGCCAAACATATCTTTTGACTAGTTCTGCCATCCCATCTAACATGTTCAATTGGCTGTGTAGGCAGCATGAGAAACAGTAATGTATACTACTTTCAAGTTTGTGTGAATAGCTCTTAAATGTGGCGAGGAGGGCAGGTCTAAAGAAAACAAGCCGCAGTTACCAGAGTTAAACACGGGGAGAAAGAGAGTCATTTTCTTCAGATTGAAGAGGAAGGGGCTGAGCTGAACAGTCAGGTTTAATGCAAGTATAGAGATATTTAAGGCTACAACTGGTTCAAGTTTAATTGGCTGTGGAGAGTGAGCAGGAGACGGGTGTGGAGTGACTTTTCTCGTGAGGACGAGTTAAAGGATGTTTACATTACAGTCACGTCAGTTGATATAAGCACTTCTATTGAAGGAAGGGCTATAAAGAATAAGCATATTATATTGACAGCTGACAGATGATCCAGCAGTTCTACACCGGAAATAAGCCAGGGCCATGAAAACCTGTGATGATAGCATGATGTATTATTCAGCTTTGTGCAAGAGCGGGACAGTATCTTAGCGTAAGCAGAGAGATGAGATGGTAACAAATCCTCTGACATCCTCAGCACTCAGAGGGCAAAAAAGCAACCAGATGTGAGTTGTTATAGTTAACCCTCCTGGTGGTGCTGAAAAAGGAAACCTCTGGACTCCAGCACTATGGATCTCTCAGGCAGTCCTGCAACCCAGCGGTGAGCATTTTTTGATTTTGAACATTGTGTTCCACCTAGTTGACTGTTCCGAATGATTCCTGAGATCAGTTTGGCAATCATTAGGATCTGTTGTCAGAAACCTTTTGTTGGAGCAAAATTAGCGCTGTGGAAAAAAGAATTAGCTCTCCGATTAATTCTATTTCTAATCAATATCACTATCCTTTGAATTCAAATAACAAAATTGTAGGGACAAGGTCAGAAAAATGTGGAACGATCATGGTTTATGGCAATTACTTTGTTTTATTAATTTGTTCTTTATTCCGAAAGATTTTTGTAACATTTAAATGAATTTTAAGACTTCCATGGGTCACATGGGCCTCTCCTTAATTAATTCTAATTAGGCTTCAGGAGCAAAGCGGTTTTGTGTTTCTTTTGGCACATTTGTGTCCTTTTGACGTGACCTGATAATATATCCATCTTTGACCTTTGAAGAAACAAAGAAGATAAACAAAAGTTGGCAATCTGTTCTGTGTTTATTTCCACTTCCAGGAAGATTTTATCAGCTGTTGCTTCTTCCAATCGGCTTTAAAATATGTTTTTCTTTTCTATTTGTTTGTTGGGCTAATTAGCCCCAAAGATTTAAAACTTATGCACAAAACACATTTAAGTCGTAAGGAAATAAAAATAAAAAAGAGAGAGCGAGAGCAGATTTTATGCAAGCAACAAAAATTTAGTTTTTGATCCCCTGTAAAATCATGTAAATGACACAACTCTGAAGAATGAAGACTGCTGAACACCAGCACTAACTCAAGTGAGCTATATTAGCATTGAGTTAGTTAACGGGGTAGGTAGTGCGGCATCATCCACACATCATAAACAGGTGGATGTTCAATTTGTAATTTTATGGAAACTTTTTTAACATCATTTCATTTCAGTGCACTATAGTTATATGAAGTGTTATGAGAAGGTCATTTTTAGCAGTTAAGGTTTCAAATAATATTTGACTGCTTAAAAGACTTCCTCTTCTGTGAGCAGAAAGTTGGGGTTTGGCCTGAAAGGGAAGAAGAAGAAGAAGGTCAACACAGACCTGGTCTTGGCAAACAAGGGAGCTGTGGGTAAGGCCTGGAAAACAAACACCCAAACACACACTCCACAATCTTGATTGGCTTTACAGTGTACATTAGAGTAATCATCCCTGTCATGTCACTGTGGCCGATACTCACCCTTGTCACACAGTCACATGTTCAATACTGTACAGTAATTATGAGTCATTTAGACAACACAGAACATGAGCATAGGATGCAACTGTCACTCTATGTGAGATGAACATCTGCATATTACTTAATATTCTAATGTAATTTCAGTACAATTTAAAATAAAACTACATTTTTAAACACCAAAATCCCCAGTGTTATGTCACTGCTGCTAGTGCTTGTTAGCTTAAAAATTGTTGACAATCAAGACCTCACATTGTTTGCAAGATGTGTAATAATGTGATCACTGACCTTGTTCACTATAGGAAGCTTAATATATGTAGTTAGACAGTGTAGTGTAGTTTAGTTTAGTAGTTTAGTTTGACTTTATTTCTCTTAGCTGCATGAAGTTGTGCAAAATAAAGTATTCATGTGCGTGTGTGTACAGACAGTGATGTGGAGGTGCCTTCCGAAGCGTCTTCCCTGCCCGAGGGAGAAAATACTGAAGATCAACCAGGAAGCTCTGGAGTAGTCAGAACCAGAGTTATACCAAACTATAAAAGGTATGAAATATGCACACTACACAGTGCTGGAAAAAGTACTCACATTATTTACTTAAGAAAAAGTAGTAAAACCACAGCGTAGAAAATCTATTTCACAAGTAAAAGTTTTACTTGAGAAAAAGTACCAAAAGTAAAAGTAGTCGTCATGCAGAATGGTCAATTTCATAATAAATATAATGATATTATTGGATTATAATAATTGATTGATGAATGTTCACATCATTTTAATGTTGCAGCGGGTAAAGGTGGGGCTAATTTTAATTACTTTGTATACGGCTGTGTAGCTTAGAACTTATCATTTTGTTTGGTGATAATATTTTGTTTAGATAATCTGAATCTGGAAAGTAACAAATTTAAGTTTCAAGTAATGCGCACAAGTACCTCAAAATTGCACTTTGCAAAAGTACAGTACCTGAGTAAATGTACTTAGTTACTTTCCACAGCTGACACTACATATTGCAACTGTTGTATATAGTATTTGGGAGCATTTAAGGGGCAAAATGAAAAGAATAGTTCTCCCTCAAGGCGCTATGCATTTACAGTTTACTGTATACGGAGTCATGCATAACTGTTAAAGGCATGTGTTTCTGGATGTCTTAATCAGATTGAGAAACTGATCTGTTGAGTTAAACTTCCACAGGTCCAAACTGAAAACTCGCATTCAGGACAATGAAGGGAAACCACAGAGCTTCCAGGTAACAACGTACAGAACACACAGTTATGGGGTATGTTTGGGTTATAAATCACTTGAAATATAAATTTAAACTTAAGCAGTTAGGGGAACATGTTGTAGTAAGTCATCAAAAAAGAAAAAAATAATTATAAAAAGAGAACAGGAATTTTTAAACACAACACAACTAACCATTTAGGCGCATCTCAGAAAATTTGAATATTGTGAAAAAGTACTTTTCACAATATTGTACAAGTAAAAAAGTAAAACTTTAATATATTCTAGATTCATTACATATAAAGTGAAATATTTCAGGCCTTTTTTGTTTGATTGTCAACTGTTAAGCAAAGCCAATTCAAGAATTTGGGGGTGCTTCCCAGGAAGTGGACTGAGGCTGGAATCAGTGCATCAAGGGCCACCACGCATAGAGGTGTCCAGGAAATGAGTGTCGCATTAGTGTTAAGCCACTCTTGAACCAGAGACAACATCAGAAGCGTCTTACCTGGGCCAAAGAGGAAAAGAACTGGACCGTTGCTCAGTGATCCAAAGTCCTGTTTTCAGATGAAAGTAAAGTTTGCATTTCATATGGAAATCAAGGTCCCAGAGTTTGGAGGCCGAGTGGAGAGGCACAGAATCCAAGTTGCTTGAAGTCCAGTGTGAAGTTTCCACAGTCAGTGATGATTTGGGGTGCCATGTCCTCTGCTGGGGTTAGTCCACTGTGTTTTCTCAAATCCAGAGTCATTGCAGCCGTCTACCAGGAGATTTTAGAGCACTTCATGCTTCCATCTGCTGACAAGCTTTATGAAGATGCTGATTTCCTTTTCCAGCAGAACACCTGCCTATAGTGCCAAAACGACTTGTAACTGGTTGGCTGACCATGGTATTGCTTTGCTTGATTGGCCAGCCATCTCACCTGACCTGAAGCCCATAGAGAATCCATGGGGTATTGTCAAGAGGAAATTGAGAGACACCAGATCAACAATACAGAGGAGCTGAAGGCCGCTATCAAAGCAGCAGTGCCACAGGGTGATTGTCACCACGCCACATTGATGGAGTAATTTATTCAAAAGAAGCCCCGATCCAAGTACTGAGTGCAAAATAAACCTTTTTCAGAACTTTTCAGAAGGTCAACATTTCTGTATTGTACATTCTTTATTCTATTCTTCTAATATTTGGAGATATGGATTTTTGATTTCCATGAGCTTTAAGCCGTAATCATCAAGATTAAAATGGAAAAAAAGGCCTGAAATATTTCACTTTGTGTAATGAAACTAGAATATATGAAAGTTTCACTTTTTGACTTAAATTTTAGGGAAAAAATTAGTGAATCCTGTCAAACTCCTTCTCATCTGTGCAGTGGTATGTAACTTTGCGGATGTTTCATAGATTGCAATTAACATCACAGAGGCCAGGCAGCTGGTGGGAGAAAACATCGACCCCAGTGTGGTGATTGAGATCGGTGATGAGAAGAAACAGACTTCAGTCAAAGAAGGGACCAATGCTCCCTTTTACAATGAGGTGAGAATAAAAAAATCCCTGTGGTTTTACTTATGTGAATCACCTGTATCTCGGTCTAATTATCAATAGTTGATCTTTTAAGCCCTGGTGCTTTGTTGTCCATTATTCACCACCTCTTTTTTTTCCATCAGTATTTCGTGTTTGACTTCTTTGCCCACAAAGAGGTCTTCTTCGACAAAGTCATCAAGCTGACAGTGAGTAAAAAAAACAGCGAACAAGCATTTCAAACATGAGTTTTAAGTGTCATGTCTTAAAATGTAAATGATCAATTTGAAAAGCCTGCACACTTTTACTCAATTAGAAATCATGTGGTTTTCTTTTCAATTGTGGTCTGTTAAGTGAAATATGTCTGGATGTTTGATCTGCAGTCATATTCTATAAATTGGAAGATGAAAGAAAACCACAAGGTCCTCCTTAAATATAAAGTTCTAATTAATAGTTCTGTTACTTTTGCCATAACTGTTTTTTGTTTGCTTCCGTGGTCTTTGGGTTGCCAGTTTCAAGCTTGGGTTCTGCCTCTTTGTGTATCCTTCTCTCTCCAGGTGATGCACTCTAAAATGCTGAGAAGCTTCTGTGTTGGGTCCTTTAAGCTGGATGTGTGGACAGTTTACAAACAGCCAGGTAGTTCACCTCTCTCACCTCCTGTCTCTTAATGTATCTAGAGAAGAGGCACAGTGCTTTCGAAGTGATGTCAAAACAGCCTTTGAAAGTAACGCCTGCTTTGAGGTGCATGGGTATTTAAGTTTCACTTCTTTACATTGATTTATCCTTTTTCCTGTCATAAGGTTCAAGTGTGGTGCAAAAGCCAGTGGGTCCTCTACTGGTTGCCACTGATCACTTCTGCTAGAGCAGTGTGGGGAAATGCCCTGTGCAAAGGCACATCAATGATAATTCTTAAATCAGCAGGCAACTTTCTTGCTCCCTCAGGTCAGCAGTTTATCAACAAGTGGGCAGTACTGACCGATCATGACATTAGCACTGGGGTCAAAGGTTATGTCAAGTGTGACATCAGCGTCACAGCAAAGGGAGATGCCAAGCAACCAGGAGCAAAAGCGAGTGATGCTGAGGAGCAGATCAACAAGTATGATACCCATCTTTTTTCTAAATATTGTTTTGCAAGATTCCTGCTTTATCTGACCAGTTCCTGGGAAAGGTTACAGAAACAGGAACGATACAGGAGAGGTATGATATGATAGTGGCTGTGAATCTAACATGCAAAGTCATCAGCACCTCTTAAACCCTGCAAATTGTAAAAACCTAAAAATGCAAGAATTTAAAAATCTCTAAATATATCCGGCTGAAATTTGAAGAGATGTATATAACAAGACCTAAATAGGCATGTAGAAAATGTAATATTATTTAATTTCAAACACTCTCTACTGAGTGGATGGTGCACTTTTATCCATCTTTTTCTCTTTATACCTTCTTTCAATAGCATATGCATTTGAAAAGTAAAGTTTATGTAATAGCATCGGCATGCTATTACATAAACTACACCCTTGCCCTCCATGTCACAGTCTGCAGTTCAGTCTAATTGGCTGACAGTCATGTGACTGTTGGTGTTAGCTGAATCATTCAAAGTTTCCTGTTACTATAAAGTTACTAAAATCACTATTTTAAGCTTAGATGTGGTCGTTTCTTTCGTCAAGACTTCAAGGACTGTCAGACATTTGAAAATCTGACAATCATTTCTGTTTTCATGGCTTCTGGCTATGATAGACGGTGTAATTTTGGCGATTTCTTAAAGAATACATGCATTTCATGCATGTGGGGTTCAGGAGGCATCTTCTCGGTAATTTCAAATTATAACCATGGTCATCGCATTTCTTTATATATGGAGATGACATTTTAAAAATGTATCAATCAATCTTCTGCCTTTTAGAAGCACATATCATTTTTTGGGGAATACTCATGGTCACCAGAGGATGGATCTTCAAGGTCCCATATTATGCAAAATCCACTTTTTTATGTCTTTTCAACCTAAATACTATGTGTCCCCAATCTATGAGGGGAAAAAAACATCCTCTCTCTTTTTCTCCTGCTCAGTCTTTCAGTAAATGTGTGTGAAAGCACATCGTTTGAATTTGGCTCCCTTCTAACCGATCCGTCCAGCACAGGACCTCCATCTTTTAACTTATGTAAGGAGAACAAGGTTGCAGCCGATCTGTAGTAGATGTTTGCTTTGGTATATTGGTGCATAAATAAGAATTATATAAAATAAAAGCAAATAAAAAGAAAGTAATATAACCACAACTGTAACATTACACAAGCAATGTAATGTCTATTTAGATTAATGATAACAATTAAGCAACAAGAGTCCCCTTTCATACTACTTACTATGCTGCTTCTAAGTTACACAAGCCTGTCCATCAGGAGCCAGGTTTCTCTTGATTAAGTTAAAAAGTTACAACATTACTCAGAATGTAAAGACAGCGGTACGGACATTTAAACTGTCTCACAGTTGCGGGTCTTTCCTCTCATGCTGTTGCTGGCTACAGCGGTCTGTGTGGCTGTTGGACGCTGACGGCTCCGTGAGCCGACTGCCCGGCTCGATAGCTTCCCTCGCTGCACTTGCGGAGCTCCTCAACTCCGAAAACATTCGGTTTGCCAATTTTCCTAAAACTGACGGAATTTTTCCACACATTTGATTTCTTGCCTCAAAACTTGTTAGAAGTGGATTAAGTAATGAAATAGCGTTTGAACATTGTAAAACAACTTCTGTTGTTGTCCTCTACACAACAACAGTTTGGCACTTTGCATTATGGGAAACAGTGTGCAAGGTAGACTGGTCCCATGCATACTTTTTCCCAAATCAGTACGCCATCTGGGTATTTTTTGCATACTGCAGATTTTGCTTTTGTGTTTGCATAGTGCATACTACATACTACATTTAGGCAAATCAGTACGTACTACTAGTATAGTAGGCGGTTTAAAATACAGCCAGGGATTCAAAAGCACTGTGCCTGCTAGGTCCTGCCCCTCAGCAGGCTTCCTGTAAGTAGGCCAATCAAATGAAAATGGGCTTTTAGGGAGGGAGGCCTTAAAGAGACAGGAGCTAAAACAGTGTTCAGACAGAGGGTGAACTGATGTGCTTAATGGACATGATGAAAAAAATAATGTGTTCTTTGAACATGAAAGCATGCAAACATTTTCTTGTAGGCACCCAATTTAACAGCATGAACTTGAAAATGACCATAATATGGCACCTTTAACCATTTTGGTGACCCTGTGACCTTTTGCCATGCTACAACATTATGGCCAACATTCCCACTTGTTTGTAGTACATTTTAAAATCCTGTGGACATGAATCAGCAAAATGAAACCATTTGAACTGGGTTGAAATATTTGTGTGTCTCGCTTTTCCTCAGGAACCTGCTGCTACCAGAAGGTTATCCCTCTGAGCGACCCTGGGCTCGTTTCTGTGTGAAGGTGTATCGCGCTGAAGGCCTTCCACGGAACAATTCCAGCATCATGGCCAATGTCACCAAGGCGTTCATAGGGGACAACACAGCACTCATAGACCCATATGTAGTGGTCAGCTTCTTCAAAAATGTGGTGGGTTGAATGTCAACTACTAGCCGATGACAATTTAATATATGCAAGGAAGCTGCTCTGAAGCTCACAGCAGCCATTGGACAGCGTCCTGAACATTTATTCAGATCTTACAGCAGATGTGTTTTTAGTAAAAGAAAAAACTCCTTTACAAGAAAGTTGTACAAAAGTTCAAAAACAGAGGTGTAATTATTGACTCAAATCTGTATTTTAAGGAACAGGTTTAAATAATTGTCAATACAAGAAAATTAAAATTCTAAGTACTGAAAATTAATTTGCCTAAATTCAGAAGCATTTTCACAAATCCTATATCTAAACTAAACATGGTTAATGGTTGCAGACATGTCAATTATTACATGTCATGAGGACAGGTGAACTTTTTGATTGACAAAACCTAAACAATTTTAATGAGGCTCTTTTTTCAAATAATATCTCCAAAATCCTCTTAACTGCCAGGTCCGCTTGTGCTGCCTCTTGAAGGCATTGTATTCCACATAGAATGAGTACATGAGTCATGATAGGACTTGTTTGGAATTCAGAGTAAGCTGTAAGTCTAAATCATCTTTTAAATTCTTTACATTGCCTCTCAGGGTCGTACCACTACTCAGAAGTCCACAGCAGACCCGGTGTGGAATGAGCAGATCATCTTCACAGAGATGTTTCCTCCTCTGTGTCAGAGAATGAAGATCCAGGTCTAAACGTTATTATGTCGAAGGGGCCTTTCTACTAATTTCACCACAATTTACACTTAAAAAGAGACTGTATTTACATGCACCGTTATATCATACACAACACAAGTATAAATGTCAGGATTCTGGCTTCTCTTTCCTCATAGATCTGGGATGAGGGAAGCATGAGTGATGTTGCCATCGGGACCCACTACTTTGACTTGAGACGCATCTCCAACGAACAGGATGGTGACAGAGGTAAGGAGAGAGAAAGTCAGGACGGAAGGGAAGTTGAGAAGATAGGAGGAAGAATTTAAGGAAAAGAGGAATATGTGAAGGGAACAGAAGAAGGAAGTGAGAAAGGACTGTAATCACAATGAAGGCAGGAAGAATCCTTAAGGTAATTGTTGGTTGGCTCGTGGTGACTATCTTACTCACCTTTCACCCATGAAGTCTATCCTCAAATGTTCGGGAACATTTTCTGTATGGTGTCATGTGTAAATGGAAACAGTCAATCTGCATCTCCAGTTTCCCACCTTAAGACCTAGTAACATTTCAGGATCATGACTGTTGGTAATAAGAGCAGTTACATCACAGGGACAAGCACGTAAAAAGTTACATACTGACTATAGACACTTTTTATGTGGCACGAGCGAACCAATCATGATACTCCAATGATGACGTATTTGAATCCACAACTGTTTATGGTCGCCTTCCTTGCTATTGGTTGTGCAGGTGACTGGATACACAAGGCCTACAGGTTGAAAGCTCTGTTTTTCAAGAATGTCTGGAAACTGAACAGATTCAGGAATTTAAAAAACAGCTTTTCGCCAGCCCCTTTTCCCTCACTGTGTATACTTCTGACATCTGGCTTTCACCCCCATCATCTTCTTCTGTTTTATGGTTTTATGGCAGTTGGCATGTTGCATTACTACCATCTGCTGGACAGTCACTGGCCCAACTAATTCCAGCATTGCCCTGGCATTTGTGAAAAGCGCAAGACAGTTGGGAATGAATGAATGTTCCTAAATATAGCTGCATGTGTTAATAATGAAAGCCACTAGCTGTGCCTGAAAGATTTTCCCAGTAATTTACTTGGAGCTTGTGTGAAAAGGCTTTATTCTCTCTTTCTCCAGGGTTTTTACCAACATTTGGTCCTGCTTGGATTAACCTGTACGGCTCTGCAAGAAACTTTTCATTAGGCGATGACACAGTGGAGCTGAATGAGGGCATCGGAGAGGGCGTGTCCTACAGGTCAGTGTTAAAGGATGATAATTATTCAAATATTTTTATTGTGAGAAAAATTTCAAGATTAATACTTGACCAACAACAAACCAATTCTTGCTGGTGGCAGGGGTCGCCTCTACATGGAGCTGGCAGTGGAGATCCTAGCCGGAGGGATGGGTTCGGAGTCCAAACTTAAAGCAGGGAAAGGAGGGAAGGATGGCAAGACTCCTACAGGAGGGGCAGGAGGAGCAGCAGGAGGAGCTGCTGAAGATGACAAAGGAAAAGCTGTGGCAGCAGAGGTCCTGCCTGTGGAATCTCCGACTGGGGTAAGAAGTTTCTTTTAATTCTTTTAATAATATCCTTAATGTTCCCGAACATAGGAACACAGTGTAGTAATTTGATATTACTAGATGGTTATTGACTCTTTTATTGTATTTTATTCTTTCTTTTACTCTTTGCCAAGCTAATACCAAGATAAAAAATAATGGTGTCAGCTTTGCCAGATAGATGATTGCATATATGGAGGACCAGAAATCTAAATAAATAAGTGACTCAATAAATTAATTAATGTCATTAAATGCACCATCACAAATGATGTTATAAACAGATGTAGGCATTCATTAATTTATAAATGTGACATCAATTGATATAATAATATGATATGTGATGTAATTTTAAATAAATTTATCTTTGTATAAATGCCCCTATTTATTTACTTTCTCTTTTAATTTACCATTTCATCAATCAATTTATGGTCCTCCATATGCATACACCAGGTGGGGTCTGCAAAAGACAAAGATACTTATCAGGTCATCGAAGTGCCTCAAATTATTACATGGAAAGTCTATTTGACAAACAGATCAATTAATAAATGACTTTGTTTCTGATGTTCAGCTGAATACAGACAACATGGAGAGATTTCTGCTGTTCGGGGCGTTGTTTGAAGCAACAATGATTGACAGAAAGATTGGAGACAGGCCCATCAGCTTTGAGTTCTCCCTGGGTGAGTCGCCAAATCCACTGCTCTCACTGTTTTCCCTCCTTGTCTTTTTCTTTTAATAGAAACACATCACACTTCACACAAGTAATCAAATGCAGGAGCTCATAATGTTGTTTAATACGTGTTATTGCAACTACTTTTTGTAGTAGTAGTATGTATTATTTTGTTGTTGTTTAGAATAATGTTTTTATTACTGGATTATTTTTATTGATGCATGTATACTCTTGCTGGGTAGCTTGTGAATTTCCACCTGGAGAGTCTTATTGATATACTTTAATACAATTATTATCTAGTTGATTATATTTTGTATTCTTAATCTGAATCTGGGAAATAACTAGTAAATTATCAAATATATGTACTGGAATAAAAAGTATAATATTTTCCTCTGAATTGTAATGGAGTAGAAGGATAAAGTAGCACAAAATGGAAATACTCAAGTAAAGTACATGTACCTCAAAGTTGTACTTATGTACAGTACTTGAGTAAATGTACTTAGTTACTTTCCACCACCGCTGTTGATATACACTTTTGTTTCCTCCCTCAGGTAACTACGGTAATGTCTTGGAGCCTGCATGCCAGCCCAGCATCCCTGTGCCCAGTCCTGCCGTCAGTCGGAGGAGAAAAGCGTTGGACGTCGCAGACAGTGGTGACATGTTCGGCTCTTTGAGCTCCCTTTCCACCTCACCGACTTCCCCCCTCCTACCCAGAGGGCCTCAGGACACGGCCTTCACCTCTACGTCCAGCACGCCTCCGGAAAGACCGCTCATCGTCAAAGGAAACAAGTTGAGTCACATTGTTGTTTGATTCTTGATGGTCTGTAGAGCCTTGAAGAGGTTTGATGTTTCACTTCATTTTCCAAGAAACTTTGGAGTAATTGGCTGTATGAACGCGTGACAGTTTCAGGCACTTTCAGCCTCACCTCATTGTCTTCCCCAGTGGATTGAGTTTGCTCGAACAAGAATTTTCTGGAGCCTTTTATCTCCAGATAAGAAAGAGATATGATTGAAAGATTTGAACATGCTTCTTGTTTTATTCTTGCAAAAAAACCCAACAACATTGGAATATCTGGTAGTGTGGGTAGGTAGGTGGATTTATTTGTCACAATATAACAGGTTATAGAGTGAAATTGAGTTACTAACTCTCTTCTGCTATATAGCAACAGCAATATAGATTAATATAAAAAAAGTAAACATAAACTGTATATTCAACGGGAGCAGTGCTGAGGATGAATTAGTTCAAGAGTCTGATAGCTTGGGGGGAAAAGCTGCTCTGCAGTCTGGTGAGGTGGCAGCAGAAACTTCTATATCTTTTCCCAGAGGGCAGAAGGGTGAACAGGCTGTGGCTGGGGTGGGTACTATCCTGTAGTATCCTTTGGGCTCTGCATAGGCCCCTCACTGATATCACTGATTTTCCGGAGATGGGTACCCATGTAGTTTTAATCACCCGCTGCAGAGCCCTCTGGTCCTGGGCCGTGCACAAACCATGCCAGTTTATGATGTTTCCAGTCAGGATGCTTTCTATTGCTCCTCTGTGTGTGCTATGGCTGTAAAAGATACATGTTAATTTAAGTCCTGCTATGTGACATGAACAGTATAAATTTTGCTAGCATTAGCCACCGTAAGCTACTGGTTATACCAGACCAAGTAAGGCTACAAAACCACTGAATGTACAGAACTGAGAAAGGGTTCATAATATGGTTTATGAATTCAACTTTTGTTAATTGCATGAGGAAGATTGTGTTATTTGGTCTTTCAAAAGTTAAATACTGTAAAACTTAAAATAATAGCCCCGGCTTTTATTTGCTTAAATCACTCAACTCATCCTGTCTATATTTGGGACAGGCCTTTCATTCCTTTCAACACAAAACTCTTGCTCAGCAAAGATGGGAAATAGACTACAATTAAACTGTTTCCTCCAGTATGAATATTACTTGTATAAAAATTTGGCTTTTTTTCATCATACTGGTAAATATTAATTGTTTCCATAAGATGAACTGAACTATTGAATTGTAGAGAATCCAATGGATCTAACAATGTGTAGCATGTCCATATTGACAAAAGTTTTTATAGTTTTATATTTGTATGTACAGTTTAAGTAGCTTAGAAGTAGCTCAAGAGTGCGACCCGGTGGGCTTTAAGAGGATTTATATATTCAAAGAACTTCTGTAAAAACCAGACCAGGCTTCTAAATGAGACCTGCATTCATTTGTCAAAACGTGAAGCCACACCAGGCCAAAAAAGAGACAGGTGTCTACTTGAGACTAGCCTTTTAATTGAAGTTTTACAGCAGTCTTGCTTTTAGATTTTCAATTCAAATGAAGCTCCCCCACATTGAATAAATGGGGATATATTACTGCTGCCTGAAAGTAAATCTAGATGTTGAATATTATTGAATCTGCTAACAATCTTGGCCATTTTACATTTAGTTATTACCAAGAGGGGGAGGATTGAAAAGTTATTTTTTTTCTGTTTTCTAGCTCACAGTATATTGCTTTTAATTGTTTGTATGCGTGTACAATCAGGCACTACATGTATCTGCCTCTGGAGAAGCAGAAGCCGTGTATTAATGTGTCGTGTCACTGGGAGGACAGAACATACCGACTCTACAACTCAAATATGCTGGAGAATATAGCTGTTCTGTTTGTATGTACACACTCACACGCATACATTTTTTTTCACTGATCAAATGTTGTCAGAAAGTCGACAGTTGTTGTTATAGGTTCTAGCTTTTCAAAACCTATCTGATAGCTCTTTAAACAGTGCCCACTGCCATCCTAGTAAAAAAGAAAAATATCTTGTCTTTCAGGAGGAGGGTGTGGACAGTGCAGCCGAGCTACACAGGAAGTCAGATCCAGGGGCGGAGTATATGCTCCGAATCATCCTTAAAGAATTCTGTATGGACGCCAGGTATTCAGTTTAGACAGTTTAATCAAAGTTTTAACAGCATTGCTTTATCTGTCTTTTCTTTATAAAAGTCAAATGTGGAAGACGAATAATGAACATGAGCAATCTGTAACTTTATAGAATTTGTTTTAGTGACAACAAACTTCTCATTGCTCCATTGTGAGAAAGTTTATAACTGAGAAACTTAAGAATCCACATTATCTGAAATATTTCAATATAATAATCTAAGTCTAATTTCACCTGTGAAGTCATAAACACAGAAGAACAATATAGATTAGACTTAACATAGGAACACTACGGTTTCCTTAATTTCCAGTTCCCTACTCACCCCATGTCTCTGCTAAGGTTAGATTTATAGGTCTACATTAAGGGGTTAGGGGCGTCTTCTTCTGTCAGTGTTAAATGTGAATTCTGTTTTTCTGCAGGAGTTTCATCGCAGCAGCTGAGGCCAAGTTGAAGGCAGAGCTAAAGTCGAGCTACCTGACACAGCTGGATAAGAAACGCCTCACCATGTGTAAACAGGAACTGGTGGGAAAATCTGAGGAACATGCACTAAAACACAGGCTTAAATATAAACAAGTGTGCTCAGTCTTTCTCCTGAGGTCTGAATCTTTCTCCACAAACGGATCCAGATGCTGATTTGTTTCTTGTGGGTTAATGTTTGTTTTTACATCACACATTGAAGATTACACCAATAATGGGGATTTGTTGTGGCAAATGCAAACTGTTCACAAAAAGGTTGCATGTGTTATTAGTCAGAAGTTCATATTAAATGTGTTACATCAAGCCTAAGAAGCACAGATTAGTTGCACCAAAGATGTGCAGGAATCTTGCATTACAACAATGTGTGTGTGTGTGTGTGTTTCTGTTGCAGGAGAGTATGATAGGAGAGGCCCAGACATTGGGAGAGAGGAAGAATTCAGTTGGTGGTGTGAAAGAAATGCTGCAGGACGCAACAAAACTCATACTCAAACTGCGCTTCCTTGTGGAAGAGGTACGGGACTCACCGTGTGTGTGTGTGTGTGTGTGTGTGTGTGCATCCTGACAATTTGTTTGTAAGACATGGCTGATTTTTACCTTTTACATCTTAACTTTTCATAAACAAACGCACACGCCTTTACACACTGCAGCCCCAGCACACAGTTCCCGACGTCTTTGTGTGGTTGCTAAGCAACAACAAGCGTGTTGCGTGCGCTCGAATCCGAGCCAGAGACCTGCTGTACTCCAGCAGCAAGGAGGCCCGGGGAATCCACTGTGGCAAGATAATAACACTGTTTCTAAAGGTAAACACACAAACACAGGACTTAAAACTCAGCTATGTTTCAATGTAGGATTGCAGGCAGAGACCAACTGATACGTATGTGTGTGTGCGTGCGTGTGTGTGCGTGCAGCCTCCAGGAAAGCGTGTTGCAGGTTTGTCTGTCCAAGCAAAGCTGGATGTGTATCTCTGGTATGGAACCTGGGTAGACTCCATCCACATGCTCGATGACCTACCTCCACAATTCTGTCCGGCCACAGGGGGCGTTGATGCCAGATGCCCTCCATCATACCTGATCTGCAGCGGTGAGAGACAGACAAATTATTACACTCCCTTCATTTGCATGGTTATTTTGTCTTTGAAATTCACACATTGCAAATAGCATTACTTTTTATTATTGGCTTCTTTTTGACCAAATAATGACCACGTAATTCTGTCGTATGTAGAATTTGCTTCAGGCATTTCGATGTCTGAATAATACAATACACAGAAAAGGAATGGTTTACCTTCAAATTCATAACATCACACTTACATTAGGTCTCAAGTAAGTTTCCAAGTCATGTTCCAGAAGATAACACTATGAGTAAATGAAAATATCCGTTTTTAGCATGTGGGTAAACTAATGCTTTAAGATCACCATAAACTCCATGTTGTGTGTGTCTCCAGAGCAGCACCAGTTCCAGTTGAGGTGCCACATGTATCAGGCTCGGGGTCTGATCGCTGCAGACAACACCGGCCTGTCTGACCCTTTTGCTCGAGTTACATTTTTGTCACACAGCCAAACCACCAATGTAAGTACATTTGTGGGTTCCTAGGACAACAATTAAGTTTCGCTGGGGTACTGGTCTAGCTGCAGGGGTTAGATGTTTAGTTTGTGCCTTTCATGTAATTTTCATTTGACACTTTTACATTCATGATTACACTCAGATAAAAAATGACCCATGTGTTGCATCAAACTTGACAAATGCAGCTCAACATGCAGCTCTAGATTCTTCTGCCACTGCATGTTGCTTCCTGCACAGTGACATAGTATTTTTGCTGGTTTTACAGGCTGTCCTTCCGCTCATGGACACAAACAAAGACAGCCACTGGAAATGGTATCATTTTACGTGGAATGATCTTTGTTTGAGTTCAGGAATGGTGATGCAGCTTGTGGAAAAGGTCAGAAGTCATTGTACTGCACCTTAAGGATTAGAGGACTCCAAAGATTATAGATACAGTACATTATCAGACACATGTGGCAGCTTGTATAATATGTTTTGTTGGTAGCAATCAAGACTAATGACAACTAATCTCTCAAGAGAATGAGACATATACACTCAGTATTTACACCTTTACAATCTAATGCAATCAATTACAACACCTCTGAAATAAACAGTAAATTTACCAAGCTCATAATTAAAATAAAGGTTTTTGCTGACACTGTCCAAGAGGAGTTAATTCAACTATACATGTATGTTTATTATTGAGGTTTGTTGAGTTGGTGTTGTTGTGCTGGACTGCATTATGGTGATAGTGCGTTAGATTGTACAGGTGTACATGAACATTAGATCTTGACAAAGTTGGCAAAGAAGTAGCTGTTAAAGGTTCTAAATGGCGCATCTTTCTGAATACTATTGGATATTAGTCAGCCAATCAGATGATGCAAACTTAATTTTTAAGATGGCACTTGATTAGTAGCTAAGTACTGTTCTAGTTAGCAGCTTGCTAATTGTCTTAACTAATCTTTTCCTATTCTGTGAATATGTTTGTGTCTCCTGAGCTGGTCCTGTCCAGGTCTGATTTGTTACCTTCTCCAAGCAGGTTATATTTTCGGTGCTGTTTGTTCGTTTGTTTGTCTTTCAGCACGGTTACCGAAAAACTTCCAGCCCGATTTCCATAAAAATTAGTGGAAGGGTGTAACATATGCCAAGGAAGAACCCGTTAAATTATTGGAGCAGATCCAAATGACGGGAAAGATACACAAAGTATTTTTCACTTTTGTTAATTGCCAGATATGTCAGTTGTAAGCTGAGATGACGGCGCTTCAACTAGACAAAACCACATTTTGACATGCTGTAATTCTAATAGTTTTGGACTGGACTACTTGGTGGAGGTCTGCACTCTGAGTGCACTTGTAGTTTATTTATGTAATAATGGGGTGTGTGTGTGTGTGTGTGTTGCTGTCAGGTGATCAGTCAGACTCTCAGTCCAACATGGAATCAGTGTTTGCAGATGACTGGCCTGTTGCTGTTTGGAGATCTGCAGCACATCCAGCAGGAGCCGCCACGCATTCTCATCGAGGTGTACGACGACGACGCACTGGTAATGTTGTGTTGACAGATAGATCAATCAAGTAATAGTTTAATCACTGTATTAGATATTTTGCTACTGACTCTCTGAATTGAACTTATGACCTCTATCTGATCTCACCCCATCTCCTGTTGTGAACAGAGTAAGGCGGAGTATCTGGGAGCCACAGTGGCGGTGCCCGAGGTTCGGTTGGCCTCTGACCCGTACACACCTCCAACTCTGCAGTACAGCCCGCTGCACTGCGGCAGCCAGCCAGGAGGAGACCTGCTGGCTGCCTTTGAACTTCTGCAGGTCAGTCAGTCATTTCAATAACCATTTAGTTTCCATCATGATGATGGAAGACAAATGTAGAATGAAACACTAATAACAAAGAAGTATCATGTAGATCCCAGAGTCCGGGGAGCAGAGTCTGCCGGCGTTAGAGGAACAGGAAGGAGGCATCTACAAGGTTCCTGCTAACATCAGACCTGTTCTCAGCACCTACAGGCTGGAGGTTTGGCTGCCTCTCTCTCTAATTAAGTATTATCAGAAGAATTTCCTAAAAGTATTCATTCTGCAGTAAAGTGGTCCCTGTTATTGTTTCACTATTATATCTAATGTTTCTGGATTAATATTACTGCTGCATTACTGTGCATGTAGCATCATACTACCGTGTACGGTTGAGCTAATTTTAAATACTTCATGATGATGCATGACTCTCAACCTATAAAGGAACACTTAATCCTTCACTTTATTTGAAAGAGTCAAATTAAATTCACAAACGTTAGAGATACAATGTTTTTACCCATCTACTCTGTTATGAAATGGGGATGGTGATTTATTTATTTTTTTTTACTTTCAACGTAACCATCAAATAACACCTCCTGCCTCAAATTCTAACACACACGCAGCTCTAACAAACCTTTGTGTGTGTTCTTTCCTCCAGGTGTTATTCTGGGGTCTGAGGGAGCTGAGGAAGGTTCAGTTCCTGACTGTTGATCGCCCACAGGTACAAACACACAAACAAACATGAGTTACATGAACAAGCTGTGTCCCATTTTAGGGCTCTGCTTCTTTTGAGAGTCCATAACAGATGACCCTCATGAAATTAAATAATAAACCCCATTTCTCCTTCTCTAGGTCTTCATAGAGTGTGCAGGTAAAACGCTGCGCTCCTCTGTCATTCAGAAGTACAAGTCCAATCCAAACTTCACCACGCTGATTGATGCCATAGAGCTGGTAAGACCAATACAGCATTTATAGTACATCATGACGTAAATACAGCATGGCAAAACATTCTCAGTACATCAAATCCAACTAGTGGGGAGTCCTGGAGGCCCATTGGCCCAATGTGTCTAGACATTTCCACACATGATATTTCCACAATAGTGTGCTTCCAACTCTGGCAGTAGTTTGAGGGAAGTCCCTGTCTCAACACAATCCAGGTCCACAAAGAAATGGTTTTCCCAATTTGGTGTGGGAAAACCTGACTGGCCTGCACATAGCCCCGACCTCCCCTCCGTCAAACATCTTTGGAATCAAGTAGAATGCTGTGAGCCAGACCTGATCACCCAACATCAGTGTGGGACCTCTCTATAATGCTCTTATGGCTGAATAGGATCAAAGCCCTGCTGCCAGGTTTCAAACGTTTGTTGAAAGCTGATATGAAAGCCCATGGCTTGGAACGAGATGTTCAGGAATCACATATAGGTGTAATGTTCAGGTGTCCACATACAGTACCTTTGGCCATGTAGGGTGCTATGTAACCACAGCATCCCTGGATCGACTCTGGCTTTTGTACGTAAACGTTCTACTCTATTCTACTGTCTCTTAGGAGTTACCAGAGAACGAACACCTCCATCCTCCGCTCAGTATCACTGTTGTCGATTGGAGGGCTTTTGGTCGCAGCACATTGGTTGGAAACCACATTGTCAACAACCTCAAGGCCTTCAAATACACTCCACCTCCAGCCCTGCCTGCTCCACCAAAAAAGACACACAAACCATCCAAGGTCACATACACCACTGGACCTGCAGTGGCACCAGAACCACAAAGCACTGAGGGTAATAAATGTGTGTATGTCTGTGCTTGTGTATGTGTGTGGCACACAAAGAATCATTTACAACAATTATTTACAACAGAGGAGCTATACAAGTGTATTACTGCTTCTAGTTATTGTCTAACAACTTAGATCTGTAAGTATTACCGTGCTGATACAGTCTGCTTTCTATTCTTGGACACAAGAGAAACAGCTGCAGTATCATAAAGTGATACAAAAAAAAAAAACCTTATACTGTCTTTTTAGCATTTTCCCCCATCTTTAAAAAATAAAACTTTTTTAAACTATGTTCTTGGCCAAGATGTTCTCGGTTGCTAAAATGGCATATAGTTGCGTATAAACAATATGCCTAGTGAGCTTGAAGGTTCAATATTGATTTTGGAAAAAACAACCACTTACTGGACATTTCTGAAGCTCTGTAAAATGTTCACTTAATGGATCTTGTGCTAGAAAGTTTTATCAATATTCCCACTGAAATAAAAAAAAAAAGTATTCCTGATTCTGATGTTGATGATCCTCCTGTCAAGTAGGCTTGGGCTTACTTGATCTTTTTCTTATCCCATAAGAATATTTATCGTTTTCTCTTGTCCAATAGGACTGTCCCAGCCGGCTGGAGAGACCAGTTCAGCTGTAGCACTGACAAATCAGGATTGCCTGATCACTGTGGAGGATGAAGCCCCGGCTCCAGCCTCACCCCCCCCAATGCAAGAATCCAGGAGGAAAAGGGTGAAAGTTACTGCATAAATAACAACATAAACAACTGTGTTCTTACGTACCACGCGCACCACTGTCTAAATATTTGCATGTGTATATTTTAAATCCAGGACAGCAGAACAAAGAGCACCCGTGGCCGTTCCACCAAGCGGAGGAGGCGGACCATCGCTGACGAATCAGCAGAGTGTGTCATCGACTGGTGGTCCAAATACTACGTATCTGTAGAGAAACAGGTAGCACTGGTTGATTCTGTTCTGTTCTGTTGCAAAAGCTCTGACAGCTATTTGTAAAAAATGAAAATGTAAATATGTTTGTGTTCCAGGCCAAACTGAAGGACAACACTCTCTTACCTCAGGTCTTTGAAAAAGGTAAAACTCCTTTCATGTGCCATTAGGCCTCTGTCAGTCAAGGTGCTCTGTGAAAAGTTGGTTGTGTTTTGCTGAATTAAATGTCAAAGTGCCACACTAGTATTTTCAGTCATATCTGGTTCCCTCATCACATCTGAATTCATTACTTAGTGTATGTCACAAACAGTAATGAAAAGATGTACTTTGAGATGAAGCAGCTATAATAATATTTATGTATCAAATGACAATGTAAAGAGAATGTTACAATATGAAAGGGGTCTCTCGTAGTGATGAACCTTACAGAGAATCATCACTTCAGTACTTTAGCTTTACGGAGCTTTATAGTAAGTTTCAGCTCTTTGTTTAGCTGCCCGGCCCACAACTTTACTGTTTACTGTCATAGTTATTTTTGCCCTGACCCATACACACAATGTTGTGTGTTGCAGCTTTGCCGTACAGCAGCTTGGTCAGCGAAGGAATAGACTCTTTGGGTAAGGACAGACTAAAAAAAAGTTGTCATTAAGGGACATAAAGCATTTTAAGCCAGTTTTAGCCTCTGATTCCTGGGAGGAAATCTTGTTTACTGACAGCTAGAGGGTCTGGGAACTTGCTGTAGGGAGCTCTGTTTCTGGATAGTGTCATACTGTTGATGTACTGGATGTGTGGTTCTGTCACTGCATGATCTGACCTGCAGCTACCACTGTTACCCTCCAGCTCCTGCTTTTTTAATGCACTTTTAAGCTGTGGACAAAGTGGTGGTGGTCACTTTGCTGGGTGTACAAGTACTGATGATTTTATGAAGAAGTTCTCCTGAAAGAACAGACAGCGTTGGAAATGGAAAAAAAATGACTGATGTTAATCTCTATATGCTAAGAGGGAACCCTTTTAACTTTTGTGTTTCTTCTGGTGGAGATGAAGGGAACTTGGTTCACTCGTAGGTTTCTGAGTGACACTTTGGAGCGTGGCATTTCAAAATAAAAAAAAATAAAAAATAACTGAATCTACTTACGTTTCCCGAGCTGTGAAACCCTTCTGTCATCACAAAGCAAATACATGTTCTTTTTCTTCATTTCCATGTGGTTCTTTATGTCAGTGTTTAAAATCTGTTATGTTTGTTCATCAGTCAGCCTGTCAGATGGAGACAAGAAGAAATTCAAAGGAAAAGTAAACCTGGAGCCGAACTTGGGTCTACCTACTAAATTAGCCACACTCAAGGTACTCACTTCAAACAACACTGCAAGTCCAATAAGATCACAGCGGACATGCAGACTGTTTTAGAATGAAAACGGAGGGACTACAGTGACCACAACAGAGGTTAAGTTCCTTAATGCTCCAAAAGGCATTGATGGTAATGGTCTATAATCAGACTCTGACTGTGCTTGATTGACAGTTTCCTCACTCTCCTATTGGTTTTGTTGAACCTTTTAGGGCATAACATGGTACATTATCGTTGCTATCACTTTATGGAGTTTGTGATAGAAGGTAAATCTCAACCACAGCTCGAATCAGTGTGCAAAAAGCATATACAATAAAGTATTTCTTTCTAGCAGTGTGTAGATTTGATTTTGCAGTCAGTAGAATTTTTGGTGCATTTGTTAAAATATAATTTGACCTATACCGTGTTTCCTACACATAGACTTTACTTGGGCAAGACCGCCAAAGCAAATTAACGGCTGCCAAAGTATATTTGGCGATCCGTTTTTTTTCCCCCACCCTTTGCAGAGAAACACAAAGACAGAGACGTTATCTGGTATTACGTAAGATGATGCGGACACGGTGGATATTTTATATGCAGTTACAGCAACAGTGTTGGAAGTAGTTTGTGAGTAAACACTAAAATATGGTGGAAATTTAAGTAGAATTAAAATAGTGAAATAAGAAATAACCTACAAGAAATAGGTTAGTGTATTCTTTCAGATAACATCAAAGAAAATAAACAATATACCCCGTCCCTGACACAGTTACAGTCAACCTGTAGTAAACACTGCCTGTAAAATATAAATTAATACATTTTTGAACCAACAAAAAATGTTTTAACAAACTCACACAGTATTTGATGAATTTAAAAATCTTTGGACAACTAAGATCTGATTAGAGTGTGTGATTGTCTGTTTACTGTCTTAGAGGAAATATATGCTGGTGTTGATATATGTCAGAGAGAAAATACAATGCAGTGATGCTGGCAATCTCTCTGCAGCTGTACAACAGGGAGCTGGAGGCAGAGTTTGGGCCTTTTGACGATTGGGTGAACACATATGAACTGTTCAGAGGGAAAGCCAATGAGGAAGAGGGGGCGACTGAAGAGAGATTTGTTGGCAAATTTAAGGTGAGACAATTAGGTTGAATATCCTGTTATGGGTGCTACCTTGAGGACCACTGATATATTTCACTACTGATCTGATCCATTATGTGCATCTGCTTCTCTGCAGGGACGATTCTGCCTGTATAAACTGAATGAGGATGAGGCAGATGACGGTGACAAAGCCCCTGACACTGGACACTTCAGAGTCAACAGAGGAATACCTCCCAACTCCCCGGTCCAAGTCCTCATACGGGTTTACATCGTCTCTGTGCGTCCTCATTTTTAAAGATCAGTTATAGAGGTTTAAAGTGTTTACTATGAATCTTCTTAAATGTCACACAATCCCAAAACAGCATTCAGAGGTTTAAATTGAGTTTCTGACCATCACCTTTACGAAGACCAATGGCAGTGTAATACCAAATATGCAGGTCTGTTAATATCAGGGAGCCCAGTTGCAAATTCATGCAAACACAGGGAGAATATGAAAATTACACACCTGGGGTTTAAATCCAGAATCCTTGTATGACACTAAAGTGTGCCATCATGTTATAACATATCATGCTGTGTTAGGTGTTAGGTCATGTCTCCTTTCTCTCCTCAGGCGTCTAACCTGCACCCAGCTGACCCGGATGGGAAGTCGGACCCTTACATTGTTATTCGGCTTGGCAAGAACGAAATCAAAGACAGAGACAACTACATCCCTAAACAGCTGAATCCTGTGTTTGGAAGGTACATGACTGGCTGACTACTCCTGTGGTTTAAAGTAGTCCCCACCTCAGGTGTTTAATGGTTGAAGCCTGACACAGAACTTCTCAAGTTGTTTCTCCTTCCTTCCTTTTTTCCCCAGATCTTTTGAGATGCAGGCGACATTTCCTCAGGAGTCTCTGCTTACGCTGCTGATCTATGACTATGACTTGGTGGGTGGGGACGACCTGATAGGAGAGACTCGCATTGACCTGGAGAACCGATTCTACAGCCGACACAGAGCCACCTGTGGACTCCCTACTGAGTACAGCCTGTAAGTTATTTTACTTTATTATTTATTTTATTTTACCCCTCGGTTCATTTAAGTAAATTATCATCATGCTGGTTAGAGTAATTTCTTACCTACTTCATCTCTGTGCTCTAATTTGTCTAATTTGTCATTTTCATCTGAACAAACACATTAAATTAAAGGAGGAAAGACCTTTTACAAAGCTTTCAGTAAAACCTTATAATTTGTATACAAACCATACAAGTTCCTGTTCCTCTGGCCCCCTGTGTTTCTTGTTAGTGACGGTTATAATGCCTGGAGAGACTGTTTGAAGCCATCAGAGCTGTTGTCTAAGCTGTGCAGAGAGAACGGTCTAGACGGTCCTCATTTCACACCAGGGCGCATCACTGTGGCTGGCAAAGTGTTTGTTGGCAAGACCCTCTTCATGAATGAAGGTAATGACTGGTCACCCATTTTGTCTTTATAAACAGTATATAAAATGTGTTTCTTAACCTACAGCATTTGTCAACAATTAGAAATTCTACTGTAAAAACACATTTTATATTATTACAGCTGTTTTACTACATTGTCATTCATTGTCTATTTTCGGATTATACACCAGCCGTGCCCAGAGGAGTTGATGACAAATACACTTAAATCTGTTTACCACTAGTGGTGGTAGTATATTTACTCAAGTACTGTATAAAAGTGCAAAGTATCGGTATCAAACCCTAACTGATTTGATAACTAATTAAAAAATCTTATTCTTTTAGCTTTGCAGTAAACTGAATCATTTTGAGGTTTGACATTAATACAGAAGCAGATTTTTTTTTTTTACTACCAGAGAAAGATGCTGCATATTAAAAATTAATGCAGTAGTAATAATAATCAAATAATTTATCTAAGTGTTATAAACAATTTATTACATTTTTATGTACTGCTTATAAATGCTAAATAGTACACAGAGACGTCTGCCATGATGGACACCATCGTAAAGGTATTAATTACCCTTTCATCAAATTCATCACAGGGGTGAATCTTCTCTTGACTGTCTATACATAGTTTGGTAAACCTTTGTGGCAGCTTCAGTCTCTGCCTTGTATTTTGATGATGGTGGTGAACTAATGGCAGATAGTTTGCCAGATGACTCCAACGAAGAGACAAATACATGAATGTCAATTCAGTGATAATTTGTTTATTGTAAGCACTTTCTATCATCAAGCCGTCTTAGTAAAACTATTCCGTATAAAAGAAAATCATCAGTCAGGGGAAGCTTCCAATACTAATAACTGATTTCTGTAGCCAAGCTAAATAACCAGTTAGGGGGCCAATGGTCTCACCCGGACTAGGATCAAATACTTCTATTACAAATTTCACAAAAACACTACAGATGGATCAGCACACAGAGTATCACCATAGATGTCTATAGTTGCTTTCTCTCAGATAGGCTAAACAGTAATATTTACAGGTTTTGATTTATGTGTCACACGCTCACCTGAGGGATGCTTCTGATTCTGACAAGCCCGGTCTGACTTGTTCCTAAGGTGATGGGCTTTATAGCTGCATCATTACCTTTGTTATAACACAAATATGTACACCTTATATCTATTAAATAAGGGTAAAATTACTGACAAAATTAAATTATGTATTTATTGTACATTGTGACATTATGCAGCTGCACAATTATATCCAAGGAGAAGAAAGTTTTGCTGTAATCCTTGACAGGAACATAGGGATTACAAAATTTCACGGAGTCAATCTTTCTTTATAAAGCATTTTAATATGAATCTTTACCGCTGTTTTATAGTTCAGATGACAACAGCAGTCTCACTTTTAGCTCTTGAATATAATCGTGTGGTGTGTGTGACATTATTTTTTTATTATTAAGTGTCAGATGAACCAGAGGAGTCCTATGAGCACTTGTCTCTGAAGATCCTCCACCGCTGGTCGGAGATCCCAGCTGTGGGATGCAAGCTGGTACCAGAACACATCGAGACCAGAACTCTGTTCAACAAGGCCCGGCCCGGCATGGACCAGGTACTTTTAATAACATCATCTTATAAAGCATACAGTTCTCTAAATATCATATGTGATAGAACCAAAATATTTTTACTTTTCCTCTGACAAAAAGTCGTGTATTGTGACGTGTTTCTTTGCAGAGGAATCATTTAAGCACAAATATAAGACAAGAAACAGTTATTGATTATTCGTGTGTGTGTGTGTGTGTGTGTGTGTGTAGGGCCAGGTCCAGATGTGGGTAGACATGTTTCCCATGGACCTGCCTCACCCGGGGCCTCCAGTGGACATTTCACCTCGAAAACCAAAAAGGTCTCTTTCAGCAGCTGCTGGCCAATCTTGATGACACAAATTTGTTTTTGAAAAGGGCAGCTAACAGTACACTAATGTGTATGTCCAGGTACGAGCTGCGTATCATCATATGGAACACAGAGGATGTGATTCTGGAAGACAGCAACTTTCTGACCGGTCAACAGTCCAGTGATATCTACGTCAAGGGGTATTTACTCCACATGCAGATATTTGACAGACTAGCTTTAGGTTTGATTATTCTAAACACAAAACAACATACAGTATTGTGCAAAGTACAAGTTTTAGGCAGGTGTGGCAAAATGCTGTAAAGTAAGAATGGTTTCAAAAATAGACGGGTTATTAGATTACATTTATCAATTAAAATGCAAAGCGAGTGAATGGAAACAAAGTCTAAATCAAATCAATATTTGACGTGACCCCCCTTTGCCTTTAAAACAGCATTAAATCTGAGGTTCACTTGCACAAAGTCAGGAATCTTGTAGACAAATCATCAGATATGACTTGATCACACCAAATATTGATTTAATTTAGATTTTTCTAAATACATTATATTTTCTTAAATTGTTAACCGTTTACTTGTCCCTCCGTTTTATTCTAGACTGTATGTCCCAAAAAATCTCTAAACACTTTCAATCTTTCTCTGTAGCTGGTTGAAAGGTTTGGAGGATGACCGACAGGAGACAGACGTCCACTACAACTCTCTGACTGGAGAAGGAAACTTCAACTGGCGCTTTGTGTTTCCCTTCAGCTACCTGCCTGCTGAGAAGGTACCGAGACACAGACGCAGGGTCACACCTTGTGAACCTTGCCGAAATAATCAAACATGGAATCCCCAGCAGCTCTAGCTGTTCGACAATATCCCCTTGTCAGCACATATTGTTTTTTCCCCTTCTCTCTCTTTCTCAGTTAGTAGTGGTGAGGAAGAGAGAGAGTATTTTCTCTCTGGATAAAACAGAGCAGAAGCTTCCTGCCATCCTCTGTCTGCAGGTCTGGGACTTCGAGACACTTTCCTCTGACGACTTCCTGGGTGTGTGTAACTGCTTCTCTATGTGTATCTGTGTTTCTTTATTCATACATTTCACTGATTAAGTGTGTGTGTGTGCGCGCATGTAGGCACAGTGGAGTTAGACCTTCATGGTTTTCCTCGGGGGGCAAAGACGGCAAAGTCATGTAAGGTGGACATGATGATGGACGGGACAGAGAGAATCTCCATCTTCCAGCAGAAGAGAGCAAGAGGCTGGTGGCCCTTCAGCAAGTCAGGAGAGCTGACGGTACGAATAAACAAACAAAGTCATACAGATTGACAAACACTTGTTGAGACTCTGACTGACGGGTGTTGTGTGTTTTGAATGCATCAGGGGAAAGTGGAGGCGGAGTTCCATCTTGTGACAGCTGAGGAGGCAGAGAAAAATCCAGTTGGCCGAGCCCGCAAGGAGCCCGAGCCGCTGCCAAAACCAAAGTAAGGGCAGCCAAACTGCGGTGCTCAGTTGCGAACTGGCAGTTTGGCCTTGCGACACAGCGGTATGAGTACACTGCTGACCAGTCTAAGACCAGTTTTAGCTGCTCGAATGTGATGCTATTTTGACTTTAGGTAGCTTTAAAATGAATACTAAGGTAATAATGTCATTTTGTTAGATAGAAAGAACAATATCATGGCTGTAGGTTAAAGGAATAGTTTGACATTTTGGGAAATACACTTGGTTTGCTCTCTTCCAAAGTATCTTCTACTAGCTCCCCTAAAGTTCACTAATTAACACGTCATACTTCGTTTGTTTCACATACTGTTTCGTGACAGATTATTTCTTGGCTGGACACAGAGACTTTACCACAGTTTACATTAGTTGCATAGCAAAGATAATGAGGTTACTGCTAACAACCAAGAAAGTCGCCCATGTAAAACTAATTTTTACACTCCATTTTCTGTACAAATTGAACAAACAAGATATAATGTGTTAATTAGGGAGTTTCAGAGATGTTCATCTTACTGTTGGACAGAGCCAGGCTAGCTGTTTCCCATTTCTAGTCTTTGTGCAAAACTAAGCATCTTATATAGGCATGCATTTACAGTACAGACATCTAGATATCGATCTTCTCGTCAAACTCTCTACAAGAAATTGCTCCGGCCAATGCCCAGTGGACTTTTTGATGTCTTTATGACAAAGCTCTAACATTTAAAATTAAATTATCCAAAACATTGTCTTTCCATTAATTAAGCTGTTAAAAATTAATAATAACTACTTTTTCTCTTTATCCCCTTCCCCCAGTCGTCCAGACACCTCCTTCTCGTGGTTTGTCAATCCATTCAAATGTTTCTTCCACTTGGTGTGGCGAAGCTACAAGAAGTACATCATCGCTGCCCTGCTCGTGCTCATCACAGTGCTGTTCCTCGCCCTGCTGTTCTACACACTGCCAGGAGCCATTTCTCAGAAGATAATCAATGGATAACTCACAAACACAAGCGGAGACTATGTTAACGTTTGCTAAAACTACAGTACTCAGCTTTAAAATAAATAAATGGCAATACGGTGTCACTACCCGTTTTAATAGATTTACATCAACAAGAACAAATGGGCATAGGAGCAACAGGGACGTTGTAAAGAAATGCATAAGTTTTTGGTTTTCTAATCTGGAATTGTCAATAACAAATCTAGATTTTTAAGACCCAATGTGGTTCAAGCTGCACTCACCGCTGGGTTCAATTTTGCTCTACTCAAGTGCAAGGCATTGGAAACAATGGGTTTCAGAGCGCAGTGGTGCCGTTGTCACGTTGTCTAAAAGGGCCTTTAAAACGTAGGTTCTGATGTTTTCAAGTCTATGTAGCTACAATACTCAACATACCAAATGTACTTTGAAAGAGTAATTAATCACTGGAAAATATTGGCTATGAAGACAAGAAAATCACAAAACACATTTAGAAATACTTTATATAAACTTTTAGAGTAACTTTATTTGGCTTTCACTAACTGCTTCATCTGAACTATAGTATGCATTTTCCACAGAACATGGGCTGGGGATTTTATCCCCAGTGTTTTACAATGTAGTCATTGCAGTTATGAAGCAACCAATAACTCAACATACTGCAGTGTTATCAGAGTGCTGGCTTTAAAAAAAATCTAAATCTATGCTTTTAAATTATCGCCAAATACATTTTATCTGTTGAGGAAGGGACAAGCTTTGTTAAAATAAAAGTTCAACACAGTTCTTATATTAGCTGCATTTATTATAACTTTTGTGAGTTGGTCAAACTGCAAAATTGAAGTATTTTTCTTGTTAGCAGCCATGAGATGTTTCTAGTAAACAACTCAAATCAGTATCTGTCAAAGGTGGTTTCTCGACAAAAAGTAACACTTATCAGATAATTTCTTATTTATCTTCCACCTCAGGCCAAGTAGAGATGCGTGTCTCATACACATTTCAACACTTATTACAAAATCAGCCACACAATATTTAAAAGACAGTCACATTGCACACTAAAAACATGATGATACATTGCCTCTGAAATAAGTCAAATCAGACAATCATTTCACTTTGATGGTTTCCACATATATACACTTCATTAAACTACAAAGAACTAAATTTAAATACTTTAGACTGAGAAATAGTTCAAATAAAATTTTAAATGTGTTATTTTTGTGTATATGTATGAGTTTACAGTTGCCCGTTTTGGTCTACTGATACTGGATTTTATGTGTAACTTATGTGAAATGAAGGTAAATGATATCTCATGAGTATATAACAGCAAAGACAAAGATCAATATCTGTTGCTCTGATTTTTTTTATCTCTACATATGGGTGGGGATAAGGTGCTTGTAAGCTCGACCTGATTGATTGAAACATTGTCATGTATGCTCAGCGAATAAAGTTATTCAGTTTGAGCATGCAGGCTTGGCTTTATTGTGTTGTCAATGGAAGTCAAATTATATGCAAAATTATACCAGTAGTTTGACAGTGCGTTTTATTAACGAAGCTCCAATGGCTGACGACACAAAGCTGCATCACCATTTGAGTTCGGACCCCTCCTGAACACCAACAATGACATATTTGCCATTCACATTCCTAAAATCTCTCTGTGCGTGGCGATGTCAAAAATATCACTGCAAGAGATCTGTGTCTGCCAGAGAGATACTCTGCTGCGATAGGCTGACCTGGGGGTAGGAAGAGGATGATGACGTCACAGTGTGCTGATGTGGAGCCATGTTGGGGCCTCTCAGGAGCAGAGAAGACGACGAGGTGCAGGTTATGAAGGGGAGAGTGGAGGAGATGCTGTTTGCTGCGGACATGTTGAGGAAGCTGTTGGACTGAGGCAGTGATGAGCTCGGTCTCTGCAGACTGCTCGAGGTGGCAGCTGAAACACAAGATAAAGAAAAAGTAGCTAGTGATAAATAACAGCCCTCCTCCACTTTCCTGAGGAAAAACAATTGTTTTATATTCATTCAACATTACTTATCTAATATCAAATGAAAGTTAAAAGGCTAACCTGCTATTAGCCTATTGATAGTGAGCTTGTCAATTTGACTTTTCAAACACTAGACCAGAGGTTTTCAAAGTGGGAGGGGGGCCTTCCCAACGGGGCGACAAATCCCTTTTGGGAGAATAGAAGAGCCTATATGTGATCAATTTGGTTAAAGAAATAGTGCAGAAATACAGTAGGCTAGTTTTGAGGAACTGTGGCAAACAGCACTAGCAGGCTTCGTTTAGCAAAACTAGGTAAACTAAAGAAGGTAAGAGGCACCTTTTCAGATTCCGCAGTCTCAGACTTTGAAACCCCCGGCACTAGACAATAACTACAGTATCAACAGGATACTGACCCAAACAGGCCTTTACAGGGTTTCCACGAGGACATTTGTTAGTAATATAAATAGATAAATAATAGACTATTCTCTACTACATGCCTTGGCTTAATCGATGGGGAAAAACTAACTTCAACTCAGACTGCATTGGATAAAAATGCGTGTCCAGCTGGTAATTATAAAACTAACTTCTGCCAGGTATTTGACAGCACTGCTCAAGGTTTTTCCACACACCCCCATCTAAATTGAGTAGTTTGTTGCCACTTTGTTTCAGTCACCTGCTGAGCTAAATTTCACTGATCATGACACATCGTCAGACATCAGCCTCACTTTAAATTTGTGGCCTTCACTGTATGATACAGCACCTTTGCTAATTTTCCATGACTATCAATGTTATATTTCATAAAATGCTTCTTTGACATAAGCGGAGGCTCTTTTTGTTTTGCATAAGATGGCCCATATGCTGATTGGAAAGTAAACCGTCCTTCACATGTGTTGAGCTTTTATTTGGAGGTAAGAATAAAACTCAGCCATCGATTATGGAGATGAACACAGGACCAAGAAACATTTTTTGTCCACAGTAGCTTTACATCTTTTACTAATCACTTTGACTACTTCCAACAAATGTATTCTTTCTGCACACGTATCCTCATCCTATTGTGTTTGAATGGGCCTTGAGTCTGGGTCTGGAAGTGCTCTGCTTTGAACCAGAAGTTTAAAACTGTCATGAAGGAATGACAGGGACAGTAACAAATACAAAGTAGAAGTTAGTCAATCTTACCACAGGGCCCTCTGAGCGGCTGATGCGGGCTGCTGATGGGAAAGCCAGTTTGAGAAAGACCTTCAGCGCCACCTTGAGTCTAAGAGTGAGAAAGACAGAAGTTACGGGCTTTGTCTTATTAGTAAGGAAGGTTCCTCATATGTAAATGGTCCTCAAGTCCTAGTGACGCCTAGTTCGTGGGTATTGTAATAGTGACGTAGTAGGTTGTAGCTTAATTGTTAATTATTCAAAACTAAACCATGTAGCGGACACTGTGCAATTAGGTTATGGTTTGAAATGAAATCTTAAGAAGGATCTTAGTGAAGGTATCACTTACTAGCTTGAGTGTGCTCACTAACAGCACACAAATAACGTTGTGCGAGTCCATATTAACATCTCTCACACAGAATGAACTAAAACCAATCACTGAACACGCAAAAAAGCAGGACTAGACCGTACTCTGTGATGTTATTTACAGAAACCCAACAATTCCCACCAAGAGCAGCACTAGGCGACAGAGGCAAGGAAAAATTTCAACTCATTGAGGCAGTTTTAAGACCTAAATTAGAACACTTTGTCCACCATTGTCATCCCTAGAAAATCAATAAAAACAGCTGCAGCTGATTCAGAATGCTACTGCTCGAGTCCTCACTAAAAAACAGTGGATCACATCATCAGTTCTGAGGTCTTTACACTGGTTTCTTTAAAATACTGTTGCTGCTTTTGCAACAGCAGTTGGTTTGGAAGCACTGAATGTTTTAGGGCCAAAATACATAACTGATCTTCTGCTACGTTATGAAACATCCAGACCTCTCAGATCTGCTTCATGTATCCAGACTCAAAGCTAAACAACTCCCAGAAAACTGCAAGTGGACTGAAAGGGTTCTTTTAAATCAATGCTGAAGACTTTTCTTTTCAGCCGCTGCCTTTTATTAAATCAAATTCAAGACTTTTGATTATATCTTGCACTGTAACTTTTACTGTCCTGTTTTATCTTGTTTTTAGTTTCTATTTAACTGTTAAATAAAGTATTTAAATGTCTTTTCCCTATGTTGCTTTTATTTTGTTTTATGTAAAGCACTTTGAATTGCCTTGTTGAAATGAGCTATACAAATAAACTTGCCTTGCGTTACTCTACATCATGTACTCCTTTCTGTGATAAAAGAAGTCACAGACATTACTGACCTGAACCTGGTCAAGACAGGCCTGGAGTTTCCTTTTTGCCCTCCACCTGGCCACCCTCAGTCTGGTCTTCTCTCGACGCTCTCGCACCTTCAACACAACATCATCATATTTTACATTAAATGAAGGCAACTGTAAAAGTTTTTTATGGGAATGTGTCACATAGATTATTAATAGATTATTAGATATTGCTGTAAGGACGGAACACTAAGGTTGACTAGCCAGATCTGCCAGCAGCGGCTGAGGCAGTGTTTTCTCCAGCTCTCTGCGTCTGCTGAGGCTTCGCCTTCGGAGCTCATTCCTGCGCAGTTTGTATTCTTCGTAAAGGCTGAGGTCTTTAGTCCAGGGCCGCATGGCCTGGCGAGGTGGGATGCCGAGTGGCAAGGCCGCCATCGACGGCAGGGAGGCCGCAGGCTGAGGTATCAGATCTGAGAGCACACACACACGGAAAGGTTTGTAGTGGATGGGCTTTTTTTAACAAATCAAATTATGGAATAGAGGTAGACCCATTTATCATGTTGCGGATTTACATAATAAATACTAGCCTCAAGTTATTATAACAGTGATCAATAATGATTTTATTGGCCAGAGGGAGACTGACATCTGCGCGCGCGCACACACACACACACACATCTACTCACATGTGCTTGGTCCGGCTGAGCTGAAGGCTGTAGTGTGATTTCTCTGGCTAGCTGGAAGGCCTGACCACTCTGTCAATGAGCTTTGAGCCTGGAGGGACGGACAAAAGAATGAATTCTCTTCCACAGATTGTTCCGAGCAGTCAGTGATATTCATTCCAGGAGTTGTCTTGTGATGATCAGCTCTATCCTTACCTCTGACTCTGGAAGATGACTCTGCTGCACCTGGCAGTCCAGCAGCAGAGTGGCCATCTCCTCTTGTTCGTCCTCCGGCTCCTCTTTGATACAGATCACCACCTCCTCCTCCTGCTGCTTCACCTGCATTAAAACAGAGGATCAGGACTTTAGGATTGTGATGAGAAAGGTCATCTAGTTTACTGTCCGGTAACATGCGTATTGTTATTAAGTTTAATACTTCTCTGCCTATGTCAGCCTTAAAGTGTTTTTTTGTGCAAGTACAGTATATTGTCTGTTAAACTGTGGAGTCAAATTAAAAGAAAAAAATCTGAATACAGAAGGATAAGATGGTACCATACAGGTAAAGGGGCATTTCTTTCTAATCTTCAGTAAACAAAAACAGAGAAAAGCAGCTATTCCTCATATCTGATAAGCTAGAACAAGCAAATGTTGGTTCTGTTGAAGAGATTAATCAGCATTTCAGCCCTGGGTATGACTGAAAGCTAAAATTTAATCTTTTGCACTTTTCTATATTTGTATTTTAATTGTGTCCATTTAGTGTGTTCCCTACGATGAGCACAATTAGAACTATTAGAACTACTGTATTTATTAAGTATCAGTCACAGTTTTACTTCTATTCTGGTTCCAGGTGCTCAATGATGACCAGAAAAATAAAATAAAAATAAAATGTAACCAAAGTATTGGTAAGCAAATTTCAAGGACCGCCTTTTTTCACCTACGTAATATTGCAAAAATCAGGAACATCCTGTCTAAAAATGATGCAAAAAAACTAGTCCTTGCATTTGTTACTTCTAGGCTGGATTACTGCAATTCCTTATTATCAGGCTGCTCGAAAAAGTCAATTAAGACTCTTCAGCTGATCCAGAATGCTGCAGCACGTGTTCTGACAGGAACCAGGAAAAGAGATCACATTTCTCCTGTCTTAGCTTCTCTGCATTGGCTTCCAGTAAAATCCAGAATAGAATTTAAAATCATTCTTCTTACCTACAAAGCTCTTAATGGTCAGGCACCATCTTATCTTAAAGAGCTCATAGTACCTTACTACCCCACCAGAGCACTGCGCTCCCAGAATGCAGGGTTACTTGTGGTTCCTAGAGTCTCCAAAAGTAGACTAGGAGCCAGAGCGTTCAGCTATCAAGCTCCTCTCCTGTGGAACCAGGTTCCAGTTTGGGTTCAGGAGGCAGACACCATCTCCACATTTAAGAGTAGGCTTAAGACTTTCCTCTTTGATAAAGCTTATAGTTAGGGCTGGCTCAGGTAGTCCTGAACCATCCCTTAGTTATGCTGCTATAGGCCTAGACTGCCGGGGGATTTCCCATGATGCACTGAGCTCCTCTCTCCTCTACTTTCTCTCCCTCTGTATGCAACCTCATCCCATTATTGCCTGTTACTAACTCGACTTCTCCCCTTTCTGGTAGTCTTGTGCTTTCTCGTCCCTCTCCTCTCTCCTCCTATCACTTCCTGCTGGTGTTTCTGGCTCTGGAGCTGTGGAGTCTGGATCTGTGGCTGCGGGTCACCTGCTGCCCCCGTGTTCCTGCTCGACACCCTCTGCTACAATTATTGTTACTAGTCCTATTGTAACATTACAATTATTATCATTAACACTACTGTAAATATCTGTACCTCTGTGTGTATATTGTGTAGGCTGCCTCCCTCCCCTCTCTCTCTCCTTCGACCCCCTCCTCTCTCCTTCACCCCCAACCGGTCGAGGCAGATGGCCGCCCACCCTGAGACATGGTTCTGCTCGAGGTTTCTGCCTCTTAAACAGAAGTTTTTCCTTGCCTCTGTCGCCTAGTGCTGCTCTTGGTGGGAATTGTTGGGTTTCTGTAAATAGCATCACAGAGTACGGTCTAGTCCTGCTCTTTTATGAAAAGCGCTCTGAGATAACTGTTGTTGTGATTTGGCGCTATATAAATAAAATTGAATTGAAAATATAAAAATATATATTGAAAATATCTTTCTAATATCTTAAAGCACAAATTAATAAAAAATTATTAAATATACGTTCTCTAACTTAAACTACAACTCTAAAGCAGTTGTTTCTTCTACTGTGCTCTCCAATTACTAAGAAAAAGAGCTAGCCTTTTCTCATGTCCTCATTCTAAGAGGTCAGAGGTCAACATAACGACCACGTAGGCCCACTTCAGTGGAGTGTGCGTATGTGTTGTCACCTGTGAAACAGAGGAGGGCACAGTGGAGCTATCGGCCTGGGTGGAACAATTTGGGGACAGTGAGTCAGCGGCTGATTGCTGCCCCAGATCGACAGTCAGGGCCTGGACAGGAGGAGGGGCCATGACAGCGTCCACACTTTCTGTTTGCGGCTGCAGAGTGATGGTCCACTCACAGTCGTCCTCCTGATCATCATCTTTCCTCTGAGCTGTGTCTTGATCTGTGGAACAGAACAAAACTGCACAAACATTGACATGTGTTCACTCTAGGGCTGGGCGATATGGCCAAAAATGTTATCACGATAAACACATTTTATATCATTCGATATCGATAATTATCACGATATATGCCAAATCATTATTTCTTTCAAGTTTTAAGGTGGATTTTTGCTACTGAATGAAAATTCAAGAAATCAGAAGGTTAATTATGTGGTTTAAACTTTTCTTTATCGTCAGATACACAGAAAACAGTGGATCATTTCACAAATCTGAGGTAGAACATTCAAAACTATTATGATAAAATCTTTTTCAACAAATATGATTAGTAAATAGATAACTTTCACAACAATGCACCCACTATTTTGTCAGTGGGTAATATAATTTTTTCCTTCACTCACATTTACCTTCTTATTGTAGGGTTGACGTAAGGGTTGAGAAGGGGTTGGGTGTTGGCGTACCATTGTATGTTGTGATTTCGGTGTGTGTGTGTGTGTGTGTGTGTGTGTGTCAGTGAAGGGCATTAAGTACATGGTATATGCTCTTGAACAATGTCTGATGTTTTATGTTTGATATGCATATGTGTATTTTTGAATAATGTCGATATTTATATTATATGTATTTGTATTTATTTGTATTTGGGGACTGCAGATGTAAATTAGCCTAAGGCTAACTCTGGTGTAATGCATCAAATGTTTACATTTATGTTATTAATTGCACATGGTCCCTTCTAAATAAAAATCAATCAATCAATAGAAAAATGGTAAATCAAAAAAAATTAAGTGCTAATTTGTCCGTAATTCAAATGAATTAAACCAAATATTTATTGACGATATATTGAACATTTATTATATTGTTATAGAGGAAAATTATATTGCGATAATTATCATTATTGTTTTATTGCCCAGCCCAAGTTCACTCTACTTTATCTGTGCATGGATATGCTGGAACCACAATCATATTTTGTCAATGCATATGCAGTTGACTGCTGAGGGTTTTTCTATTCACCATTAAAAGTATAGCATGACATGATATTCAAGGCATCAATATTTGAGAGTTTAAAAAACACATTAATTGTAATAGTATATCAGCCAATAATCACACACATATTTGATGAGCATTTCTTAGTTTGTTTTGTTTTTAAGATTTAAAGAATTCTGACCACTATACAGTATGAACTGAGTAGGACAGTTTTAAGTTGAAAAACAAACTAATGAGTGCTCTCTGGTGGACAAACTGGAGACTGGAGACAATTATTCAAAATGATCTCAAACAATTCTTTTTCTTTTCTTTATTTCTTATTACTTGTCAGTCCCAACTTTAATCAATGATAAATTAGCATAATTTGTGTTGGTGAGTAGAGCCTGACCAGTAGTGAAAATTTTGGAGGCAGATGCCAAAACGGTTAAAATAGGCAAAAACAATTCCAATGTAAAAACTACAATTGAGATTTAAATTCTGGTGTATTTCTACCTTAGTCTTACTTTAGGCTACCACCATACCTTTCAAATCTGATGTGATGAGGGGAAGAAGAGACAGAAAATTAATTTGGGAGGGATCAAATGTAGGAAAGCATGCAATGATGCGCACACACATTCCTGAGCTCTGTACCTGTACTGCTGTCAGATTCAGTTAGTGTGTTCACAGAGAGCGAGACGGGCAGCAGCAAGTCCGATGGTTCGGAGCTGGCAACTCCCACATCCGAATGACAGCGCACTCTGATCGCACACCTGCTCGTGCTCTCTGTAGAGGAGCAACATTCTAGGAATACAAAGGAACAAGTGAGACTCATTGGAGTGGACGGCACAAGTAGGAGTCAGTCATGTCAGAGGTCATTACCTTGATTGCTTCTCGTCAGTTGTCCCTCGGAGGTCTTGGTCTGAGTTGGGCATGATGGAGAGGTCTCGGTGGAGGAGACACTTGCACCACCTCTTTGTGCTTGGGTGAAGGTGGACGGGTGGATGCGGACAAGAGTGGAGGCAGAGGCTCTCTGCTGCAGCTCCTCCTCCACTCCTTGCCTGTAGTATTTCAGCTTCAGCTCGGTGTAGCGCAGCTTGGCTCGAATGTTGTCATTCTCCTTCTCTTTTACGGCCTTTTCCCGCTGCAGCGCCATGATGTCCCTCTTCATCAGCACAACTTGGGTTTTCAGCTCCTCAAACTTGACTCCGACCACTTTGAGCATCTCAGCCAGCACCGTCTCCACTGCTCCGTTCACTGCTCGCTCAACCACTGCACCCATCTGGCCTCGAATCAGTGACACGGCAATGCTGACATCCATTTCAGCCAGATCTCTGACCGCAAAACAGCTGGAGGGGGTTCTTCAAAGTTTTACCTGCATGCACAATTAAATCACAAGTGCAGTTTAATTATTCAGCTTCTTGTCTACAACTATATAACTTAATCCAACTGGCAACTGGAAACAGCATAAAACATTTTATAATACAGAGAAATAAACCACACTCAAAATTTAATCTTAAGTTTTTCTTAAAGTTATATTATCATCATGTGGTAATACCTTTGTCATGCAGTTGTGAGCAGGGATTGAAAACTCTCCTCTGTGGAGTGATTAAGGTGAATTGGACATTTAAGATTTGAGAGTGAGCTGCCAGAAAGAATTATATTGATTAGCCAGATCCAGAAAACAAATTACCAACTAAACATTTTTTTGCATTGAATTCTCTCATCCTCTCGAAAGCTTGCTAGGGTAAAAAAACATCAAAACTGTTTCTTTCTACAACATGTCAGACTTTTTTTTTTTTTTTTTTATATCTGGAGACCAAAACCATACTTTTTGGAAATGTTGTTTTTAAGCCATCAACCTACAACCACTACTTCACTGACACGTGTTATTATGTAATAAGATTTCATGTTGAAGCAAATTGTCTGCAGTCTGGACAATCTTTACAATAAACAAAAAAAGTGACACAACTTTGTCCCACATGAGTGTCCTGTAGAGGGTAATTAAATACAGTTTTATACATATCAGTCAGCCAACCTTCTGAAAAAATTAAACTACATTAAAAATGACAATAATAAGGAGAGGGAGTTGTAGCCAATTCTGTGATCTGGTCGCTGCCACTAGGGGCGCTAAAGATAGTGGTCGCCGCCAGGCTTCCACAGTCTCTTCTGCCTCTCTGTTCCTTGTCACACAAATTGTGACCATGATTGTGACATTAGAAAAATGTCAGTTTCAAGTTTTTATACAGTCTATGGTTTCAAAGTAGGCCTAAAGTGACCTTAGATCATTTAAATTATCTCAACTGGCAGATGATAATTTTTTTGTCTAATAGAGAGGAATGAATCAAAGCAATTAGATGTGTTGAGGAGTTTTCTACTGTCTCAGGTTTAAGAATGAACTTGAACAAATCTGTTTATTAGGCTACCACTTCAGGAATGTGAACTATCAGAAGTTAATGGTATCCAGTGAAGAACCCAGTTACATACCTGGATGTGATAAGAATGAAAAACTCTGCAATAACCTACTGAATTATACAAATAATTATATAAGATCTTATTTAATTTCATTTGGAGGAACAAATGTCATTATTTAAGGAAAGATAGGCTACCCTATGCAACATAAAAAATACCTTAAATAATACTTTTAAAAGTTAAATGGCTAACTAAGTTGATAAGAAAGACACAAACATTTATAACACCTTCCCTAATTAAGTAGTATTATATTTCTACTAAAATGTTGCGCATGATTGCCGTTGCTGTTCAGTTCAATAACACCAAAGTATGAAGAAGACATAGCGAACCAGACTTAATCTTTTAATTTGGAACAAGGAAGGAGGGCATGAGACGGGAGGCTCCACAGTCTTGGGTCGCTGCCACACTGACCACTGCTGCCTGTCTTGCACTGGTCGTTGTGGTCGCTGCCACTAGGGGCACTAAAGATAGTGGTTGCTACCACACTGAGTAGCAGATTTAGGCACACACTCTACACTCTAAGTTATTGATTATATGCATGTTGACCGGTTAACCATACAGCTGTGCACATCAGACAATAATACAAAAACAATTCAAGCTAAAAGCATGAAAACATTGAAAAGACTAAAATACACGTTTCAGATAAACATAAAATTAGTCACATAGAATAAAATAAAAGGGATAAAATAAAGTCAAATAAGATCGGGAAAGGCTCTCCTATAAAAGTATGTTTTAAGAAGGGACTTAAAAGAGTTCACTGACTCAGCTGACCTGATTTCCTCGGGCAGGCTGTTCCAGAGCCTCGGGGCCCTGACAGCAAACGCTCTGTTCCCTTTAGTTTTCAGTCGAGACTCTGGAACAGACAACAGACCTCTGCCCGAGGATCTCAAGGTACGTGCTGGTGTGTATGAGACTAAAAGGTCAGAAATATAACAAGGCGAGAGGCCATGAAGAGCTTTAAAAGTGATCAATAGAATTTTAAAGTCAATTCTAAAACATACTGGGAGCCAGTGTAATGAAGCTAAAATATGAGTAATGTGGTCATATTTCTTTGTTCTGGTTAAAAGCCTGGCAGCTGAGTTCTAGACAGTCTGGAGTCGATCAATAGATTTTTGGGTTAAACAGGTGAAAAGGCTGTTGCAATAATCCAGGCGTGATGAGATGAAGGCGTGTAAAATGGTCTCGGTGTCCTTAAAAGTTAACATAGATTGAATTTTTGCTATATTTCTAAGTTGATAAAAACATGATTGAACAAGCTTTGTGGTGTGCTGCTCGAAATTTAAATTACTATCAAAATAAACACCAAGGTTCTTTGCCACAGGCTTAATGTGATTTACTAGGGAACCAGCGGATGGCAGTATTTGATTTGCCATCTGCTGGGACCCGATGACCAGGATTTCTGTTTTGTTCAGCTGGAGGAAATTATTTGACATCCATTTTTTAACTTCACAAAGGCAGTCGGTAAGTGAACTCAGCATTCCAGGGTCTGTGGATCTGACGGGCAAGTACATTTGTGTGTCATCAGCATAAATATGAAAAGAAATGCCATGTTTATGGATAAAATGTCCAAGGGGAAGCAGATACAAGGAAAACAAAATGGGTCCTAAGACCGACCCCTGAGGCACACCATATTTAACTGGACAGAACGAGGAGATATAGTTGTTTACAGACATGCAAAACTTCCTATTTGACAGGTAGGATGAAAACCATTCTAGGGCAGTACCAGAGATCCCCACCCAGTGCCTTAGTTTGTCTAACAAGATGTTGTGATCAATGGTGTCAAAAGCAGCGCTAAGGTCCAGGAGTACCAGGACTGAGCACATGCCATCATCAGCAGACATTAAAAGGTCATTGGTGACTTTAAGCAGGGCAGTCTCAGTGCTCTGGTACTTCTTGAAACTAGATTGAAACTTTTCAAATATGTTGTTATTTTCCAGTACAGTGAGCAGCTGTTTGGACACAATTCTTTCTAGAATCTTTGCAATAAAAGGCAGTTTTGAAATTGGTCTCTTTAGGCCTACTTTGGAACCATAGACTGTATAAAAACTTGAAACTGACCTTTTTCTAATGTCACAATCATGGACACACTTTATGTTACAAGGAACAGAGAGGGAACTTCCCTCAGACTGTGGAAGTGACCAGTGGTCGGTGTGACAGCAACCAGACCACAGAATTGGCTACAACCCCTGCTGCTAATAAGTGGCACACAGAATCATATTGGTTTCATGTTGGTACACTGCACAGCTTGATTTACAACAAGAATCTTATTAGGACTCTGCATCAGTTAATACACTCAAAGTTTTGGTGACTGTTTTTCCCACCTGCAACAGGATCGTAGTGACAGCATTTCTCCTAAACAGACTTTAACTTTAAACGTGTAGGAACATAATGTAGCACATCTAACGTTATCTAACGTATATGTGTCAAAGAAAGGACAAGGAGCCTCGTGGAGTTGCATAACACAAGAGAGAATAAGACGAAACTGGTGATGCAGTTAGCGTAAATAAATACATAACGTTAGTTTGATTATATTGGTTACGTTCTCTAGTTCAGCAGAAACAGGTCTGTTCATGCAGCCATAAAACATAAAACACCACACAATGGTGCAGACGGTTTATGAGCTAACGTTATCGTACGACCTGTGTGTCAGCCCATAGTTTCTTTACTGGTCAAACAGGGTTGGATGCCACCTATCGGAGTCAAATTTAGGATGAAACATTTTACTTACCGTTTGTGCTCGTGTGTGATAAGTTAAACGGTTTAACGTTAGTCAGTTAGCTAACTGCAGCTAACGCGATGCTTTTGATATAAAGTTAGCTAGTTAAACAGAACACTCATAACATTAGCTATTGTTAAAGACTGTTTCATGTTATTTTGCCGTTGCATAGACTCCCATTATCAAAAAGTGTTTCTTTTAACATGCATATGGGAATAAATAGTAACGTTACTGTTTACCCTCTTAACGGTAAAGCTATAAGATCAACAGTTTCCGGGGTCAAAAGTAAATCAACTGGGTGAGCAAAGCTCGTCTATATCGAAGATGATCACTCTGTAATTACATTGGTGCCTCTTCTTCTGCCGCCTTCTCGTCTTCTTCTTCTTCTTTGTTACTTATAATGGCGGGTGGCAACCAACGTTAAGTTGCATTACCGCCACCTACTATGTTGGAGTGTAGACCAAAATATATTCCCATAAAAGAAATTAAAAAACCTCACTGCTCACTAAATTCTATTGATCAAACCAGTTTCTTTCAAATAATATCTTCCTATGTCAAATACATTTTTTAGACTCAATTCTTCCAGTCAAGTCCAAGTCTTCTTCTAAATATCAGTTTGCCTTCGACCACAGCATTATTGCCACTGTTACGCTTTGTTAATGGCCTCTCAGATCAATGAGTTTAAAGCAGCTACGATACTAAAAAACTTCTGACCACCTAAGCCACCAGCTAATTTATACACTTGACATCGCCATTAATGAAAAATACTCCATAACAAGTAAAAGTCTATTATGATTAATAATAATAATAGGAAAGAAGAAAAACAAAGTTAATTTCAGTTTAGGGGTTTTTCCTCAAATCAAAGTGAAGAAGGGTCTTTTGTGGAATTGAAATGGGACAAATGCCAAGTTTTCTCTTAAATGTAGACGGGTTGTTACCAGACAGCCACGTCAACCACATAAGTGTGACATCATATCTAACGTAACACAAAGGAACACGAGAACACAATGGAGGACATCAAAAGTTTTGGGTTCTTTCTTCTCATTGATTGTCGTTGGAACAGATACACACGACACTGTGACACATTCGGACCGTTTGGAAAATGCATTTTGAAACATGAAACAAAATAGCGAGAATATAACTTCCCACAACATTTCCAAAATTAAATAAAAATTATTTGCGTTGAGTGTTTATAGCTCCGTCACAATCAATGGGATATTTAAAACATATTTGTGTGTTTAGCCCTTTGCTGTTTAACAAGACAGGTGAACAATTCGTATGAACTCAATGGGCGCCATCTTTGGGTTCAGTATCCAGAAAGCATTATACATCCATGGTCCTTTGTTGCACAAGAAGTGATGATTCTGTTGACCAATCAATGTACAGTGTTTTGTCCTGATGTGAGCTCGTTCTACCACTGTGGAGCCAGAAAAGAATAATACTGAAAGGATTCAATCACAGGGATTTGATAGGATTTGCTGACATTAAGAGAAACAGAATAATGCCAGCCATGTCCTATATTTTCTGATGTCATAGTAAATTCCAATATGTTGAAGGTGTTTCTCCCATTATCCCTGCAGATCTCTACCTTCTATTTACCACCACTACTGTAACAACTGCGCATCCAAGTAATTGCTCAAACACAGCAGCTATGCCCTCAGTGGTATATTAGATATGCTATTAAAATAAAGTTTTCTGAGGTGTGAGCTGTTTGCTTACAGAAGCATCCCATGAGGCAAACACACAGTAGCAGTTGGGTCATAGTAATCAGTAATTAGCTTTATGAAGCCTGGCTGAAGCCGGCCATGTTCCCTGAGGCTCGTTCACCAGTGTAGAGGTGGCACATTGGGGATGTCACAGTAGAGGAGCTAATGACACTCATTACAGTAAGCTTGCATCACCTCTGAGCTTGTGTGTGTAATGGGTAAACTACATCACCTCGTTGTGTCAGCAGATGTGGAAAAGTCACAAGCCGTCACAGTCCTGTTGACACAGTAATCCCCCCACAGACAAGCCATCAGTCAAAGATTTGACTTGACATTTGTTCCAATTGAGCTGCATGTTATTTTGTCAATGCATGTAATGATTATTCAACCTCTTCTAAATCCAGTGGTATATGGTCTGAAGTTTACAAATGTTTTTATGCTTTGAAGGTATTTGTTTTCCATAGTTAGTTTCTAATGGCTTATTATATATATTTAGTTCATTGATCATACTTTATTTAGATATGTTAGTTTGTTAGTTAATTTGCAACTTAATATTCCAATTTATTTGTTGGTGTATTAATAAGGTTTGGAGGTTTTATTTTTTTATCCTTTACACTAGCCAGGCCACCTGTATGTTGCGTGAAGGCTATTTAGTCCAGTGGCATACATACATTTTGTGGACGCAAAAAGAAGCGGGGCTTATACAGCTGCGAGTGCACTTTACGACACGACTTAAAACTTTTGTCTTCTATAGAAATAAAGACAACAGAAAGCAAATGCTGTCTTTGACAAAGGGACAATGAAGAAGGTATTTTCCCTCTAGCAACAGGTGAGGAGTGTGTAGATGCTCGTCTCCCATCACTGAATGTGTTCCATTTGATTTGATCATCTTCCAAGATCAGTGAACCATTTCATCAAACAAAAACTATTCCCACTTCTCATCATGATCTCAAATGGAGGTTAAAGGTCAGGGGTTGTGATTAGCTTTAGTTGGATTTAAACCCAGTAGCTGTAATAAAGTGAAATAAGAGTAGATCCACGGTCTGGAGATACCCTGAGTTTTCTCCAGACCTCCGGCCTCCAATGTGAGACCCCTTTTAAAGGCCAACTGACGCTCCAACAGCGCCATATGTCTGCAGGGAGGACAGAAGAAGAGAGAAACTCAGAGAGAGAGCAACTGTCTCCTCCAACAGAAATGTAAATCAGAGGCAATGCAAAACATAATGTAAAAGTATTGCAACAGAAAACAAGATGCTTTTGAAACATCTTAATCAAAAAGGATATATAACAAGAATCCTTTGTCTTACCACCAGAATCCAGAGCAGCTTTTCCCTAAAGCTGTGAGACTCCTTTATTCATGAGCACTCTATAGCACTGTATTTCTTTGCCCTATAATTATTATTCACCAAACTACTGGTTATAAATTTTGTTTTTCTAAAGCACATAAAGGGAACTACAATGTAATCCTGTTATTGGACCCTGTGTTGTAATAATATGATCGACCTTGTTTACGGAGACAGAACACACATATAAGTATATACCTGGCGAGCAGCTCTGCCTGCAGCCTGGCCTCCTCTGCAGCCTGCGAGGCAGCCTCCTGTTCTATCCTGTTACGCTCCTCTTCTTTGTTCCTCCTGTCCTCCTCCTCCTGCTCCTTCCTACGAAGGTACTCTATCCTCTCACTCTCATCCATCTCCTGTAGCTTCTTGTTCTCCTCCTCCTGCCTCCTCTCCTCTTCCAGCCGCAGACGCTCTAGTTCAGCTGGAGGGGGACAAAATGTGATTTCCAGGAAATTAAAAAAAACTATAAGCTAACTGGATATTTAGTTGCTGCAGGTTTCATTTTTAAAATTAATTTATTTGAGTCTAAACATACTTTATTGGGCCTCAAAGTAGTTGTGTTATCTCCTTTCCTCTCCCCTCTTCCTCTGATCCTACTCTCCTCCCTTGTTTTCATATTTTTCTTCTTCGCTCCTACTGCCCTCTCTCTTTTCCTCCTCCTCTCACTCTCACCTTTCCTCCTCAGTTCCTCCTCCTCTCTCATCCTCTGGAATCGCTCCATCTGCCGCTTCCTCTCCTCCTGACGCTTCCTCTCTTTCTCTCTTTGCGCCTGTTCCCGTCTTGCTCTCTCCTGCTCCTCTTCCTCGCGCTTCCTCTTCTCCTCCTCCGCCGCCAGTCTCTTCAAACTGGTTATGGAGAAGAGTATTTTGTTTGATAGCTTTTCAAATACTATAAGCAGGATCCAGTTGCTAAATTTTTGTTTTGCTGCAAATAAGGTTAAAGTTTTAGTTACAGTTTTTTAACTGCTTTCACACAAAATCTTTACACGATTTTTGAAACCTCTCAATCAAAGAGCAAAACCACACACCAAATCTCCAAAACCATTTGCTATTTCTCAGCCTTTCTCTCAGTTTTCAACCGCATTAGGAACTTTTTTCAAAACACTACACACAATCCTCTAACAGGAAGTGGCTTGCCTCATATTAACTTCATGTAAACTTTGGTCTGCAGATTTTGTTTCAATGTAATGTGCTCAACTGTAGACATTACATTAAATAACATTGGAAGCTCATTAGGAAGGTATCTCTTAATGAACAGTAGGAATGTTCATATGGGTAGACTTGAAAATTTTCAAACCCATCCTTAAAGCAGTTCATCTTTATCACATTAAAGTAAAAGACCTGAGCTCCTCAGCTCTCTTCCTCCTCTCCTCCTCCAGCTCGCTTTTCATCCTCTCCTCCGTCTGCTGCTTCTCTTGCTGCTTCCTCTCCTCTTCCTCTCTCTCCTTCCTCTTCCTCTCCACCTCCTGCCTCCGCCTCTCTGCTCGTTGGGCCAGATGCAGAGCTGCAGCCTCCTTCTCCTGACTTTTTCTGGGCCTGGAGGACTAAAACACACACACGCACACACAGTCCAAATATGCACAATGACCTATTATTATTTAAAGCAGATGCTTCTTTGTTTTTTTTAACATGCTTTGTGATGGCACGAACAATACATTATTGAATATATTGAGTGGAAGAAGAACTATAGTAAATAACCATGTAATAATTAGATAGATTATTTTGTTAAACTATCATTCAGACAGCATTAGAATGATTACAAATATGTTAGTCAAACACATATATATTCTGTGTGCGTCATTCCTACCAACCTCTGGCTTTACTGAGTTCAGCATCAGCTGTTCCTCTGTTACCCTCACAGTTGAACATGACGACAGGCGGCCATGTGATGAAGCGAGTCCCATGGCGCTGACTGGCAGCGCCTCCTCGATGGAAGAGAAAGCAGAATTCCTGGAGCTCCTCTGACTGAGCTGGGATGCAGCGGCAGTGGACCTGTGTGAGCTCACTGATCGGCTGCTGCTGTGTTTGTCAGCAATTGTGGAACGGTCTGTGTCTATGTCTTCCTCTGAATTTGCTTTGGTTTTGTAATTGTGTCTTTGTGTTGCAGAAGGCTTTTTGGTTGACTTTTGATGAGGCTCCTCTCCCATTTCCTGGTTGATCTCCACCTTCTCTTTCTCTAAGGGGTTGTCATGGTTTTCTATGGGAAAAGAAAAGCAAAGGAAAATGAAAGATAAATGACAACATTTTAAGATAGCTCACTACCTTACTAAATCTAAAAACTAAAACAAAAAATTTCAAAATTATTCTAGATGTCATCCTTTCACCTACAAATCTCCAGATCAGGGTTCACTGGGAATAAAATGTCTTTCCACTGATTCCACTGGCAGTATTAAATGCTACACATTTTTCAATACATGTTGTAAATGATCTGATGCCAAAATTATAGATACAACTTTGTCTTTAAAGTTGCTTTGTGTCATTACCTCTTTTCACTTTCAAGATTAACTTTGATGCCTCTTATGCCCTTTCAGACACAAGGTTCAGCATATTTGCGCTGCAGTAGTGAATATTTATGTAGGGATGAGCAAATATATTAAAGCCCCCTTGTTGGAGCCTGCAGGTGGAAGATGGGGTGATGAGGGGACTGAAAGAAAAGCAGCAATACTGATGCAGGGCAGCAGCGGTATGACAGAGCAGAGGGAGAGATGGGGAATTTTGCAGTTTCAATAGGCTGACAAATTGAGAGAGTGTGTTTTGTAGATGTGTAATGTGAGGCAACATGAGTATTCAGTGTAGCTCAAGTTGATTGCCTGAACTAGCTTGCAGGTGTCACACCACATGTGACAATTTCAAACAAATGTCCTCGCATAACATGCAAAAGGTCATGTTTTAGTTCTGCCTGAACAATTGAAATGTCTTACCAACAATTAACTCTTTGTGTTTCAGCCTTCCTCTCCTCTTCCTCCCAGCAGACTCTTCCTTCTGCCTCGCCACTTCGCCTCGCTCTTCACTCTCCTCATTCATCTTCACTTCTCCTCTCTCCCCTTCCCTGACTGTCATCTTCTTTTTCTGAAAGACAGTAAAGTAATTGTTAACCTGCTTTATTTAAAACATTTAACATTTACTCATACTTTATAAACATGTTCATATGGATTTTATGTTTTTTTGTGCTCATCTTTGACAAAAGTTGAGGATGTTATTAGAAACTTCAATAATCCAATTATGCTGTGCATGTTAAGCTGTATTCAAACTGATTAGAAGCAGCGGCCACAGCTACCTCACTGCATTAAAAAATACAAAACCAGCCAGTATAAAGTTAATCTGTCAATTAATACTCACCATAGATGGAAGAGCAGAATGGTCCTGAGTCTTTTCTGCTTCTCTGTTGGTCCTCTCCTCTTGTTTCTGGCTTCTGATTGATTGAGCATCACCTCCTGTCTTTTGTCTCTGCCATCTTCCTTCCTTCCTCGTCCTCAATGTCTTTTGTCCATCCGATTCTGCACTTTTACCTGTTTTCATATCCTTTTTCCTGAATAAAAGGAGGATATGGGTGTGTGAGTGTGTGCAGCTTTTTACTCAGTGTGTAAAAGGGCACACAATCTAAAGTGTCTGTAATGTTTTAATCTATAAGACTCGAGTATTCCTATGTCACCGTGTGGTTGTCGCAGCTTCCTCGGCATCCTTCCTCTTAGTAATCCTCTTCCTGTTGTCCTCTGCTGTTGCTTCATTTGGGTTGACGTTCTGCTGGCTGCATGATACATCATCTTTAAACTGCAGCATCTCAAATGTGAATGTTATGCTCAACATGTTTATTTCAAAGAAGTAAAATGATTGATCCACATTAGAGAGGCATCATCACTGTCCGCAATCTGGAGATGAAAGTTGCGGTAAACAACGTGGCACAATAGCATCTATAAGTACCAGCAAAATGGAAATTATAAACTTCATTGCCCAGAAATCCTGCACAATGACATTAATAAAACAACCTTTATCCTGCAAAGACAACAGGAAAGATGTAATATTGTACAAGAGTCCAGCCTCTTGTTTGTCTGCTGGATAGGACACTCAAAGTAGTCAAACAGGGGTCACCATAGATCCAACTTTAGTCACCATGCAGCTTTTGAGGGTTGTGACAGGAATGTGGGCAAATTTTCACTCACAGAGAAAGCTCCTTTTGAAACGGCTGATCTTCTGCATTGCCAGTAAAAGTATTTAGTAACATTTAAATAAAAGAATAGCACTTCTTTTTTCAGGAAAATGGACTGAAGCATCTAGGTTCAAGATTTTTGGCAACTCAGTGCAGCTAAACATACAAAAATTAAATGACTGTCTTTGGTGCAAAAGAAGAAAGCCTCAATGCTCACCTTGATTCTTGATCTTTGAAACCATAAATGATAAGAAATCTTTGTATAATCACCAACAAACACAAATCCATTACTTACATGTTTTAAGTCATCTGCTACTGAGGAATATCTTGAAAAATCCTTGTTGTCTGCAGCTTACAATTATAAGTTTAAAGTGAATTACACCAACCCTGGCTGGTTTGATCCAGACAAATGGTTAGTCTGTCCTATACTGCCCAGCTCTTCCTCCTCATCCTCCTCCTCTGCCTCAGTATTGCCTCCTCTTGGCTCCTCCTTCCCTACCCGCTCCCTCAGTGGAGGCATCCTAACATTGTTTTTAGCATCCGTTTTTGGTGCCTTCCATGTTTCCGCTGCTACCTCAGCACTCCTTGTTTTCTTCTTGGTCACAGCCACTGAAACAACAAGCAAAACATTTTCATAAAATGTATTCAAATTCAAATTAATCAAATAAGCTGAGCTAAGCAGAGATTTACCTGCGTCTGTGTGGCTGCTGGGTGAGCATGCATTACCCTCTGTTGATCTGTTAAGATCTAAAAGCTGCTTGGGGAACAGAATTTAAAAATTAATCAAATAGTGAAAAATATTGTATAGATTAGACACAGAGGATGCTCAATGTCTGAATGCTAAAATCAAATTCTTGTGTTTGTTTTGCTCGGCTCTACTATCAGATTGGACCGGAAAGCAAGCACCATCTGCAAGCTAATGATTATAACCACAGTGATGAAACTGGCAAATTGTGATCAGAATAAATCAGCATGATAGCAAAGCTATAAAAGACCCAAGTTAAAATGAACAGTGCTAAGATATAATGCCAAAGTGTCAACATGGCATGGTGGATTTGTATGCATTTATACCAAGCATTAAAACAATACAGTACATCAATTTCTTGTTTACTAAAACTAAAGAGTACATTATCAACATTCGGTTATCATCAATGAAAACCCTGTATCTCCAAATTTGGAGAGTTTGAAATTTTTAAGGGTTGAGAAAATTCTCAAAGAGAAAAAAAAAATTGTATCAAACCAGAAGTGCATTGTTTGTATGTTTAATACAAGACTAGTGTAAAAAAGTGACCATATGGAGATACATAGTTTTAAACGATGATATACTTTACAGTAACATTTCCTTCTGACATGCTCAAGGTAATTTTGTAACTGTAATATGACACCCTTTTTAAAAAAAATAGTTACTAGCTTCGTTGGTAAATGAGTTTCATTGTTGCTTTGTTACTTCTATCAAAGAAAAGCCAACGGATTTTAATGAAACATTTGGATCAACGCGTGACCTTCTGTTGACTGAAACACACAATGCAAACATTTGAAGGGCCATTTAACCTTAAAAAGGTCAGTGAAAAAATAACAGTTCACCTTGTGTGTGGACTGATGGTGCAGGATGTCACCCACAGGAGCATCTGTGTTCAGCTCCATCCCTTTCCCTGCACACATATACAGTGAACAGGCAATGGTTTTAGCAAGAAACAAACGTCATTCTAACTAAAGAATTTTCTAAAGTAAAGTTCTTTCTTTTTGGGGGGGGCTCAGAGTAGTTTTAGTAGCATCTAAACAACTGATATTGTAATGCTCTTATATTTTTTAATAATTCTATTTTTTAATAACTTTTTTAATTCAGACTGACATATGGAGACATACACCCACACATGCGCACATCCACACACACAGTCTTGTTTCCATTACTTCAGGTGACATGTCCTTGAGAGTTACTCTAACGCTAACCACTACTTCCCTAATCCCAACCCAAACCCTAATTGATTAAAGGAGTGTGTATGTGAAAAATTATTCATGCATCTGTGTGTCTCTGCATACCGCACCGCCCTTCCAACTCCGTGTGTGTGTGCTCAGGTTGCAGCACAATGACCCAGGGTAACTTCTCCCCTTCTGCAGACAAAACCTGTAGAGCTGAGAGGCAGAAATAGTGCATTTTTTGTTTGTGGGACTTACTGCAAGCTTTTAGCTTGCTCTAATGCAGTATTCAAACATTAGTAGCAATCTATAAATCTCTCCTCCTCTTGAAGATGGAAGTTTACACATCAAGGCTCATTTATCTTACCATGCTGTGTGTCACCATCACCCTGAGATGGGTACTGGCTGTTGTCGTACAGCGACACTTGAATGATTTCCCCATCAGGACCCAGGATCAGGCTGCCAACAGATTTGCCGTTCTGCAAATCTGACAATCCACAACAGATGAATGAACATCAGCATTTCTAACCCAGTGACTTAATGTAATTATATTTATGTCAAAAATGAGATGAACTGGTCAGTGAAGTTAAGTAACTTTATATGCATAGGTGCATTTTAAACATTAACTTCAGGGAAAGACAAAGTAATAACTCACTTCCGTGTTTTAGTTTAGGCTGAATTGTAAAGTTTCCTTCCCACTGACCATAATTTTCTGGATTCTCTGGTCTTACTAAAGACCTCAAAAATGGCAGGAATTGGAAAAGCCAAAGTCTAGACTCCCAAGTTATCCTGAACTCCATTGGTAACAACACAATTTCAGATTATCCACTGAGTTCACTGGATGTCATTTTAATATTTTCAAAAGTTTGGTTACCATCTATGAATGATGTGTTTTGTATAAAAAATAAAAATAAAGTTACAGAGCAGTTACAGAAATTTACTAAATGTAATGTGATGTAGAAAGGTGGAAACACACTGGAGAGACAACAGCTGGACAGGGAGGGAATGACAGGTTTGGAAAGTTTCATAAAACTTCAGGGACCTGCAGGTAGAATAAAAGTAAGAGGCTGATAGTATGAGTGTTCCAAGTCAGAATATATTCAACAGTGGTTTAACCCCCTCACACCTGTCAGCTCCAGAGGCAGAACACCCCTAACCACGCCTCTGTTAGCGTCGCTGGATTCACAGGGATTCTGTAAGAAGGCCAAAGAGCTCTGCTTGCCGGGGCCTTTCCGTCCTGCAACACAACCCATCACTCCTACTGGAGCAGGAGGCTCTGAAGGAGAGGGCACAGCATAACAGAAGATAGTGTGATGAACACAAAGAACATGATGAACCTTTGCAGAATATATTCTCCAACTGGAGTGCATCGCTTGGGATGTAGCTCAGTGGAAGAGTTATTGGTTTACATTCAGTACAGCTTATGTCACACTGTGAAAAGATAGAGGCAGACTAAGTTTTGATTTTCACCATTGAGTCGAAAAACAAACCAAACAATCAATAGTGTCACGTTGCTGTTGAGCTGTTTTATGGACAGTTACATCTGCAGGCACGATTCAGTTCAGTTCAGAAAAGTCAGGGATCTGTTATTGATCTATCAGACTGAATTTATCATATTATATCTTAATGCCAGCTTGTAAACTTTATGTAAGTGTGTTTGTGCTGTACCTTCTCGTGGCTGCAGCAGAATCCCTTTTTCAGAGGGTAGCCTTCCTCCCCCTTCTCCTCCTCCCTGACCTACAGTCTCTTTTTTCAAGTTATGTCTCTCTGCTTTTTCGTCTCCTCCTCTTTGCTTCTCACTTGTCTCTTCTGAAAGACAGAGAGAGTAGAGTCACAACATAACACCAGATCTGTACATCGGCAAGTATTTTAAGCTTTCATTTAAATACAGGAAATAGAGGAATGTTTTACAAACTCTGTGTTCTTGAGGTTGCCAGTTGCACTAGTTCCTTGTAAGTTCAATCTTAGACTAGTTATAATGTAAGTGGAGCTTTTCATTTCACTAAATACATTGAGTCACACTCCACAAACTAGTTCTTACAGAGATTTTAGATTAGTTGTTATATTTCAGTCATTAACTGCCATTTGTAACTATTGCGTAACTACACTCCAGTAGCTAGGATAACTGACTAAACTAATCATAGTTTTCTTATATATGACCCAATTAGGATGAATAGTAAAATATGGAAAACATAATCTCACATGACACTTGATGGTGTTTAAAGACATAAACTTGGAATATTTTAAATTTCATTTCACAACACATAAAACAATATACTTTGAATTGAAATTTAGAAATGAAGAATGAATTGAAAAAAAGTATGCCAATAACGTTACACTAAATCACCACAGCGTGTCTTTTTAGTTTAGCATAATGTCTACTGCATGAGTGTCTGAAACAAACACATTTAACCATATAGAAATAAAACAAAATCAACAGTTACAAAGGATTTAATATATTGTTTCCCCTCCAAAACTAGCAATCAACTTACACATTACTAAAGACTTTGCTAGCTAGGATTGTTGGATATTTGTAAGATTTCATGATGCAAACTTAATTTGTAAATCACTAGCATGAAACTAGCAAGTATTCAAGAACTGGAGGTTCTTGAAAAAGAGGAAGGACTTTACACACAAACTTACTTACATACTTAGTAATTGATTTACCTGTAGGGGGTGCAAACTAATCCTAGGCTGTGCACAAAATACTCTCTTGTTTACTCATTTCTTACTCATTACTCCCAATATAACAGACACTCACTAGTTTATTCAGTAATGAACAGTAAATTAGGATTTCAGATACTTACTTAGGTCATTATTTTGCGTCATGCAGCTGTTGAATCCCACAACTGTAATTTTGGATGGCACTATGTATTGGATCCATTTTCACACTCGAATATTCAAATATAAAAATGGTGGACAATAAAGTATCAAGAGAAAACTATAAAAATTACACAGGTTGTAAAACACTGGAATTTTCCTATAATTCAAAGTGATAAATTCAAAATGTCATAAAGTTCCTCTTGATGTTAGAGCTCTGATTATAGCTTCCTTCTTACAGTAACTAAGTTCATGAAGTTTGCAGTTTTTACAGGATTTGTTGACAAGATGACAAATATAGACTATTACCGGCATTATCCTTTAACCAACATGCCTTTGTGACATGAAAAACACATACATATCTATCTGCTGAGTCAGTGTATAACTGCACTTCCTCTATGTGTGTCTTTGTTACCTTCCTTCCCAGGAAACAGCAGAGGGAGAAACAGCGCCTGCTGATGGAGTAACCCAACTTCTGGGTCAGACCGTCTGGGAGCAGCAGTGTTACTCTCTGCAATGGGAGGTAGGCGCTGTTCATTGTGTTCATCACTGACGGGGGCCTCCCATCTCAGCTGAAACATTCAACAGAGGCATGTGTGTTATTTATAAGTTTTACTCTCAGATAGTGTAATGCCACAATTAGGATTTCAGTCAGTATAAAATAAATTTTAATTATTTAAAATGTCCTGCAAATAAGAACATGCACATGTGTCTTTACATATTTCTATTTGTGCAGTTGTCTAAAAAAAGTACTCTGTTATGTAAAACAATATGTAAAACTAAAAATGTGCATTTCAGTGAAGAAAGTATACTTGCAGATCAATATCACTAAAAGCTGTAAATTTTTATCCTTCTTTTTGACATAAAACACATTCATTTAAATTATCCATTAGATGCACATATTATGCCTCTATCTAGAGCTCTGATAAGAAACACCTTGTGGTGCAAAAGTGCAATTATTTGTTGTCAATAGCTCAATATTTGCAATATTATAAGTAAGGAAATATAAATAAAGGATTTCAAAAAGAACTCAAGCAGATAAAAAACAGAAAGATTGGTGGAAAATACATGTTTTTTTCAGTTGCTAAAGAGGTGAACACTGAACTACTGGGAATTAAGGGTAAAACAATAAACTGTCTTACCCGATGTTTCTTCTCCCAGCAGTGTTTATGAGAGACTGAGTCTGTCAGAGGAGGAAGGAGGCCTGTGTGTGGGCAAAGGCAATCATCATGGTTATCAAAATATACTGTAAAGGGGTTGTACAATCGAAACAATTGGTTTTATTACTTTTTATTGATACTACTACTACTGCTGCTACTACTACTACAATATCAGACGATACCTGTAGTATTTGTTTCAGGCTCGGTATTTGACTGCTGTTCTCTTCCACATAATTTGACTAGAGAGAATGCAGTTTTTAATTAATATACTAAAGAGGAAAGTGAGTACATAGAAGATAGATTGCATTTTGGGACATAATAATAATAATAATTCTTATTTGTAGAGCACTTTTCAAATACAAAGTGCTTTAACAAGTGTAAAGAATAATACAAAAAAACAAGATAAGAGCATGAAAAATTTATATAAAATTAGTAAAATACAATAAAATAAAAGGGATAAAATAAAGTCAAATAAGATCGGGAAAGGCTCTCCTATAAAAGTATGTTTTAAGAAGGGACTTAAAAGAGTTCACTGACTCAGCCGACCTGATTTCCTCGGGCAGGCTGTTCCAGAGCCTCGGGGCCCTGACAGCAAACGCTCTGTTCCCTTTAGTTTTCAGTCCAGACTCTGGAACAGACAACAGACCTCTGCCCGAGGATCTCAAGGTACGTGCTGGTGCATGTGGGACTAAAAGGTCAGAAATATAACAAGGCGAGAGGCCATGAAGAGCTTTAAAAGTGATCAATAGAATTTTAAAGTCAATTCTAAAACATACTGGGAGCCAGTGTAATGAAGCTAAAATAGGGGTGATGACTGTTTTGTCTGACTTCAGCTGGAGGAAATTATTTGACATCCATTTTTTAACTTCACAAAGGCAGTTGTTAAGTGAACTCAGCATTCCAGGGTCTGTGGATCTGACGGGCAAGTATATTTGTGTGTCATCAGCATAAATATGAAAAGAAATACCATGTTTATGGATAATATGTCCAAGGGGAAGCAGATACAAGGAAAACAAAATGGGTCCTAAGACCGACCCCTGAGGCACACCATATTTAACTGGACAGAATGAGGAGACATATTTGTTTACAGACACGCAAAACTTCCTATTTGACAGGTAGGATGAAAACCATTCTAGGGCAGTACCAGAGATCCCCACCCAGTGCCTCAGTCTGTCTAACATGATGTTGTGATCAATGGTGTCATCTAGTTGACATATTTATTTCATATTTACAGCGATTTACAACTTTAACTTAGGATAATTTCTATTATGATAGACTATATACAGTATATATATATATATATATGTACACACACACACACACACCTTTCCTCCCATGTCTCTTCCCACTTGTCGATCTTTCATAGCTGCCTTTGTCACCGGTTGTTCCACTGTCTTCATTGGAACAGCCTTGATCATGTGACGTGTCACTGATGCAGTTCAAGTTTGGACGATGGAGATCCCCTCCCAGACTGTGGTGTTTTTTTTCAGTGCACTGTGAACTTTCGGTATGCTGCAGACTCATGGCTAAGTAAGTCTGTAGTTGGTAGGAAAGACATTTGGCCACTGAATGACATATCAAAAATTACAAATAAATGCACATACATTTCCAAAGATAAAGGAGATGTCTTTAGATGTAACTTTAGTTACTAACATATCACCTGAGGTTCTTCTGGTTCTTCAGGAGCCATTGCTACATAGTGTACCCAGGGCTGAGGCTCCATCTGTGGAGTTGGAGTCCTGGAGGAACTGGGTATCTGGAGGAACAGATCCAGTCTGACTTTCTTCCTGCTGCCCTGCTCCTCCTCTTTATCTGCAGAGAAGCATTTTAGGATCTAACCATAATGGGTTGTTTTCAGTTCTTTACCTCACAGAAGTTTTGGTAGATTTTCATAGATTTATGCTAATTAATGAATGATTAAGGGTTGTTTTTACATCAAATTTGTAAAACATGTTTCAAGCTCACAACAGTACATTATAAAGGAGTGGAAGGGTCAGGGTTCCCAATGTTCCAACTTAACTATGGAAGCCCATGCAAATTTTGTTCTGTCATTTTTAATGTTGCGGATTCCATCATTGTTTCTTTTTTAGATTTTGAATCAAATTGGTTTTTAACCTTCAGCTTGATAGTCCAGCTGTTCAGTGGTTCTCTCAGTAGGAAGCCACTGGGGGTTCAACTGTACAAGCAACTCTGGCCTGGGCTGCTCTTGTGTGGTGCGGATGGGCAGAGGACTGGGACAATGAAGGTCTGGAGCAAGAGGGAGATGAAGAGAAGGAACAAGGGGTGGACCGAGTCTGGAGGAGGTGAACTGGACAGAAGAGAAACATTAGACTGAGATTGAATCAATTTCTGGCCACAAGAGGGCAGAAGAACTCCAACATCTCTGTTTTTTATTGCCATAAAGTTGTTACAGTTAACAGGTTAACAAACAAGTGTCTATTTCCACATACACTAGACACATGACTACATAATCACCCCATTAAAGAACAAAGTTATGGTGCTACATTGCTAGCAAAAGGACAAAGGACTCACAAGTAAAAGTTAAGCAAAAGGTGATCCAACTACTTCTCCGTGGTAGAAAAAGATTAACTTGTTTACTGAAAACAGCTGCCTACAGCTGCTGGAAAGAGGATTCATGAGAACACGAAGACCGAACTAAACATTAAATGTGCAGAACAGAGGTAAAACTAAAAAAGCACTGTACTTGTAGTACCCAAAAGATGGGTAAAAATTGTCAGTACAGACAACACATAAACAGATTTTATACCCAAAGAACTTTTCCCGGTCCACCTACTTGATTGTTGCTGTAGCTCAAAATGGCTGCTGTTAGCTCCTTGAGAGTGCTCAGCTGCTGTTCCACTTGTTGAGTGTACTGCCGAACCACCCGCTGCTTCCTGTCTTTGGTCTCTGAGTGACAACTGGTTTCCATAGTAGCCAAGTCCTGGAGTCAGAAGAAGAAAAGTCAACCTGAAAATAGAATTACTGGTTTCTGTACCGAGAGGCAGTTGTGTCTGTCTTATTATCTGTGGCTGGCCAAATGTCCCTTGTTACATTAAGCCTGACACACACGCACACACACACACACAGATACAGTACCTGGGAGTACAGTAGAAGTGGCCCCCTACGAGTACTGTAAGTCTTTGGAAGGGTTGACTCGGCCTCCGCAAGCAGATGGCCGCTGTTGGACAGTCGCAGGAGAAAGTCCTGGGACTTCCAGATGTAGTAATCCTATTGGGAGATTGATGGATTATATTGATTATATCATGAATGGAATGCTTGATTGATTAATGACTGGAATGTTTGATTCATTGATGTATGAACTGATTTATTAATTGATTGATGGATTAACTGGTTTGTAGATATACTGTAAATGTGAGAAGGTTAAATACAGATACATTCCATAACACAGACAGTAAACCAGCAACAATCTGACCAATTATGCAACTTAAGTGTATTTATCTAATAAAGCATTAGAATTGGTACTATTACAGCCTTTATGAGTGTGTGAGTACCTCCGGTGTGAAGCAGACATCCAGTCGTCCATCATGGCCCCCTGTGTTTCCATTGGAAGAGACAAATCGACCACACCCCCGACTCAGCAGGGATAGAGATAAATCTTTCATGATGTCATTTCTAGGGGTGAGAATCACAATATTATCCCGATACTTATGTCACAATGCGATATTATTATTATATAATATATATATATTATTATTATTGCGATTTTACACATATTGCGATGTATTGGAATGTATTACTTTTTTCCAGCTTTAAATTGTGTCCCCAAAGGAAAACTCTTTTTCTAGTGGCCTGAAAAAGCAATTCATTTTATTATTTAGTGCCAAAAAAGTAAAATTCTCATGTACAATTTATATAATAAAAGATCGATACTTGGCGGCCATGTATCAATACAGTATTGCCACAGAAAATATCGCAATACTATGCGTATCGATTTTCCCCCACCCCTAGTCATTTCATCCTGGAGGACATCCCAGTCAAGGAGGGCAAAGCTTAATTAGATTCCAAGGTAAGCAAGATAACAATTATTTTTCTTTCCCCCTCTGTCTGTGTTAGGTTTGATATGCAGGTGAATTTATAACTCTTAAGTGCATGATGTGAATGTAAGTGTGAATTAGGCTATTTTGTTGGGGGGCCGGGCGAAAACTGTAAATCTTTCACTTCTATTACTTCTATGTGTGTTAAAACTGGGAGTGAATGACAACCTGTCCAGTTGTATTATGTTTCTCACCTTCTCTATCCCTGTGCAGGTATCGGATCCAGGCCCTTGGACCACAAGGGTATAGAAAGCAGATGGCTGAGATGGCTGAATATTGGACATAAGAATGAGGAAGATGCATGTATGCTGATCATTACTAAGAATAAACTTCCAGAAGATATTTAATTATGTTTCAAGGAACATAGAAAGTTTGCTAGTCCTCCAATTGTGGAATATCCCTTCCCCTTGCATCTGTACAATGTATCCAGATACATTGTCGATTAAAGGTTCTGCTCAGAACCATTCTCTATTTCCAAAGCGAAGACTACAGTTAATACTAAAGAGGATTTTACTATCAGGACCCACAGAATTTAATTTACTAGCTTTGGTGCTTGTAATAATTTCCCATTCATTTCTTTGACAATGATGTTTACCTGTCATGTTATTTAGGTTGTTTTAAAGGTGACCTATTATGCTTTTCCATATTTTATCAAATCTACGATGTTACAATGTCAAATAATGAGGTTAACGTATTTAAAAGAAATCCCTGTGAGCCAAAACCTCAGATATCCCACTATTTTGAATCCTGCTCATGAGGCACTGCATGCAAATTATAGAAATTGATAGAAAACAGGGAAGCTACTGTCACAAATGCCAGTATTTAAAGTCACAGAAGCAACAACTCTATATTTAGTTTATCAGCTCCTTGTCACATCTCTTTGATATATGTCAATGTTTTATAGCAAAAATAAGCATTTAAAGAGAAAACACCGAACGTACCTGCTGTCTCCCTTACAAAGACCGGCCTCCGTGTGTGTGTGTGTGTGTGTGCGTGCATGTGTGTGTTGAATCCCTGTTGCTAGGTTGTCTAGAGTCGGTACTCTTTGTTTCTGTTGCCGTGGCTGCGGTGACATACATGGGAACACACACACACACACACACACACACACACAAAAGACTTCTTAAATGTTGGTCAGCTTGTCTCCAGCCCAGGTTACACGATCCACACTGACACCAGGGCATTGTTAAAGACGTGATAAGTTGTAGCTGACTGCTCTTTGGTTGCGAGCAGAATGTGTACTTGAGACCCCAGTGGATGGAACTTTACTGCTGTAACATGTTGCATTATGAGAGTAGCAGAAATAAGGAATTAATAAGGGATGGTTACACACTAACAGAAATTATAAAACAATATTTAAAATTATTTACTCAAGTTTGATGGCTTGCAGTTTAGTTACATAATTAAACTGTTTACCAGTGTGTTCTCCAACTGTCTTGGCCGATTATAAAGTCTGTAGATTCCTATTTTCTTTCTTTCTTAGAGTAATATTTGACAGCAAAATTTTATTTTATGGAAAATTCCTTCCTTTCTTTCTTTGGATGCCCATTACACCCAGCATAAGCATTGATTATTCTTCCTTGGGTCCATTTAATTGTATGTTCATAATAAAACATTGACTTTTAAATAACTTTAAGTGTTTAAAGTGTGGTCATGCTGAAAACCAGCCAATTCCTGTCACGTCCAATAGATCGGTGCATCTCTAACTGGTAGAGTCTAGTTACTTGAAAAAACAAAATGGTTCTGTTCCCTCTGACCATAGCAATTACTGACCAATTTGTAGGTGTCCCTTTCTATCAAAAATCCTAGAGAAAATGGTCTCAGTTGGAAGTCTTGATCAGTAATAATACACTGAAAAAAATTATAAACGCAACACTTTTGTTTTTGCCTCCATTCATCAAGAGCTGAACTCAAAGATCTAAGACTTTCTCTATGTACACAAAGGCCTATTTCTCTCAAATATTGTTCACAAATCTGTCAAAATCTGTGTCAGTGAGCACTCTTCCTTTGCCAAGATAATCCATCCACCTCACAGATGTGGCATATCAAGATGCTGATCAGACTGCATCAGACTAAGGTGTTTTTTAAAGGGAAAGTTATTATTGTATTGCTACTACAACTATTATTATTATTATTACTAAATCTTATTAAATTACTTTTACATTTGACCACATTTTGTTACTTATACACTAACTATGTTAATCAGCATCTAATGCTGAGAGGAGTGCATAATCATTAGTTAAGGACTCAGAGCTCAAAGTTCAAGATCTCCGCTTGACTTGAAACTGGCCTGTCTTGACTTTGGAACCTGAGTTGCGACCATGGTGCTAACATTGTAGGAGCAGTGTGCATTTAACTAGTCTTGCTCATTGGTGTAGCCTGATGAAGACAGACCAAATTATGCATACACACAAAAACACAAACTACTTTTATGTCTGCTAGATGTGACTGATATAAAGTTTCAACCACAGATGATTTTCCTCATGTAAAAGTGAAGAAGTAAACAAACCTGTATTTAATAGACTATAAATTATGACACATCACAGAATTATCTCCTAATTTAATGTGTCTGCCAAATCAGAATTTAAAATAGGAAACAATGAGAAAACTGCATATTTGACCTGTCATTTCATCACAAATAAATACGTGTGTGTGTGTGTGTGTTTGATTCTTTACCTTTACCTGAGGAAGACCATCAGTAGCTGAAACAATTCCAGTCACATCAAAATCAAAGTTCTTAATTTACTGCTGCCTTTAGTTTTTTTTAGTAAATACTTTTGTACTCTTACTCATGTAGTTATTTTGATGACCACTTCTACTTGAGTACTTTATTTTGCTAAGTAACAGTACTTTTACTACCCATCTCTGCCTATTATATTACTGATTATTTGATCTGAGTAGGGTACCAATCCTTTCATCTTTTTCTAAAAATATGGTGAAGGAAGTAGCATGACTAAAAATATTACTTCCGTAAATGATTGCAATGTTGAAGTAGATTCAATTTCTGTAACATATACAGAGATACTGTATATATTCTAAGATGTAAAACGCAACTGCCAGCTTACATTGCTGACTATTTCACCAGGTTTATGTGACACACAGTCCATACAATTAATTAAAATAAGCATGTTATTCATATACAGTGTCAATACACACGCTCTCTCTACAATATGTTGACCTCACAGGAGTCAGGCCGCAGTATCTCAAGTGTAACAATGAGTTTAAGACATTTTCTGAACCAGGGGTAGAAAAAGGCATAGATCACAGGGTTTAAACATGAATTAAAATAGAACAGACAGATCACAAAGGCAGCTGATGAAGCATTGAGCAAAGTATCCGGGGCCGAAAGGACAACAATGTAATATGGGCAGAAGCATATTAGAAAAACAACTACAACAACACCAAGAGTCCTGGCTGCTTTAATCTCAGATTTCTTAACATTTACTTTCACTGAACCCTGAAGTGTGACAGCTACAATATGAGACCGCATGGCACGAGCCTGAGACACAGCCACCACAAATACTCTCATATACAGAACTATGATGACAGTAACAGGACCGATAAAGAAAAATACCAGGTGAGCAAGTTCTGTAATGTTGTTACTGACAGCCACACATTCACCAGTGCAAGAAATAGCACTGCCTGGTTGTTCAAAGTTATCCTTAAGCACCAGAATTTGAAAGCTTACAGAAAATATCCAACACAGAGAAACACAGACTTGAACTCTTTTTTGAGTGACTTTGGTGGAGTAATGCAGAGGATGACAAATAGCCACGTAGCGGTTAGCACATATCAGCACCATATTTCCTACTGAGGTAGAGATAATTATATATGCAAAAAACAGATACAGAACACAGAGGAGGTCACCGAGGTACCAGCAGCCATCTATGAGCATAATCTGGAAGAACATGAGGAGGCCCACAAAGAAATCTGAGACAGCCAGAGAGAGAAGGAGGAGGTTGGTGGGGGTGTGGAGCTGCCTGGAGAGAGAGAGACAAGCAACACATATTAAATAGATCATTATTCATTATATTTGTAGGACACAAGCAGTGACTAAAATAATTTGACACTATTGTCCAGAAAAACATCTCTAAAATGTTGGGTTTTTTTGCAGTATGTCGTCCATACTTGAAGTGTGAGATAGAGATGATGACCAGCAGGTTCAGAGTTACGGTGAGCACAGTGATGGAGGAAAGTATAATGTAAGACATTATGACCTCAAAGTGAGAACGATTTGGCCTCTTGCAGGAAGTGTTGAGCAGTTGTGGAAAGCAGAGTTCAACTTCTTCCAGAGTCTCCATCATCACAGAAAGAAGAAGAAAAGCTGCTGAGCTCTGGCAGCTTTTTGACTAAAGCTCTCTGTAAAACAGCTGATTTAATTCTGTCCCTCCTCCCCTCTATGCTGTGTTTTTTCCTTTGAGGCAGAAAGTAATGTCTCTCATCCAGTCATTATCCTTGGCAGTTATCCTCTCCATTGCGATCGTCATCATTTGGCTCTGCATAGGACTCAGGCCCAAAGGAATCATCTTTCAGACTGCAGTCATATAGGTCAACAGATTAAATGTTTTGGATAAATGGACATATTGACTGATATCCAAAGTCAGTCAAATTAGATTTAGATTTTAATACCATACACTCTGACTTGGCCTATTCAAATAATCAAATAACGTGAAGAGGACCTCCATAAACTCAACAGAATGAACGTTTTGAATCTTAACTCAAAGAGTAAACCTGGTAAACCTGGAAATGCTTTCTTCCGGTTGCTCATTCACCTTACCTAACCTAATGTTTTTGCTGCCCAACTTAACAAACCTTGTAAAACCATCTCTATTTAACTGTTTCAGTCTAAATAACAAATGTATCTAAAACAATGTTGAGACTGAAGTAAAGGGAGCAAGTGTGAAGTTAAATTCTATCCCCAGAGGCAATCTGATGGCTTTTGACAATTAAAATCAATATTTAAATCTTTGCTGTTGTGCAAGCTCTCCTACCAGTATTATTATTTTTTATTTTTTTTCGAGAACAGCTGTTGCAGGCTGTGTCTAATGACACTACTGATGATTTAATCACTGTAACACTAATTGAAAGGGGATTGGGTGAATGGAAATGACAGCCATGTACAGTGCCTTGCGAAAGTATTCGGCCCCCTTGAACTTTTCAATCTTTTGCCACATTTCAGGCTTCAAACATAAAGATATAATACTGTAATTTTTTGTGAAGAATCAACAACAAGTGGGACACAATTATGAAGTGGAATGAAATTTATTGGATATTTCAAACCTTTTTAACAAATAAAAAACTGAAAAATTGGGCGTGCAAAATTATTCAGCCCCCTTAAGTTAATACTTTGTAGCGCCACCTTTTGCTGCGATTACAGCTGTAAGTCGCTTGGGGTACGTCTCTATCAGTTTTGCACATCGAGAGACTGAAATTTTTGCCCATTCCTCCTTGCAAAACAGCTCGAGCTCAGTGAGGTTGGATGGAGAGCGTTTGTGAACAGCAGTTTTCAGTTCTTTCCACAGATTCTTGATTGGATTCAGGTCTGGACTTTGACTTGGCCATTCTAACACCTGGATATGTTTATTTGTGAACCATTCCAGTGTAGATTTTGCTTTATGTTTTGGATCATTGTCTTGTTGGAAGACAAAACTCCGTCCCAGTCTCAGTGTCTTTTGCAGACTCCATCAGGTTTTCTTCCAGAATGGTCCTGTATTTGGCTCCATCCATCTTCCCATCAATTTTAACCATCTTCCCTGTTCCTGCTGAAAAAAAGCAGGCCCAAACCATGATGCTGCCACCACCATGTTTGACAGTGGGGATGGTGTGTTCAGGGTGATGAGCTGTGTTGCCTTTACGCCAAACATAACGTTTTGCATTGTTGCCTAAAAGTTCGATTTTGGTTTCATCTGACCAGAGCACCTTCTTCCACATGTTTGGTGTGTTAAAGAGACTTTTTATGGATATCTTTAAGAAATGGCTTTCTTCTTGCCACTCTTCCATAAAGGCCAGATTTGTGCAGTATACGACTGATTGTTGTCCTATGGACAGAG